TACGAAATGCCTTCTCAGTTTTATTTGTTTCAAACTCATCAGTGATAATTATGTTTGGTATTTCTAATATCATGTGATTGGAATCTTGGAGATTTCAACCAAATTTTGTTGGACCTCATTATCTACAATGCGTGTGTGTTTGAGAGATAGAGAGAGAGGTATATTGAATGCACTGATAACTTTTGGAGTATATAGATTCTCATATATAAATTGCATGGCAGGTAATATTTGTAGTTGATGCAAGTGGAAGTATGGCATTGAATCGAATGCAAAATGCGAAAGGTGCTGCACTCAAGTTACTAGCTGAGAGTTATACAAGCAGGGATCAGGTAACTTCAACAAGTATATTTTTTATCCGAAACGTCACTACACTAATGGTTTACCTTCGATCTTCTGGTGAAGGTTGATTCAATGATCTTTGTAAAGAACTTTGTATGATAAAAGAGGATTAACTGAAATAAAAGAATGATTCTTTTAAGGTGTGCAGTTTTACACCATAACTTCTTTTACAGAGAATGTTAGGATGTTATAGGGAAGTTATTTGAAGAGGAAATGCCAGCAACTTCAGTTTGAAACTTTAGACTTCAAAACAGAATTGATTTCTTGTTTTATTCTTTGCTTGCTATAATTTTGTGGGTTTATGTTTTCCATGGATCTATGAACATATGAACCAAGATTATAAGTGTCTGCTATTTATATTTCCTTGGTATATATTACCAAATTTTTGTCTGGTTATGTGAAGTAGGTTGCTATTATTCCATTCCGTGGAGATTCCGCTGAGGTCCTTTTACCTCCTTCCAGATCAATTGCAATGGCAAGAAAACGTCTTGAAAGACTTCCATGTGGTGGTGGTTCACCCTTGGCTCATGGTCTAACGACAGTAAGTGTTTGTAGTTAGTTATCTTAGTAGCTCATAATTGATATCTTGACAAAAAAGTACCCCTAACATATAACGCACGTTTTTAAGTTAATGTGCTTAAATTCTGCACTTTCCTGTTATACATATAGTGAATGACTTTGCATGTCTTTGCTGGAAATTATGATTTTAATTTCTGTTGATACTGTTTAAAAAAAAAAAAAAACTTCCTTGTACCTTGTGTGTTTTATTTCCATCATGTTTTCTTAAATTAAACACACTTCCATGATTTTTCATTTCTAATGTTCCACGCTTATTTCTGGTCAGGCTGTTAGGGTTGGGCTAAATGCAGAAAAGAGTGGTGATGTTGGGCGTATAATGATTGTTGCAATAACTGACGGCAGAGCCAATATATCTCTAAAAAGGTCCAGTGACCCTGAAGCTGCTGCTCCTGATGCCCCAAGGCCTTCGGCACAAGAATTGAAGGTAAAGTTCAAGCACTACAATAAGACATGCTAAACTGCAATGCTCGACCCACTTAAAGATTGGCCTTACCTAGGAGATTGCCAAAATTAGGGAGTACAATTGTAAAGGGCCATTTGCTTTTAGACTAATTTCCCATTTCTCCATGCCATTCAGAATTATATTGTCATTCTAATTTCTCCACTAAACATCATATCAAATGTTACTTTCTTCATTCATGCGTGTGACAAGGAGCATATCGGGGTTGGCAAAAAACTTTTTGCTTGAGCTTCGTGTAAGTAAAATTCTTTTATTTGTTGGTCTGGTGAAGGATGAGATTCTTGAAGTGGCGGGTAAAATATACAAGGCAGGGATGTCTCTTCTTGTCATTGACACAGAAAACAAGTTTGTCTCAACTGGTTTTGCTAAGGAGATTGCAAGAGTGGCCCAAGGTTTGACCACTTGAAAACTCATAATTTGTTCATATGTGATATGTGAAAGGACACTATAAATAATTGCATTCCAAACTTGTTCTGCAGGAAAATATTACTACTTGCCCAATGCTTCTGACGCTGTTATTTCTGCTACAACGAAGGAAGCTCTATCAGCCTTAAAGAGTTCATGATTCTATATACTTTGGTCAGCCAAATCAAGAGAACAGAGAAGCCAAAGGTCCTTGGGTTGATTTCCCACGTGAGAAGTGTCCTTGTCAGTCTTGTTAAGTCAAGGGTGTTCCTGACTTTTCCCTACCCCCTCTCCGCCTTCTTGAAAAACTACATGTATAAATAAAAATAGTTTCATTTTAGAGATATCGGGACAATCCTTCAAGATATAATGAAATTAAAAAATTTAAACTACAGCTGCCTTTTTTTTAATTAGCAAACAATAGCAGTCTTTAAATTTTGATTTTGTAAGAATTCAATTCAAAAGAATTTTGTTTTACTAATTCTTATATTTAGGAATTAAACAATTTATAGGAAAAATGATTTTGAAGTATTGGAAGTAATATCATTTTAATCTTAATGTTTCAAGAACTCAATTTAGTAGACATTATTATAATTTATATCATAACAGAAATAGTATTATTTTTTTTATGTTGAAAAAAGAAAGTATTTTATGGATCTCACAGGGATTTTATTGTTTTTATTTGGGCCTAAAGTGAACACAATATTATCTGGGCTCCAATTGGACCTTAATCTCCAACAAACTATGTATTAAAATGAAATGATATTTAGATTAATATTTAATATTTAATACTATTTGCGCGGCAAGGTCCCAGCAAGGTAAGACGGCTCTATCCAATTTTCTTCATCAGAAAAAAAAAAAAAAAAAAAAAAAAAATATTTTTTTAGATTAATATTTTAAATATTTAATACTATTCTTTGCGCGGCAAGGTCCCAGCAAGGTAAGACCGGCTCTATTCACAAATTTTCTTCATCAGATACTAAAAAAAAAAAAAAAAAAAAAAAAAAAAAAAAACCGACGAAAAAAAGCTGAATCGTAAGCCGGCATTTAACGTTTGAAAAAATACTTTCCGCTCTTCTGTCCAGGTCAAAAACAGGTACTTACCGCATCAATCTCCTTCATCTTCCCTTCATTCTAAAATTTTCTTTCATACCGAGACCCTTTTTCTTTTCTTTTTGTTTATAAGAGTGTGCGAAGTTCCGAATTTGATTTAAAAAAAAAAAAAAAAAAAAAAAAAACCGACGAAGCTGAATCGTAAGCCGGCATTTTAACGTTTGAAAATAACTTTCCCGCTCTCTGTCAGTCCAAAAAACAGGTACTTACGCATCAATCCTCCTTCATCTTCCTCATTCTAATTCTTCTACCGGACCTTTTTCTTTTTGTTTATAAGAAGTTGCGAAGTTCGATTTGATTTCCTTTTTGTTTCTATCTGATATCAAATAGTGCTGTGATATATTATTTTACCCCAATTTTCTTTTTCTTTTTTTTTCTTTTTTTTAATACAAATTTAAAGATGTCGATTCGAGAGACCCAAAATGGAGGTACTGAAATTTTAGGGTTTCTAAAAAATTCATTGATTGCTGTAATTTCGGTGAGAAGTATTTGCTCTAGATCTAATATTTCTCCTTCTGCCCGGTTAAATGTTGGTGATTATCTATTTGTCTGCTCGATGGTTAATTTGGTGTCTACTAATTTTTGTTGCAGATGGAGACTCTATATGCAAAGCTCTATAATAAGTACGATGCTCTAAAGGTATCAAATTTTTAGTTTCTTTTATAATTTTCCCTTTTGTTTCCTAGCAGTAAAACGTCTTATTTTAGCTTATCCTCTGATATATGTTGCTTTTCCAGAAGAAAAGGATTTCTGAATTGGATGAGCTCAACAAAGATCAAGAAGTAAAGTTTTTGAACTATGTGTCTGGTATGCAAGTTCATTTTGTAGTTATTATGATTCATTTGTATTGTGTGGCCGCAGACTTGACCTTTTCAGTTTTCTATACGTTTTCTGTGTATCATGGTTGACTGTTTGGTACCTTATAATACAAGTTTTATAGCTAAACTTCAAAATTTTAACATTTTCCAATGGTTTATATTTGTTTACTGTATTGCAGTTGCGGAACAGTTGGTACAACACTTGAAAGATGAAAATGACAAGTTATGTGCGCAAGTTAGTGAATTAAGAAGTCAGGTGACTTCAATCAGGCAAGGATTTCCAAGTTTCTTGTTCTAAATCTTGTTCAGATATTTATATGTGTGTGTATAATAATGAAAATTATTTATTCGATTTTGTCTAAATGATGCTTATTTGTTATTTTTCCTGCAGGTCTACTAAGGACAAAGAATGCGCACGGTACCAAAAACTATTCATGGAAGAGAAAGAGAAGAGTAAGGAACACTAAATTGCTGAATTTATATAGCACTTTCATTTGCATTTGTCTTTAATCAATATTACCAAAATTGCGGGAGAACTTTAGTGAAAGTCACAAAGCAAATCTAGCAGCATTTATAGAATTCCCTTTCATATATCATTATGTTATCATTCATCACATTGTATTATATAGGTGTTGCCAAACCTGGCAAGTGATGCTCTTACCTGTCAATGAAAGAAGAATTCTTAATATAAATAATGTCAATGAAAGAGGAACAGCTTATAAACGGTAAAGTAAATTTCATTAGCTTTGCGGCTCTTACTGTAATTACAAAGGTCAACTAGTTTTGTTATGCAATCGATGCATGCTCTGTGCGACTATAGGAACTTCGTTGGCCTGCTCCTAGGAAGCATCATTTACTGAAAGATAAAGCCCCTTCTTACTTTCAGATGGGCTTTTGCTGATTTAGGCTCTAGACCAGTTTTTGGGGTCAAGTATTTGAACTCGGCATGGTACAGAATTGAATTAAATGTGTTTCCGAATTTCAATTTTCATGCTCTTTGCCTACTAATTCAAAACTGTACAGTGGGACACTGGGACTATGTCTGTTGTACATATCTTCAAATGTTATGAGGGCATTTATTTTTCTGTCAATAAGAAAAATAGTTTTAAGTACTAGCATCCATGTTTTCATATTTTTATCATGCAATTCAGAGTCTGATCAAACTGCTTCTGTTGCCACCTAAAACCACTGGCCAAATAAGGTTATCCTATCACTGAGGGATTGTAAAGGGCATGCAGCTAATATATCCAGTTTATTCCTGCTTTCTGTAAAAGTGTTTATGTCTCTATTTCATTATTGAGGATTGGCCTTATTTTGGTAGACAAAATGCTTTCTGAGGAAGTTGAAAAGCTTCAAGGACAACTTTTTCTCAGTTCAAAGGATGACAAAAATGACCAAGTTACTTCAGGAGAAATGATCGGCGACTCATTGAGAAGAACGACAAGAAAGCGCAGTCAAGAAGCTAGGACTGACTTGGAAGGTATTGTAACTCCTAATCAGAGTGATCATCATGATCTGTTGGTGACAACATCGAGAAAGCGCAGCCGAAAAGCTAGGACTGAGATGGACGCTGTTAGTACTCCCGGTCAAAGTTATCAAGATGATTTGTTGGTAAGAGAATTAGCAGAGGGCTCATCCAGGGGAACTATGTCTGGTGCAAATCTGGAAAATGTTAAGCAGGTATGTCTTTATTTGTACTTTTATAGGAAAAAGCTCTTTGTCTTGTTTCCCTGACTTTCATAGGTGATTCTCCAGCCTGAATTTTGTAGAAGAACTGTTCAGATATCAGGTGGGTTCAGAAGTAAATTTTTTTGTCATTTTCTTGGGTATGGCATCATTATACTATGTTCATTTGTCATATATATGTTTTGCAGCCAACAACAGTTCTACCAACTGCCAGTTTCAAGCTCTTATTGAATACTTACTGGGTATGAAATTTTCTACTGTTATTCAAAGTGATGATAGAATATGCATTTCAGCTCTGCATCAATCAAGTGGTAATTCCGACTTTCTTTTTTTTTTTCCTTTGACAAGTTGATATGTTGGTTCTTTTATTTTCTTTACTTCTCAATCGTAGACATTTTGATTAGTCTGTCACCATCTTCGGCTGTCTGGCTCTTGGTTTATTGGTTTCAATACAGTTTCCACAAGCATTAGAATAGGACAACATCTTATCAAACAGGAAGATATATTTTGACCATGCACAAAGAGAAAAATATCTTGTCTGAACAAGGTCTGTATTTGGCATTGGTCTTGAAGTTTGAACAACTCGGGTGCATCCTTGATGTCTCTCAAGTTTGGTATAGATTTTGATATCTATATATAAAACATACCACCAACTTGGATACTTGAAGATGTACAAGTTGGAACAGGGAAAGCATGATAAAATCATGTCCATGTGCTAATCTAGGTGGAGCTTGTCATTGATCAGCATGGATACAAAAAAATGCAAGCTTTTGGTTTGAAAGGTAGTCTGTCGAAATATTGGAGAGACATCTGGTCAGTGGTAAGTGGGTTTTAGGGACCATTTGAGAGCTTATTTGCAGTCTAGGTGGAAAACCTGCTTCAGACTATTATCTCAATAGATTCTCTCTAGTACATGGTGTGTATGCTATTGCTCTGTGCTGATTGATAGTTTAATACTTGATCACGCAATCTATCCATTCTCTATTTGATAATCAAATATAAGATATAGCATTTACTGTTGAATTTTGCATCAAGGCAGATTTACTTTGTATGAAATTTTGAATCATCTAAATTCATCCTGAAGTTCTGATATCATCTTTTCTGCATTTTTTTTTTCTTTTTTTGATCGACTATGTCAGGAACTTCAATATTATTCTTGTTTTTGGCTGTAACAGGTTACTCGTTCATTCTAACATGGGTAGACAAGGACAGTGCAAAAGAACCAGAGCTACTATACCGTGCATCGACACTAGGGACATTTGAGAGGGTAGCACCAGAGTGGATGAGATCGGTTCTAATGTTCAGCACAAGCATGTGTCCTATCTTCTTCGAAAGGATAGCCCGTGTTATCAAGATGCATTACTAACTTAACAACTTCTTGTTTTCCACCTCAGACAAGCATTGTGATTGTTTTTGTATGTACATTTGGAATCTAGCATTTATGGCATTTGCAAGCTCTAAAAGGTCAATATTTCGGTGTCAAATTGAAACCTTTAGCAAACATGTCAAAAACTTCAATGATAGTTTTTTTTTTTGTTAAGGCTTTTTTTAATTAATTTTAAAAACTGTCATTAGACTAATTACTCGCTTATCTGCACGACATGGATGTTAGCCACATTCAGAAGGAAGCCCAAACACGAAAAAAAGTAAACTTGGATTAATTGCATGCTAAACGCAATGACGTTTGTCTAATGGGAATGGCAGATCATCAAATTTTCTTTCATCAATTTGTTTACTCTTTTTTTTTTTTTTTTAATTAAAACATCAATTTGTTTACTTCATATTAAACAAATGTAGAATATGACTAATTTATCTTATTTTAATTCTTTTACATTTACCTCTTACAGTGAGATGAACATTTTCTTCCTAATATTCCCCCAACCACTACTTCAATATTAAAAACAAATGTAGAATATGACTAATTTTAATCTTATTTTAAAATTCTTTTACATTTACCTCTTACAGTGAGATGAACATTCTTTCCTAATATTTCCCCCCAACCACCCCCCTCTCCACCCCCCCCCCCCAAAAAAAAAAAAGAAAAAATAAAAAGAATAGAAATTAGTTTATTTCCTTTTAATTACCAAAAAAAAAAAAGAAAAAAAAAAAGAAATAGAAATTAGTTTATTTCTTTTATTATTTGTAGTAGTATTATTTGATTTTTTTTTTTGTAAGCTTAAACTTTTATTCTTTGAATAAAACATTTTTTTTAAAAGGACATTTTAAAATTTTTAATGTATTATAAATACAACGCTCAATTTTTTTTTCTTTTTTTTTTTTTTGAGAAGACACCACTCAATTTTCTTAAAGTGGCATGAGAGTTTCCTTTTAGTTTCTTACAGTTTTTCAAGAGTTATGAAATTTTAAAAATAACAATAATAATAATATAGGAGATGGAAAATTGAATTTAGAATATGGAAAAAATGTCAATTTGACAATACGGTGCGCATTTTAGAACGAGAATTGAGCATGTCACGCTCCAGTCTCAACTAGCCGTTGGAAATCAAAGGCAAATATGGACAAGTCGAATCTACCCCGCTGTCCTTGTAACGTTCAAAAAATTTTGAACTCCTACCCAACTCTCTAAACGGCAACGTATCGAAACACCGACTCTCCTTTTTATAAACACGAATTGGCCAATATCGTATCTCTCTCACTGGAACGCGAAGAAGAAGAGGCAACGAAAGAAACCCTTCCCAAATCTCTTCTTCCTTTTGTTCCAAAACATAACCTGTGTCAATTTATTTTCCTGATTTGAGTTTTCTTCTCTCCTTCAAATTTCTGATCTCAAATCAGTTAACATAAAAGAAAAGAAACAATGGCCACTATTAACGGGTACCAAGGCAACACACCCGTAGCCACTCCGGCGGCGACCCAATCGAAGCAGACTTTGCCAACGGTGAACACCGTTGATACACAATCTGTGCTTAAGCGGTAATGCTTATTGGGAATGATTGGTTTTTACTAATAATTCTGTTTTTTGTGCGTGTTTTTTTGTCTCCTTTTTTATGGATGTATTTTTTAGGGTTTAAGCTCAACTTAGTTACTTGTCTTTTTAATTGAGTTTCAGTTTTGTTGATTGTTCTTGAAATGGGTTTTTTCCATTTCGCCCCCTCGACCTTCGAGAGCCTATTCATTATTATTGAACCCTGATTCGATTACTTTATTTTAGGGTTTCTGATTTTTGTTTTCTCAATGATTTTGGAAACAGGTTGCAATCTGAATTAATGTCACTAATGGTAAGTGAAAATTACCCGTCTGTTCTGATGACAAAAAGAAAAATTAGATGAGTGGATTTTAGGGTTTGGTGATTAATTCGTTGTATTTTATGAATTTCTATCTGTAGATGAGTGGAGAATCTGGGATATCTGCGTTTCCTGAGGAGGATAACATATTCTGCTGGAAAGGAACAATCACTGGAAGTAAAGATACAGTTTTTGAGGGAACAGAATACAAGCTATCTCTGTCTTTCCCAAATGACTATCCCTTCAAGTCACCAAAGGTGAAATTTGAAACCAGCTGCTTCCATCCTAATGTGGATGTCTATGGCAACATATGCTTGGACATTCTTCAGGTAATTTAAACATCCCTGTAATATTGTTCTAGCTTTACCTTTGAATTGTCTTCGCTTATCTAAACAGATTATGATTTCTTTTCGTAGGATAAATGGTCATCTGCTTACGATGTTAGGACAATACTGCTGTCTATCCAGAGTCTACTTGGAGGTAGGATTTTTTTTTTTTTTTTTTTTTTTGGTGCGTATGCGCAGAGTCTAACTTGAGGTAGGATTTTTTTTTTTTTTTTTTTTTTCTAAGAGGATTTGCAAATATGCCAATACTAGGATTCCGATTGTGACTTCTTTTTTTTTCTGATACTCAGAGCCCCAAAAAATATAACAAGTTTTTTTTTTTTTTTTTTTCGCTCTCTAAACACTCAAGCAGACAACTTTTGGAGCAATCAAAAAGAAGAAATATTTTTTTTTTTTTTTTTTTTTCTAAGAGCGATTGCAAATATGCATACCTAGGAATTCGATTGTGACTTTTTTTTTTGTCTGATACTCAGAGCCCAATATAAGTTCGCCTCTAAACACTCAAGCAGCTCAACTTTGGAGCAATCAAGAAGGTATATGCATGGACACTTGCTCTCTTTTTCATCATTTTGGAATCTTTTTGGTCGGGAATCATCTGAATAGTTTAAATTGCTTTGTGCAGAATATAGGAAGATGGTGGAGAAGTTATACAAGCCTCCAAGTGCATAGTTCTGATGAAAAGGAGATGGCAGTTTAGGTGCAGAAGCTTTATACAGACCTCTTTTTCTTCAATGTGGAAGGGGATGGGTGTAAACGAGCTTTTTTTTCTTTTTTTCTCATTTTTTCCATTTGTGTTTCAATGTGTGCCTTTTTCATCTTTATAGTGCTCTTTACCCTGATTCAAATTCAATAGCCTCATCTCAATGGAATGAATATATAATTGTTCCTCTATGTTCTCTCTATCTCTCTCTCTCTCTCTTTCTTTCTCCGATACTCAATATAAGATAGTTTTCGAGGATGAATTTCTTTTACCTCCAGATTGAAACCATAATAGCAGGCCAATGTTTGCACTTGAAAGTTATTATTAGCCTTGCAGAGAATAATTTTGTTGAATTTTTAAGTTTGAGCTCTTAATATAAAGCACCAAGAAAATTAACACGTAATTTTTTTTTTTTTGTGGAAGCACCAAGAAAATTAACACGTACTTTTTTTTTTTTCTGTGGAACGTGAGAAAATGAAAATGAAACATAAGTTCCTGAGTTTTCTAACCACTGCGTATATACCGTAGGATCCTGCATCCCTCTGGAGTTCATCTACAAGTACTATAGAACTAAAATTTTTCTTGCAACATATCCAACTAAAATGTAATTTCATCTAAAACCCTAAATGGATTTAATAGTTTGTAGTTGGATATGTTTAATAAGAAAAATGATAAGTTCCTCAAGCACAACAAGCAAATGGAACATAAATTCTTAAGATTTCTAACCAGTGTAATCGCATCCTTTTAAGTTCACCTACAAGTAGATATGAAGCATTTGTATTTCATCTAAATCTTCCTGAATTAATCAGTTGATTACGTAATAAACTACTAGATATGAAGCATCATTCTGAAATAAAAGGTAGAGAATAATTGAGACGACTCCTGGGAGAGAGTACATTGACAGATTATTTTTTTCCACATAATTCAAGGGAAATAAATTATTCAAATAATGAATGTTAAGCTCGCCAACATATAAAACATCATAAATAGGAAGAAAAAAGGTATATTGGCAGAGAACAATAAAATACAGGTAACAGGATTGATCTATCAAAATTGAAGAAGTAGACGCTCTTGTTTAGGAAGGATAGCCACTATTTTGGTGATGTGAGCTGCCTCATGTTGTACTTGGCCAACTCCTTGTACTTCTCAACAACCCCAATCAAGCATACAGTCTGACAAACTCAATAACCACAGTTAGCCATCAATCACAGTGAAAAGAGAGATTATTGTGAAATGATTGCAATGCCTGAAAAATTGTAAACTCAATAGCATGATAAATGTTCAACCATAATTGTCTAATCCAGCTTACCTTAACAACTTCAACTACAATTGTCTTCTCAGGATTGCTAAGATCGACTTTATGCGGTCCAGGAACAGATTTTGCCACTGAATTTATAATTTTCATCCTGTCAATTCCAGTGTTTGCACGAGCTTCATACAGTACTGCAAACTGCATAGAAGAAAGAAGTTGCTAAATTCAACACCAGGGCAAGAACCCAAACAGACATAACTCGCCTGCCCACCCCAGCCCCAAAAAGTTGAGAGAAAAATGAAAGAAAGAAAGAAAACTAGCTCTTGCTTTTCTATCTCTTAGTATCTTAATCTATGTTTGTATTTTGGATACATTGGTGTTTAGATTGATAGTATTGGTAAAACTGAGTGAAGCATACTAGACTTCCAGATGACTTGGACAAAAAATCGATCCATATGTCTATGTTATCTGTAATGCTATAAGAGAATGATATCCTAATAGTTTTGAATCATTTCATCATAAGATAAATGACAATTAAGTCTCCACTCCTAAGAAGAACCCGCCCTGTTTATTCCTGGAATTAAGATATTCAGACAGTTGCTATATCAAAAGAGAGTGCGCTCATCAAAGAGTAATCAGTTGAAATTCTCAGCATCCCAATTGGAAAATTTTTCTTTTATACCTTGCAGCATAATATTGCATTTTGTACATCATAAAGTGTCTGCTAAAGAATAACGCTAGTTGTTAATATAGTACCTTTTGCGGGTCTTGAGCATCCACAGGAAAATACTTTGCCACAATTGATGCCATTGCTTTTGAAATTTCCTCTTCAGAAGCATAGCATGCAACTTCAACTGGCAGCACTCTTAATATGAACCTACAGATAAAAACACAACATTTTCATTTCGCATGGACCTAATGACTCATATGAGGTCTTAGCTTCTTCCAGCACTAGATGTGTCAATTTGATTCTCTATGCACCGTGCATCACATGTAAAATCCTAGTAGCCTAAAATGTGAAATCTGGCACATAGAGAGCAAAAGGATCCAGCTGCCACCAGTCGGGAGTAATGTGTTCATAAATTTTAACAAAACAAATAAACAATTCACAGACCTTGACATGTGTTTCCTTGTTGATGCAGCAAATGTCATCATATGCTGTACAATATCCTTAGGAGAAGGGTCTCCATCTCTCTTGCGCATTTGAACAAAAACAACACCATTACAACCTGAATCAAGATTCGCAAAGCGCCTCTGTTTGAACAGGACAACATTATATATCCTCAGCACAAAAATAATGATGCATTCATAAATAGTTTTCATAGATTATATCTATACACACACACCACACACACTAAAAAGGTTTATACCAATGCGGATAAATTTAATTGTTAAAAGGTTTATTAATGACTATTGTAAGATCTGCCATGGCCCGGATTCATCTAAAGATCTGCCAGCACTTGCTTAGCAACTCTGTGAGGCTGGAAAATTTGATGAGTATCTCCCTGAGAAACCATTATATACCTTTTTTTTTTTGGAACATCAAGACAAAAATACATGAAATAAATAAAAAGCTGTGTGTTACACACCTTACTCTTATCCCCAAGTTCTTTGAGTTCATCTTCAATCAGCTTATCAACAGATTTCTCTTCCATCTTTTCATGGATAGTAGATTTTGAAACACAAGTATCTAGGCATTGTTTTTTTGCTGGTGGCTCCTTGGCTTCACTTGTTGGGTTTTCAAGATCGTTACCACTATCTTCGCTATCCTTAGTCTTTTCTTCTCTTTGATTTGCACCACAGGTATTCTCAACATTAGGAAAACTTAACTTTTCATTTGTTGGAACTTCACTTTTAGCATCGCTATTTTGATTAACATCTGATTTATTCTCTTCTTCCCCTCCCTCTTCATCCTGCTCCTCAACCTCATTATTATCATCATCTTCCTCGTCCTCTTCCTCTTCATCATCATCATCAGAATATACAAACTTGATCTTTTTATTTAAAGGTTTATTAGGCAATTCTGCAAGATCCACACTTGTATCCTTTCCATGGACCAGCTCCTCATAGAACTGTGAAAGAAAGAAGAAATGGGATCATGTAAATAAACAGAGAATATTTTGATTTCACCTCAAAAAGTGGGAAAGAGATCATTCACTTCTTTGAAATTGCTTTTTACGCAAAAGAACAATATATTACTAAAAGACCTTTTTTTTTTTTTTTGGGAGTGGGAAAGAGATCATTCACTTCTTTGAAATTGCCTTTTTACGCAAAAAGAAAAATATTACTAAAAGACCTTTTTTTTTTTTTTGGGCTGAGATGACCCATGGAGTTTATCTGCATGTCATCAAGTTTAAACAAATCCTAATTAGCTTGGAAAACACCCTGAAACAATCTTAAACTCGAAATATTACTGGCCAAGTGATTTTCAGACCTCCTCATTTAAACTCTTTGAAATCCAAACAAATTATCAACTCTTTTTTTATATACATGGGCCAAGTTCACATCGTTTTCGAAAAATAATTTATTGGATATACCTTACTCTAGTACATGTAATTCAAACATTAAGACTATTTTCTTCCCCTTATTTTAATTCCAATAAAAAATCCCAAATTCCCAACTGTACAGAGGAAAAAAATTTTATAAATTGTACTCAGTATTCATGATTCATAGCTTCATAATGCAAATTCCAAGCAAAAGATCACAGCTTGATAAGAGAAACGAGTTGTCAGGCAGGAAATCAATGCTTATCAACAAATTAAAACGTATGAATAAAACCCTTGTTTTCCAAAATTGAAAGACAGTAAAAGGACATACAGAATCAATAACATTAATGGCCTCATGAGAGGCTTGACGCTCTCTGCCACCATCACAAGTGATAAAGAAACCCTGCACTCCTGGGTGTAAAGGGTACGCCCCCTTCTTCTTCACTGGCTTCTAAAATAAATATATAAACACAAACTCAAGTTTAACAAAAAGTACAAAAGCTTTGTACACACATATACATATATAAACAATAGGACAATGAATACATTATGGGGGAGATAACGTTGCTTTCTTTTTTTGCCCTTGTTGACGTTGGCTGTAGCAGCAGACTTCGGATTGTTTACGGTGGCCATTGAGCAGAACAGTTACAAAGCAGCGTCGTGTGCTCTCAGGGTTCGCCAGAAAGAAGGGGAAAAGAAGCACGGAGAATAAGCTTCGAAGGCCTTAGTGGGCTCTGAGTTGAGCCTAATATCTCATTTAAGTTGGGCCTAAGCCCACCAACGTCCATTACAATTGATCAAGACCTCATAAAATGAATAGGTGCTTCTAAAGAGACTGAGAATCTGAGATCACAATCCACTTCCCGAGTGATGGGAAAAGGAAAGCTTACGAAGCAAGTATCAAGAAGTCCTTAATGGTGTATGTTTAACTGTCTGTGGCGTTCTGTTCATTAGTGGAGAGTAAAAAAGTCAACAGAAGTAAGCAAAGCTTTTGAGTACATCAATGGTGGAATTTGATGGGATCTTTGTTTTTTGTTTTTTGAAAGGTTGGTGGGATCAGGGAATGATTAAGGTAGGCTGATGTAATAGCAGTTATATTACCAATGGTTAGGGATGGTCAAGGCCTCACACAATTAGGGTGGCACCGACCAGCGGTACTTGTGAAATTGGATGGTGGTAGACAACTTATGTCCAAAAAACAGGATATGGATATGGTCCCCAAGTCCCAACTTGACCTTCAGACTTTTCCTTAGGTCACACTGCCAATTGGTTCAGACATTAAACAGACGCATGCTGCTTGAATAGAATGTAAAGGACATCACTTTTCATTTTTCTTGATCAACACAGAACATCATTTTAACATTTGACAGCATTAATATACAGGGATAGAAGAAAGAAGTAAAGGTTAAAAAAAATGGAGGGGGGTAAAAACTAAACAACATAAAAGATACAACGAGAACCCATTTGGAAAGGTGAAATTTTGGAGACACCCTTTCAATATATTGAAAAGAATTCTACATTTACAGGGGCTATATGTATATATATAATATTATATATATTTATAGCAACTGTACGCTATCCACACTTCAGGATGAATACGAGGCAGCAAGGAGAGCTGCTCCTATGCCTGATCCATCTTCTGTGGCTTTAAGAATTACGTGTGGGGCAACGTCCTCCCCCAATATTTCATTCAAGGCTTCGTGCAAGTATTCCCTGAACATTGTATAGGTTGTATATAAATCCCCTTCAATTGCCACAACTGTTCTTTTCATTTTTATGTCACTTCTACCTCTTCCACTGGTGATCCCCCCAGTCCCATCCCGGCCAATCTTCTTTAATATTCCCACAATGCCAGCTGCTGCCAACCTTGCAGCCCTCCGGGTCACTACATCACATATTCTAACAACAAGCTTTCTAGCCTTCAAAGGAATTTCTGTGATCTGACATGAAGCAGCAGACCAATTTACAAAAAAAAGGAAACATAAGTGATCAATCCATCACAATCATTTATATAACGTAAGTAGACAATAAAATGAACATGTAACACATTTACCTCCAGAATTTCTTTCAAGATTCTAGCCACTTCCTGCAGATCAGGAGAGTCATCCTCGTGCATGTCAACAACAAGATATGTTCTTCAGTAACACAAAATGACTAAAATTAGTGCAACAGCAGAGACTTGGATGTTTTAAGGAATAAAAAATATAGAACTTAGAACTATCTAGCATAATGCTGATTCTAACAGCTATAGACTCGGGCATTATGACAAGATATTGTGTGTTCCGGTGATAAACCAAATAGTAATACTACAGAACCACATAGGATTCAGAGCAGTCAAAGTAACATAAACCAGATCAATAAATGCTCCAAATATTGACTGAAGTGTGCAGTGAATATATGACTGTGGGTGTCTTCATGTGCCTGTGCATGTGAGACACGCACAAACACAAGCAGAGAGAGAGAGAGAGAGAGAGAGAGAGAGAGAGAGAGAGAGAGAGAGAGCCTTGGGCCAGCTGAGACACGTCCCACAAACAACAAGCATGAGAAGAGAGAGACGGAGGAAGAGGAGACGAGAGAGAGAAGAGAGAGAGAGAAGAGAGAGAGAGAGAGAGAGAGAGAGAGAGAGAGAGAGAGAGAGAGAGACATACTCCAAAATAAACGGTGTTGTCAATCTGGAGGAAACAGGTCCAAAGATGTCCGTCTCCTGTGACATTCTGAGAATCACTCTCCTAACAATGTCACCTAGATACATTCCGGATATCATTTTCTCAAAACCCTGCAGCAAATCCAGAATAAACTAAGCCGGTTGCCTGTTTCCTTTGTAGTAAGCAATTAAAAAAAAAAGTCCTTACCTGATCATTTGGGTTAAGGCTTTCAACATCTAAATCAATATCATAGGAAGTCCTTGGCAAATGAGATGACCAGAAATTTCCCCATTCCATGTTGACAACCTAATTAAAGAGAAAATGAAGCATTGTGAGCAGAAAAAAATATCAATCACTTTCCATATAAAACATGGGGCCTAAGAAGAAAAAAAAAGAGATACCATGCCTCCAGAAGTTGTAAGAAGGCCTTGACACTTTATAATAGCATCAGCCCGCTCTAGATAGCAAGCATTAGTACCCGTTCCAATTATTACTGCAGCAACAGTGTCAGCATCACAATAATGTCCAAGAGCTAGTGATCCAACAGTATCATTTACCTGATTAAAACAAAACATCAAAGTTATGTATCCCCTCTGTTCCATTTTTGTTTTACTTTAATGACCAATATGTCAATTAAAGAAAATTTATTCAAACATGTAACAGATTAAGCAAATCTTTATTATTAATCCCCAATAATCACCTAAAGCAAATTCTGTTATCACCATAAAAAGAATTTACTATTCCAATTTGATCCAACTATTCACCACAGCAAACTATATAAGAATGATTGCAAGTAAATAAAGTGTACTTGTGACTAAAAATATGAATATTAATTGAAATTATCAGCTAAAAAAGCATCCAACTTCTGATTTCCCCCGCACTTTCAAAATAGTAATAACAACATGGTGAATCAATATTTAGAAAAGAAAATTAAAATAGCAAATGGCAATAGTTCTTCAACAAAGGAAGCACTCACCAACAAGACGACCTGCATATCTAGACCATTCCTGGTCAATCCCGCTTGTAAACATTCAAGAACATCTCTTCCAACCTATAAATCCATGCAGTATACAAGTAAAAATCTGAACATTCACCTATGGAGGGAGGGAGAAAGGAAATAAAAAATGAAAACTACACAATAAAGACTACTAAACAGAAAACTTCTAGAGAGATATTTTAGCTTGTCTTCATCCCAACCTCATGTACCATGATAAAACACAGTCCAAGGGTCTCCCACAATTTGTTTTACTGCTCCTTCAGAGTAGCATAATAAACATGTAGAAGACATAGACATCAAGAGAAGAAAACGAGGCACCACAGTCACTTCCCCTTATATAAATTAGAAGAGGTAACATTCAATTAAATAAACCAGATAGAAAATGCAGTTTAAGATGATGTAGTAGGCTTTTGCAAAGTTCCTTAACCTAAAGAACCTTAGTATATTACTATTCAGATATCAACCAACTAACCATGTCCTCGATAGCAAATCCTTTTGTCCATTTGATGAGGTTCCCTGTACGAATAGACGTTTGTTTTACAGGAAAGGAGAATGTAAATCCAAGTTCCCTTGTTCTAACTGAAGCAAACTCGGAACCACTTTCTTCTTTTTCAACGAACTGCTTTAATGTTGAAGCAATGAAGTCAAAGAGATCCTGCAGGGAAAAAACTTGTTACATTCTATCACAATCAATTAGATGATAACTTATTTAGTCCTTTTCCAAGGAACATCCAGCCCAAAGAAAGACCAACTCAGTTACCTCGCTACTGCTTGTCATCAAGTGCTGAGGAATAGGTTGTTGCTCCACATCTTTTGACAACATTAAGGACTCTCTGCCTCCTAGCTGAACCCGCAAGACCCTAAAATTAGTATCCCCAAGATCTAGAGCATAATAAGTTCCTATCTCACTCCTGAGAACAACATGAAAAATCAATTTACCGATTCAACCTAAGAAAAAGGTCAAAAAAAGATAAAGCACAATTTTAAACAAAAAAACATGGCCAACTGGTCATAAAAAGTCCAAGTAAAATAAATTTAAAGATGGAAAAACGTGTCTCAGAATTATGAGAGATGTTTCCTTTAATCAGTTTTAGCTGTCCATTCGCACAACACAAAAGGACTATGTTTCTGATTGACAAAAATTTGTCAAAAGAGGAACATAAATTTTGAATTCCACCGATCAAGATAAACATTGACAATAGAAAATGGGCATGTTTATCCATGCATTCGCCATCAACAATTAAATTATTGCCACAGTAAACAAGTACTCAGGACTACCAGATATCATTTTACCCCAATCAAACTATAGCATGCAACACAAGAACTCAAGTTGATACAAATTCTAAAAGACCTTCAATGCTATCACCAAAAATGCATAAATATAGATATAAGGATCATTTTGCAGAAATGCTATAGTAGACAACCTCACACATATTACTGACTATATAGGACAGTTTACCCAAAGTGAATTAGTAGATTAAATATTTAATCCAAAAAGATCAAGCATGCCAAATTTCAAATGGATTGGATACTAGAATTATTGAGTACATCATATTAGGCTATCACTATATATTTGACATGCCTGATGAGCATTAGCAAAAGAGTGGCCACTTGGCAACAAGATGCCCACTTGCATCAACAACTTACAAATTGAAATCCCTAATTATTTCAAGCGTGATATAATTAGTATTTACATTTCATTATGATTCCAGGTTTTAACCCTAAATTAAAGCCATATAGTGGAAAGGCAATTGAGACAATCACTGTTAACCAAATAAGATTTATGAGTTTTAACTTTTAGACTAAGAGAATATAATATTGATACATATTCTGTCTGTTGATTCTTGGCCGTAAGCATTGTCATTCACACTGATAAGAGGAGCAAGTGAGAACAACAGATTCCACTTAAGGACCCTAAACACATGGTATCTCTCAAAACAGTTCTATCACAATTAATTGAGAATAGAAAGGAATAGAAAGAGAACCCAGATTCTATAAACCTTGTGCATAAAGTTTTGAAAGAAAAATATTCTCAAATCAAATGGTGAAAAAATTGATTTAACGACGAATGTCAAAGTAACAGATAGCATGATGCAGAATTATAATTTAAAAGCGAATACTTAAACAAAGGAGAAGACAAAACTATAATATTGAAACAAAAATAGAACTGAAATATTGATGGAATTGTATGCAGACAAGATACAGACACCCCCCCCCCTTCCCCCGGGCGGGGAGAAAGAATGACAGAGATGCGATAAAACAAGAACAAAAGTTCAATATACAAACTCAAAAACAGTGGATGACTACGTGCAGAATAAGTATACAGAAAATTGATATGAAGACAGAAGGACGTATAATAGAGGGAAAACAGCAAATAACATCAATAACCACTAGTAGTGGTTACTTATACTCAAAAGCATCGAATTCAATCCCATCCCCAAACAAACCCCAAAAAAAATCTTATACGCGGACGATTATGATCGAGAAAATAGAGAGAAGGGTCACTCAATCATTCCCTTTTACTCGAACGCCAGCCAACAATCAATCACCAATCGAACAAAAATCCGTTAGAAGTCACGACTATGAAAACCAAAAAACAAAAACAAGAGCATATTATCTCCCTACTAAGTGACGCCAATAACCAGAACAACCCATTAACCAAATATCAACAAAGAGCACCATCATTCATGCGGAGAACGATAGATAGATTACCCCGTAGGTAAATGGTCCACATAAGTGAGCAACATTTTGAGCTTAGAGCCTCCTTCAGAAGCCAACCCAGCATGCATCTCCACAGCCATAGCATCAACTACTTGCCTCAACCTTCCAATTGTGGTTTCACAAGACTCCTCCAACTCCTTCAATACTCCCAGCACTCTCCTCCACTTCTTCCGACTCCTTACCCTCCTGCCTACCACCACCCCGGCCACCGCACATGCCACCACCGCCACACCCACCGCCACTCCCAAAGCCACTCTTCCCATCAGAACCACCCGTTATACCTCCTCCCTATGTGTATGCAACAATAGAAAGTTGCATAAAAACTTAAGCACGAAAACGCCACCGTTTCATCGTGAAAGTTGGTCTCTATGCTTTGGAAATGACCTATCGTACGAAACCGAGAAAGGAGAAGTAGCCGTTTTCTGTTAGGCTGTTGATTTCTCGGTACTTTTGGGTTCTAAGCAGTTTTCCTAACGAAGATAATCGCCGGTGAAATTTGTCGTTGTAGATGAACTGTTCGAAGAAAGGCTTAAAAGAGTTTCGTTTTTCTTTTTTGTTTTTTTTTTTTTTTTCCTTTTTCTTTTTCCACTCTAGAGAGAGCGCGAGAGACGACTTAGAGAGAGGAGTGTGACTTTACACTGAGAAATGTTGGGACGCGAACTAAAATGCTCTTATAGACGTAAGAGAAAATGACAGATTTGCCCTCAGTGATGTTGGAAAATGACGGATTTGTTAGAGGATCTTCGATGATTTTTTACCGTTTATGAAAGATTTCGAGGTTAATGGGAATTTTGACTCGTGCTAGGCTTTTGAGGGTTTGGTGTACGTGATTGCCACTGAAGTTGTGAGATATTACAAATTTATGGGTATTGCCTTTGATTGTTTTGACTCATTGATTAAGACATTTCCATTTGAAAAAAAAAAAAAAAAAGAAAGAAAAAAGAAAAGCCAGCAAATGCTTGTTTGTGCTCTTTTAATTTGTTTACTTATGGGACCAAATAAATTTTGTTAATTTAGTATGTGATTGTGACCTCTAATCTATTGATACAAGTGGCTAGGGCGTGCTAATTTTTTTGTTCATGCACAATATAATGATATCATATTGGTAGTTTTCTGTTAAAATAATGCTTTGATTTCAATTTTTCAATACAAGTCATTAGTTGATGGTTGTTGTAATTTATTGATGATAATAATTCACTTAGCCCTCATTCAATTGTTAAACCTACTTAATTGTAGGGGCAACAACTTTATTAAATCAACTTTTTTTTTTTTATTTTCTTTTCATTATTTTTAAGTGTAGTGATTCTTTTATACTATTTTTCATCGATTAAAAAAACGATTTAATTCTTATAGATTATAATAAAAACAAAGGAAAATTACTCTTTATATACAAATAAAGGGTAACTTGTGAAAATAATTATTGTATATAATATAAATTGGAGTAATATTGTAAAAAATATCATTTATTATTTTTTAAAATATTCAAAATGACTTATATTTTATGACGAAACAATGTCACTAAAATGATTTATATATTGGGATGGGGCGAGTATTGTATCTGAGATTGAAAATTAAAGAGTAAAAAGTACTTTAAATTGAATGTTGTCCTCCATCTTTTTTCAACAATATAATTTGAGTTTATTTAATTAAAAGATATAATTCATCCCAAAAAAATAGTTGTGAAAAATATTATTTTTACAAATAAGTAAAATATAAATAAATAAATTTATTTTTTATTTATTTATTTTATAATAATAATGACTCAAACGATTTGTCAAATAATTTAAATACTATCTAGACGTGTTGATGTCTTAATGATTAAATAATTTAATAAATTAATGTGCTTCCTAATAATTAAATAGATAAATAAATCAAGTTAGTTTGATAGGAGAGGCCAACTCAACAACAAAACAATATTAATTATTTTTAAATTTTGATGAAATTATTATCATTGCTTAAGTGAAATTTCTAATTACCCATTGATAAGTTGTTCTATAAAATAAAAGGAAAAAAAAAATCTAATTAATGTGTTCGCCGAGGACGAAACAGTAATATTGGACCAAATACCTCATAGCACGGTCCAAAAATCCAAATCAGTATGATTTACCGGTCGTCATAAAATAAAACAAGACGCATAAATTAAAAAAAAAAAAAAAAAAAAAAAAAACGGTCCAAAAACCCAAATCAGTATGATTTACCGGTCGTTCAATAAAATTAAAACAAGACGCATTAAATTAAAAAAAATAAAAAAAAAAAAAAACATCAGTGAGGAAACAATAGTGCCAATAATTAAACGGAAAATGCAAATGGCAAAAAAAGAAATGAGTAAAAAAAAAAAAAAAAAAAAAAAAAACATCAGTGAGGACATAGCTGCCATATAAACGGAAAATGAATGGGCAAAAAAGGAAATGTAAAATCGCCATGGTTTTTTTGATTCTGTTGTGTTGTATTTGTACCGTGTGTGTATATTATTTTTATTAAATTAAAAAAAAAAAAAAAGGAAGAGAGAGAATGGCGTTGGTGTTACCATAATTTTAGAGACAGCTGCATTCTAATTCTGAGGAGGCAAAACTTAAAAAGCGATTAAACGGCGACGGTAGCTGCGTATCTGCCTCCGTACTTGCCAGCTGTGTCCCCGCTAATTCCAGCTGTGCTCACAAATAAAGCTACCACCCTCTGCCATTCCAAAATATTTTTTTTCATTAAAATAAGTTTCACGTCAACATATTATTTTACTGCACAGTAAAAAAGAAAAAGGTGGCAGTTGTATTTAATGCTATTTGGACATATATTATACGTGATTGTATTAGTATTTCTTTTAAAGAAAAAAAATAATAATAAAACAATGTGAAAGTATTACTTCTTGTAAAAATAAAAAGGAAAACGGTCGACAGCTGGTTAAATCGTGAAATGCAAGTAAAATTTACCTACGAAAGCTGAGATAGTTATTTGATTTGAAAAAATCCCAAAATTTAACTTAAGAGAAAACTAAAATGAAATAAAAAAAAGAGGTATATTAATATATAATATTTATTTAATTAAAATTTTGATAGCTGATTTATTTTATGATGGAATTAGAGGTTAATATTGAATAAATGATTAGATGCTCAATAGAAATAAACTATAAAAATGAATAATATTTATAAAATTAAAAGTTTAAAAAAATTTTATCTTAATATTATTTTAATTTCAGCGTAGGAGTACGAGTGTAAAAAATGATAATATGTCTAAAAATTTTAAATTTTAAGTTCTGTATTTAAACAAAAATTAAAATAAAAGACATTTTATGTTGCAGCTAGCAGCCTAGCACTTCTCGTGACACACGAGACTTCGTAATGCATAAGAAAGAGTACCATGGTTTTTTTTTTTCTTTTTTTTATTTATTTCAATGATATTGTGATTGGTGACTAATCTGAACCGTACATTTACGGAGTTTGTTCAGTGAATGATCCTAACCGTACATTTTTGTAAGTTGTTTATGCAAGAGTTGACTCGCTTACGCCGCGGTTGCTATAGCAAATGGAGTAATGCTTGCTGGCACTCGCATTCCATTTGATATTGAGCACGTGCCTCGTGAAAAGAGAAAAAACTGCATCGAGTCTCAGCACCGCACTGCCTGTGGGGCCCACAAATTTTTTTTTTTTAAAAGTGAAAAGAAAAGCACGTTGGGTTACTGTTAGATTAACCTGTTACCTTACCCACGCGTCTCAGGATCCCAGCCGTTCATGTGATCGACTAACCCATTGACTGGAGAGTCATGAAAATGAATTTTTAAGGAGTTTTTTTTTTTTTTTTTTTAAATTATTAGTTTTTTATTCTGTTCAATTAACTTAAATACTTGGACTTACGCTGTTGAATATGGTTTACTTCTTGCCTACATTCTCAAAATTTGATTTTTCAACGAATTATTAAATTTGATTTAGTTTTATTTATATATATATACAAAAATTTGTTATGTTGATAAGTTGCAAATATAGAAAATGCTAAGAAAATAACAATGATAATTAACAAAGATTATTAAGAATTAACTGTGATTTTGGGCTTATGTTGCATATTGAAATTTTTATACTCCATATAATATATTATACGCATTTTAATTAACTATTTAGGCTTGTATTTTGATTGAAATTTTTTTAGTAAAATCACTTATTCATCTACGAGGTCTTAGGCGCTTATTGCCGTTAAATATCTTGTGATATTTAACTATGCGGTATTTGATATTTAGCATAGCTTACTATTTTGTCCCTAAGTCTTTGAATTATTATTTAGCCACTTACTTAGCATAAATAAAACATTTTTTTGTATAAACCACAGATTCTATTATTAAGAATCAGTTCGGAGCTTAATCATAGTTAATGTTCTTTGTTTCTCTCTGCAGATGTATTTAGTGGAGATCGAATTCAAGAATTTTTTTCACATATCCAGCATGCATTTACCAATTGAGTCACAATCTATAAATTAAATAAAATATTTTTTAACAGATATATTAGTAATAAATGAATGCACAAACATAAATATAATATCACAAGCCTCGGATATTATAATTTATAATAATTAAATTGACATGTTGTTTGACCTTTGAAAACCTCTCACATGATTGCAAACCAATTTTAAATCTGGATAATGTATTAATTTTTATTAAATAATAATAATCCAACCATTCTTCGAATTTGTACATATGATATGTCTCTTGTTCTGGTTTTAATTTGTTCAATACACCACATTCTTTGTCATCACTTTTAGAGCGTGCTTTCCACTTATGGATGATGGGTCATCTTTGATACGAAAACCATTTTATATTTATGTCGATTTTTTTCTAAATAAGTTTACGTGGCATTAAGATAATTATAATTATTATTCACGTATTCTACTAATTTTAATAAATTTCTAAATTTTAATTAATTATGAATTTATTTTTATATAAGGTCGAACTGATAGTAGAGTTAATTTCTTTTTTTTTTATTTTATTTTTAATAAGACAGAGAAAAGTAATACATGGTTCGCCATTAAGTATTCGTTAGTTATGGATTTATTAATTCTATTCTGCCTCTAACATAATTAAATCTAAAAAATTCCTTCCTTTGCACCCATCATTTCCTTGATAGGTCAAAAGCTTGACCAATTGATGTTTATCTTTATCAAATTAAATATATATATATATATGGTTGCAAATACGAATTTATACAATTTAAACTCATGATCAAGCTTAATCACAATGATGACGAAATGAGGTTTTTCATAACTAATTATCCAATTAAAACATAACACAATTAAATAAAATATGTAAAGTAGGAGTGGGGATTATGGAGCAAGTGGGGTTAGAGTGGTTCTTTTGTCCTTTAAAAAAGAAATTAGTGACAAAAGCTTATGATAATCACCTTATATGACACATGCTGTAATTAATCACTTAAAAACAACATTAGAGTAATCTAATAATTAGGAGCTATATATATATATATATTATTATTATTATTATTATTATATTTGAAACTATATAACTTATTGCTACTTTTTGAAATCAAATAGACATGTATAATTAAGTACAAATTGTCTTTACCTTTCTTTACTTTTTAATTAATTAAATAATATTCTATATATTAACATTGGATTTACTAAACCAAATAATTAAACGAATGAGTCTAACGAAACTTATTTAATATTTAAATTTCATCGCTCAAACTAATAAAAATGGCTTTCTTAATTAATTTAAATTCATTAATTATAAATTTATTTGTACTTAATTTAAAATATAAAAATCAATTCAATATATTGCTTCCTTAAATAAAAAATAAATAAAATACATGATTTCACAGTTTCGTTAACTTGAACATACACACATAAAACCACCTAAAAAAAGAGCAAGCTTTGGGACATTGACTTAGTTTGAATTATCTTTTACAAAAATGAATGAAAGGAAAATTGGAACAACCTGCCGACAAAAAGTGCGCATTCAATGACTTGATATCTCTGGAGATATTAATGTCCAAACCCATTTATAAATTCCAGTTGTTTCCATCATTTTGGCTTCAACACATTTCTTATATATAAAAAAATATTTTACATGTAAAAACAGGAACAGTGGTAGGAGGAGGAGGAGGAGGAGGAGGAGGAGGAGGATGAGGATGAGGATATTATCTAAGTTGGCATCAAGTGCAAGTCACTTTCAGGCCATGTATTATTTATGGGTCCAAGCCCAAGTTGATGAGGTTAAAAATCACCTGATTGATTCTATTCCCACTTGTCACTTTTAGTTCGATTGTGACTACTATTCCTCCAGCATTTACGTTTCGCACCATCACACTAACATAACATCCCCTTTTCTGCATTCTGTCCATTTGCTCCATTTTTGCCCCTTTCATTTTTTTTTTTTTTAATTCCTTGGGAGGTCCGATACGCTTAAATATCATTGCGGTCTACACAATAAGGGTAATCCTTTTCTAGACTCAATAAATTAGTGAAAACATTTGTAGTCGAGAAGATACAGTATCTAATTCATCTTTATTAATTATTTAATATGTCTATTTATAAACCCATTTACCAAAATAACTTAGAAAATTCTGTGGCCAAGAGAAGTTAACAGTGGATGTATAGACAAAAATTTGTATGGCAAAGGCAATTGAGAGCAAATTCACACCATGGTTGTGATGCAACTAGCAAAGAAATCAATAACTGATGAGTGGGGTTTGGTGGCTTTTTCCAATATCCTTTTTCTTCGGTTTAAACTTTAAAGTTATCTCCCCAATTTGCATATAAATATGTCTAAAGCTTTGACGTTAGCATCAAATGTCATTGCATCCATCACCTTTTATTTCCAATATATAGAGCAAGTCAAAGTTTGCAATTTGACTTGTATTACTTTGACAATTACCCTCCAATAGCCAACTTTGTTTAAGTGAATTCTAATGAACTTTACTATCCCTTAATTTTTCATCACATGATCTATATAATATGGATTACATAATTGGAAGTAATCCTTCTTTTTTAAAATATTCAAAGAGAAAATATTTTTATTCGAAATATCTCTCCCCCATTCTTTATAATAACGTGAGAATGTCAACTAGATTTAATTGACACAACATATTCCTTTATTAAAAAATTTGATTCATTCTTATATTGAGTTACCTCGTAATAATTAAGTATTTGAATTGTTTATATACTGTTGTTTCACTATTTAAAGTGGGTAAGTAAATTGTCAGGTCGGTTCACTGAACCGAAGAGAAAAAGACAAATCAAAATTTCGTATAATCAAATTGAAAGTAATGTCATAATTGAATCAAAATATATTCAGTTCGATTTGATTGGTTTTTTCTATATCAATTCAGTTTTAAACCTAACCGATTAATTCTTATAAAAGCGAGCCAAATCTATAAAAATTTCGGTCTAAACTACACTTGAATTTCCTTGTGAGCAATCTGATTAAACCGAACTGAGTCGGTTTTTTTTGCACACCAATACATATTTAGAACTATTGTTTTTGTTTTCTTTTTCTTTTCCATCGTACATCTACGTAAAAGTATATAGGTATAAGAGTAAATAGGACCAGAAATTTGTGATGAACACGTCTCGTTGGCAATCACGAGAAGCATTGATGGATGGACCATCTTCTACGACACAAAATTTCAAATCTTTAATGGACCGTTTCTAGACCAAGAGAATTGTTTTCCTGAGTTGTTACAATCATCACTATTAAATACCAGAAATTAATTAATGGTCTACATAAATACAATGTATCGTCTGGATTCATCGGCGACTTCATACAATCCCGCGAGAAATTCAGAAATTTTCTTTTTACCTAGTAAAATTGTAAATGGAACCAACAATAGCCAAACAGTCGTTATTTCGCTATTTTTTCTGCAAAAAAGAAAAAAAAAAAAAAATCACATCGTGCGGTGTGTTGTATACGATCCCACCAAATGTCGCTATCGTCGCACGTTCCTGAAATATCAGCGCGTGTCGGTATAAGGTGTCCAGCTAGATGGTCCACCCTCAGTCCGTCAGTCGTGGGCAAGACACGTTTCAGTATCCCCATTTTGACAGCTCATTGAGGTACAGCGGAAAATACTAAAATAGTTCTAATAATTTCAGCCTAATTTAACATTATTTAAAATATCTCCTGATTGATTGCTTTTTTTTTTTTTTTTTTTTTTCTGCAAAAAAAGAAAAAAAAAAAAAAATCACATCTGCGGTGTGTTCGTATCATCCACCACAATAGTCGATATCGTCTCGCACGTCTCCTGAACATATCAGCGCGTGTCTGTATAAAGGTGATACCAGCTAATGGGTCCCACCCTCAGTCCGTCAGTCGTGCGCCAAGACAACGTCTCAGTATCCCCATTTTTGACAAGCTCAATTGGTAACAGCCGGAAAATACTAAATCAGTTCTAATAATTTCAGCCTAATTTAAACATTAATTTAAAATATCTCACTGATTGATTGCTTTTTTCTTCTTTTTTTCTAAGATTATATTAATTTTATTAATTCTCTTAGATTTTAGTAATTGCAATAATTTTTTTTTTTTTTTTTCTAAGATTAATATTTTTATTAATTCTCTTAGATTTATTAGTAATTCAATAATCTGTTATTTCCCTTCATTTTCAAGCACTGCGTTTTAGTTTATATCAAAATTTAATCAAAATTTTTAAAAGATATTTTTATTTATCTAACTATCCGATTTATTTATTTATTATTTATTTTATTAATAAAATATCTCTTTCGTTGGTAATTAAATTATAATAACTTAATAAGTTCTTGCAAGAACTTCACATAATCCTTAAACAAAGCGAAATGCACTTTCAATTGTCTTTTTAATTTTAGATAAAAGGTTGGAATATACAAGCAAAACAATAGATCTGGCTTGGCATTTAAAAGGAATTATGAGAAAACAAGCATGAGTAGACATTTTGGATTTGGTTTGTGTGAACAATTGGTAGCAAAATAAAAAGATGGGGCACTTCAATGGCCCTATCTCGAATCTTCTATTCGGGAAGTGTCCATACCCAATATGGAGCCCATAGTAAATGGGTTGTAAGGGCCCAAATCAAATTATGATAGATCTGATCTGACTTTTCTAACAAATATATTCGGGTCCTCTTCCCCGTAAAAATTTTCTTAAATTGGTGGGTTATTTTAATTAATTATAAAAAATAAAAGGGTCGGTTGACAAAAAAAATAATTTTTTTTTTTTTTGATTTAGGCAGAATCCTAATAGCTTAATAAAACATTTATGCTGTCCGGTGGGACCCAAAATCTCCATGTTTTTTTCAACTCTTCCTTTGTTGATTTTTTTGCCGACTCTCTCCAGTCTGGAGTCATTGCTCTCCAAGTCTCAACTCAACAATGAAAATGGCTTCCAATGTTGAAACATTCGTTCCTCCTTCTTCGAACTATTACCATGTCTTATTGAGCTACAAATTGGAAGATACTAACAAGTCACTAGTTAGTTATCTCTATAAAGAACTGGAACGCAAAGGTCTTCTCTGCTTCAAAGCCAATGAAAAACTCCCGAAAGAGAAATCAGTTCCTTCTGAAATCTCGAATGCTATCGGACTGTCAAGATTTGCGGTTGTTATTATCTCAGAGACCTATGTATCTTCAAATTGGTGCTTAGATGAGCTTGAAAAGATAATTCAATGCAAGGAAACTAAGGGACTCTCTGTTCTTCCTATTTTCTACAACGTGGATCCTTTACATGTCAAAGACCGAGTAGATTCTACGCTGGAGCTGGAGCATGTGCAGAGATGGAGAGAGGTTCTAAACAAATTGGCTTTACTTGATGGCTTTAATTCTCGAGACTGGTAATTATTAGTCTCAATTTGCTATTACTCTACAAATAATTTATTGATGATTGTTTTAAATTCTTGCGATGAAATTCATTATTTCAAATTAATAGTCTATTTATCATATTTTTTAGGACTGATGATCGCAAGCTAATTGAAGAAGTTGCAAAAGTGATTTTGAAGGAATGGACTGATAAATTCTCAAGTGAAATTAATGGCCTCATTGGAATTGATTCGCGCATTGAGCAAATTCAATCATTATTAACCGTGGAATCAGAGGGTGTTGTATTTTTAGGAATTTGGGGAATGGGTGGTATTGGCAAAACCACCATTGCTAGAGCTCTGTTTGATCAAATCTCTAATGATTTTGAAGCTGCTTATTTTGTTGCAAATGTTAGGGAAGAATCAGAAAAACGTACACTACTTCGTTTACGAGATGAAATTCTTTCAAAAATTTTGGAGGACAAAAATTTAAATATAGGGATGCGTAGCGTATTACCCAGGTTAATTGTGAACATACTTCGACGGAAAAGGATCCTTATTGTTCTTGATGATGTTAGTAATTTACAACAATTGACAACTTTAGCTGGAGATCATAATTGGTTTGGTTTAGGAAGTAGAATCATTATAACAAGTAGAGATAAGCAAGTGCTTATGAATAAAGCTGATAAAATATATGAGGTTAAGGGATTGAATCACTATGAAGCTCTTCAATTACTTAGTTTGAAGGCTTTTAAGCAAAATCATCCCTTTGAAGATTATTTAGAGTTGTCACAAAGGGTTGTCTGTTATACTAAAGGTGTTCCTTTAGCTCTTAATGTTTTGGGTTCATTTTTGTACAACAAGCAAATAGAGGAATGGGAATGCACATTAGATAAGCTAGAAGAATATCCTAATTTAGAAATTCAAAAGGTGTTAAAGATGAGTTTTGATGAATTAGAGTCGGTAGATAAGGATATATTTCTTGACATTGCATGTTTTTTCAAAGGAGAAGATTTAGATTGTGTAATGAGTATTCTAGATGGTTGTGAATTTTTTCCAAATATTGGGATTAGTCGTCTTATTGATATGAGCCTCATATCCGTGGTAGAGAACAAGTTAGATATGCATGATTTGCTACAAGAAATGGGTCAGGATATTGTTCGGCAAGAATCAAATAAAAAGCCTGGAGAACGTAGCAGGTTATGGATTCCTGAAAACATTCATCATGTATTGACCAAGAATAAGGTATTTTAAAAAATGGCATTGACGATAATAATACTAAAAAAAACTTACTTATTGTATATAAAACTGTGTTACTAGTTTTATTTTCTCTAGTTAATGTCTATAAAGCATTTCAATCAAATTTTACTAATATTTTATTCTTCTCATTCACTGTCAGGCGAACATTGCAACTGAAGGCATATTCTTAGACATCTCCAAGATTGAAAAAGTAAACTTAAGTCCTGTAGTTTTCTCAAGAATGTGTAACCTGAGATTGCTCAAATTATATCACAATAGCTCTTTGTCATGGAAAAATCCAACTGGCTTTGTGTCAGAATCTGCAGCAGACTCAAGTGATGGCCTTCAATCTCTTCCTGATAAGCTATGTTATTTCCATTGGCATGGATACCCTTGGGATTCTTTGCCCTCTAATTTTTCTATGGAGAATCTTGTCGAACTTAACATGCCCTTTAGCAAAGTTAAAGAACTTTGGAATGGAGTTAAGGTATGCTTATTAGTATTATCTCTTCTTTAAATCCTAACAATAAGATTTTAAGTCATTGGATCACTTTCACTTGTTTCACAGCCTCTTGAAAAGTTAAAAAGGGTTGATCTTCATGATTCTGAGCACCTGACAACACTCCCTGATCTTTCTTCCGCTTTCAACTTAGAGAGGCTAATTCTTGATAATTGTACAAGTTTACTAGAGATTCCCTCCTCAATTCAGTTTCTCCACAATCTTGTTTATCTTAGTTTATCTAATTGCAAAGAGCTGCAAAGTCTTCCAAGCCTCAGTTCTTTGAAATCTCTTACGGTTCTTAATCTCTCTAACTGTTTAAACTTGAAGAAGTTTCCAGAAATTTCTGAGGACTTAGAAGAGTTGCATTTAGATGGAACTGGAGTGGAAGAATGGCCTAATTCTATTCAATCTTTTCACAAGCTTATGATCCTGTCTCTGGATCACTGTGAAGACCTTAGAAGTTTGCCAAGCAAAATTCATTTGGATTCTCTTGAAAAACTCGATCTCTCATGGTGCTCCAATCTTAAGAAGTTACCAGAGGTGGTAGGGGATGTTAAGTACTTGGATTTAGGATACACCGCAATAGAAGAATTGCCATCATCAATTGGGTCTCTCTCTTCACTTGTAAAGTTGAATTTGGAAGACACAATGATAAAATCATTGCCCCCGTCAATTGGGAATCTCTCTTCACTAGTTGAATTGAATCTTAAAGAAAGTTCAATAGAAGAACTGCCATCATCAATTGGGTATCTCTCTTCACTTGTTAAATTGCACATGGCAGTGACTAGTATAGAAGAGTTGCCGTCATCTATTGGACATCTTTCATCACTTGTTGAATTGAATCTCGAGAAAAGTTCATTAACCGCATTGCCCTTGTCAATTGGAGGCCTCACTTCGCTTGTTAAGTTGAATCTAGCAGTGACTGAAGTTAAAGAATTGCCCCCATCAATTGGGTGCCTTTCTTCGCTTGTTGAATTGAATTTGAGTCAATGTCCAAGTCTTGGGATTCTTCCAAGCAGCATTGGTGAGCTGAAATGTCTCGAAAAGCTTTATCTTTGTGGCCTTAGAAAGCTTAAAAGTCTTCCAAGTGGCCTTTCTAAATTGAAAAGACTTCAAGATCTTTATCTCAATCACTGCACAAAAGTTAGCAAATTGCCCTCTTTATCTGGTTTTGGCTCCTTGAGAGATCTTGTTCTAAGCTACACTGGCATAATAAAAATTCCAGGCACTCTTGGCTACCTATCGTCATTGCAGGTTCTACTTCTAAATGGAAACAATTTCATGAGAATGCCGGCAAGTATTAAACAGCTTTCATGGCTGGAAGTCCTTGAAGTATCCTACTGCAAGAGACTCAAGTCTTTGCCAGAACTTCCATCCCGAATAAGAGTTCTTCTTGCACATAACTGTACATCCTTGAAGACAGTATCAAATCCATTCATTCAACCCCAAGAATTACAAGAACTATCCCCGGAAGATAAATTTGGATTCACATTTGCTAATTGCATTAACTTGGAGAAGAATTCATGTGGCTACATTGTTGAAAACACATTGCTCAAATTTCAACTTTTGGCAACTGCATTACAGCAACTTTCCACAGTAAATTTCTATCTTTGCACACCCCCCCCTCTCTCTTTTTTTTATTGGTATACTCATTTACTTTTGTTTCTCTCTCTCTCTCTCTCTCTCTCTCTTTTGGGTTTTTGCAGAGACATGGAGATATACTAGTTTCGCCTGTTGTTTGTTTCCCAGGAAATGAAATTCCAGAGTGTTTCAGGTATCAAAACACAGGATTTTCCATAACTACACTGCTCCCTCCTAATTGGTATAAGACGAAATTAGTGGGTTTCACTTTTTGTGCTGTTATTGAATTGGAGAATACTCCTTATCAAGATGGTTTCGTATTCCAATGCAACTGTCGCATAGAAAACGAGTATGGTGACAATCTTGAATTCTGTTCCAAGGAGATCGGAGAATGGGGGAACCGATTTAAATTTGAGTCAGATCATATTTTCCTTTGGAACACAAGCTGTGTTGATGTGTTAACAGAGGAAAGATACAACCGGCTAAGGGAGAAATCTTGCACCGCCACATTTGAGTTCGGGTCCTTCGTTGAGGACGATTTTAAAGTAGGATTGCCTGCTGCAAACAATTTCAAGATCAAAAGTTGTGGGTTCAATCCAGTATACTCGAAAGGGTCCGAGAAGGAACCGAATTCAAAGCAGAGTTGCTTAGATTTTGGAGAACAGTTGATGGAAATCCAAACCAACAAGAAAAGGAGCTTTGAAGAGTATGGAATACAGGAGGAGAAAAAGGAATCGCAACATAAGAAATTGAAATAATTCCTACCTGAGCGTCCTGTCGTTTTGTAAAACTGCAAAAATCATTTAACACCCGTCTAATCCTTTTATTTTTTTGCTGGTGAGTGCAACAAATTTATGAAAGAAGTAGTTATTGCACTTCATTTACTGGAATTAGGTTGTGAAATTAGTAAAAAAAAAAAAAAAAAAAAAAAATTTAATTTTTTTGCTGGTGAGTGAACAAATTTAATGAAAGAAGTAGTTTATTGCACTTCATTTAACTGGAATATAGGTTGTGAATTTAGTAAAAAAAAAAAAAAAAAAAAGATTACAACGTTAAAAATAAAAAAAAAATGATTACAGTCCCTATTCCTGAAGGTCCTAAATTATAATTCACTTTCAAAAGTTGGAAGATTCAAATGACTGCTACTGTCCGATTGAGTTTCCTGCCTTCTTTAGTTTTCTGGTCCGCTCTCGCAAAAAAAAAAAAAAAAAAAAAAAAGATTACAACGTACAAAATAAAAAAAAAAATGATTACAGTCCCTATTCCTGAAAGGTCCTAAATATAATTTCACTTTCAAAAGTTGGAAGATTCAAATGACTGCTACTGTCGATTGAGTTCTCTGCCTCTTTAGTTTTCTGGTCCGCTCTCGCACCGCTTCTTCCTCTATCAGCCGGAGCTGTTCTTTATCCTCCTCCCTTCCAAGTCTTTCACTTCTTTTCTCTTCGTTATTAATTTCCTCAAAGTTGGTCTCCATGACAATATCAGCATCATCGCGTCCAATAAACCTTTTTGTATTAAACACTTCTTTGACCATCATGATAGCTTTTTGCCCCTCGTTATCATGTCGGTCAGTCCTTTTCTTGGGTTGCCGGCGACCATCTTGCAATGCTGCATTTTGCTTTTGCACTGTCTGTTTTGGCCCGATTCTTGGCTTATTATCTGGTGGTTTTTTCCGTTCCAAGTTGCGGTTATTAGCAGGTGATTCTGAATGCAGGTTATTACAGAGTCGCTCCTTTGAAGTCATTGATGCCAGTTTTGGTTTACCATTACTGTTCTTGCTATGGCAACCGTTGCCTGACGGCGGTGCGGTTGGTGTTTCTGTCTCATCAGATAGCAGAAATGAGTAATCTCTTGATTCCTTGAGTCTTGGGATTTTTGCTGCTTGATCAGAGCGCTTGTCCTTGTAACCTAAATCCTTGGATTCCAAGTTTGATGAAGCTTTGCCTTCTTTAATTACCCTTTCAGATATAAGGGTATGAGAAGAGCCATAATGCTTCTTTCCTGTGGGGATTTGTATAGAGAAGAGCTGTTTTCCTTGTGCATCTTCTTTCTGATCTTTTCTTTCAACCTCTGTCTTCATGCCAGATATTAGAGCTCCTTCGTGGCTGCCATGGCTGCCATATCTGCGATAAGAGAAAAGCTCTGATGGAAGTGAGAAATTAATCTTGTTGAGCAAATTAACGCAATAACTAGTTTATATATAGGATTATGTTTTTCCTGTCTTGATTTGGATTACTGTACATTACCGTTTCCGAATTGTAACAGGAATAGCAATATTTTTTAGGCGTAAATCCAAAAAATCTTATCGTTTTATATAAGCCAAAAGCCCATTGGACCTCAGTACATTAATGTTGAGAGAATTAGAGGCCCAACTATGAAATAATGGGCTTTCGTTAATCAGCCACGAAATATGCATGTGATAGATGCCCGACCACGTAATCACTAAGCATTGCATGCCACGTCATACGATAATCCGATAACGGGAATAAGAGGATCCTTTCATTTCAGCAGAGAACCGCACCGTTTGAAAGAGAGACTAAACAGAGAAATGGCGCGAGCTCTGTTTCACTTGAAGAGCGCAAGCGTGATGGCTTGCGCTAAACAGAGCAATCATGATAATAGCAGAGTTCAACTTCTCGAGAAGAACCGGAACGCGAAGGTTTTGGTACTTGGAGGAACGGGTCGGGTTGGCGGGTCCACTGCCATTGCTCTCTCCAAGCTCTGCCCTGACCTTCGAATTGTGATTGGTGGTCGAAACAGGTAATTAAAACTCTAACTAATCTTTTCTGCGGGGAAAAACTGTGTTCTTCATGGTATGGAAGATGCTAATTACTTGGAAATGAAATGACAGGGAAAAAGGAGCTGCCATGGTGGCTAAACTGGGGAAGAATTCCGATTTCGTTGAAGTCAATATTGACAATGTAGACTCACTAGAAGCGGCTTTAAGTGGTGCAGTAGTTCTTCTTCCTCCAGTTGTATAACTCTCAACTTAAATCATTTAGGTTTTCATGGCATCATATGATCAAGCTTGTAAAAGAATGAAACATAGTGGTAGCAATTGATGCAACATGAAGCGAAAGATCCTAAATTCAATTTCACTAAAAAAAAAATTGAAAGAATAATTAACGAGTATCTGATAATTTTATTGGTTTTTCTGCAGATGTGGATCTTGTGGTTCATGCTGCAGGACCTTTTCAACAGGCAGAGAAATGTAGTGTACTTGAAGCTGCCATAGAGACCAAGGTGAGAAAAGGTAATACGTTTTTATTTTTACTTTTAAGTTGGATGTTTTGATTTGTATATATTATACTAGGTAGGGATATATTTTATGGCCTTAGTTAGAATATTATCTAAGGACTGTGTTTTTGTCTTCCAACAGACAGCATATGTTGATGTTTGTGATGACACAAACTATGCACTACGTGCGAAATCCTTCAAGGATAGAGCTTTAGCTGCTGATATTCCTGCTATAACAACTGGTGGAATCTATCCTGGAGTTAGCAATGGTACAATTGCAGCATTCTTGTCTATTTACTTGTAGATATATTCTGAAAAAATAAATGCAGGGTCCTAGGTTCCAAGTATGAAATCTTTGCGTATCAATTTCCAGTGAAACTTGTCAATTTTATGAATTTTATGGGCATATTTCGTTATATGGCTGTCATGACAGTGATGGCTGCAGAGCTAGTTCGTGCTGCTAGAACTGAAAGCAAGGGGAAGCCAGACAGGCTGAGGTAACTATTTTCCTTTATTCTGAAAGCAGTTTCTCTCTAGCCACTCTACTGCATGCTGGTATTTCCAGGACCAGCATCCTCGATTTCCTTCTATGATTTTGGTTTATGAAAATTTGGTCCCTGATATTATTTCTGATCCTTAATTTTGGCATAGTATGTGTTGTAATGCTACTTCTTTTTTTTTTTAAATTTATGATGAAATCAAATTTGACTTGGAACTGGTATCCATGCTTGGTGAATGATTACTAGATAGGTTTAAAATGGATTGAAATACTTTCCACTATAGATTTAAAATGGATTAAAATAGTTTTCACTTCTCCTTTTCCTGTCAACTTTACGCAATATATGTTTGAATTTCCACTTCTTAGGTTCTATTACTACACAGCAGGGACGGGTGGTGCTGGTCCAACCATATTAGCCACTAGTTTCTTGCTTCTTGGTGAGGAGGTTGTTGCATATAATAAAGGTCAGTTTCAACAGCACATTTTACAAATTGGCATATCCCTTTGTAACTAGAATTTTGCAGTGTTATTCATGGTACTTAATCAATGCTCAATCCATTTGGGCTCAGGAGAAAAAATCAAATTAAAGCCTTTTAGTGGAATGCTCAACATTGATTTCGGAAAAGGGATTGGAAAAAGAGATGTTTATCTGTTGTAAGTGCTTCTCTAAAGAGATTTCTTGCAGTGCAGGACAAAGTTTTTGTAGTTTCCTATTCATGTAGATAATCACATCTGCAGTAATCACAGTGCTGAAGCAGTCTAGACTGTTTACAGATCAACTTCATAATTGAAATTTTCTCTAGGTTTTCGTGCATGGCTTACAATGAATGTTTCCCTCTCTAAAAGTTGATGCAAGTAGAAGATGTTTTACCTGTACTTACTGTTCTAATGCATATTATCTTTATTTTTCAGGAATTTGCCAGAGGTACGAAGTGCTTACGAGGTTCTAGGAATACCAACTGTCAGTGCTCGATTTGGAACTGCACCATTTTTCTGGAATTGGGGAATGGAAGTCATGACAAATCTTCTTCCCCCAGTATGCTCTTCTAAGTCTGAGAGTGTTACATCTAACCACATAGATTGAGTTCTTCTGATGTTGCTGTTATTGAGTTTTCTTTACATAGCACCCTTTCTAGTTACTCAAATCAGCAATAAAAGAACTTACAGTTCATATAGCCGATTAATTCCAGAAGAATGATAGAAGTACGCAATTCTGTTTACTCTTCCAGGAATTTCTAAGGGACAGAAGCAAAGTCCAAGAGTTGGTTCAATTGTTCGACCCTCTAGTCCGAGCAGTTGATGGGATTGCTGGAGAGCGTGTATCAATGAGGGTAAGATAATGAAATAGCTGAGCAAATGATAACTTCAAAGCCAATTACTCATCGGTGTCATTTGACATTTGGCTAAAAAAAGATGGGGTAGACATTTATTCATTGTTAAGTAAAATATCTGATCATTCGTACTGAATCATTGTATATCTTTCTATTTTTTGGGCAGGTTGATTTGGAGTGTACTGATGGCCGCAATACAGTTGCCATATTTACTCACCAGAGACTCTCTGTGTAATTCTCAATTTTCCATTTCCTTTGGCTCTCATTCAATTAAAACCTTCTCTTAAAATGTGCTTCTAATTCTAGGCTTTGAACAAAAATGCTGAGTTCTATAGTCTCTTGAAAAATATATGACGCGGTTGTTTTAATTTAGGAATGACACATGTCTTTCAGATCTGTAGGAAATGCGACAGCTGCTTTTGTTCTTGCAGTACTTGAGGGAAGCACACAGCCCGGTGTCTGGTTTCCAGAAGAGGTAGGTGCAACAAATAAATAATTAGCAGACACAAGTGCTACATTTAAACAATCCTAAACCAAGTCCATTCTCTATGTAGCCTGAAGGAATTATAATTGACGCGAGGGAAGTTCTTCTCCAACGGGCTGCAGAAGGAACAATCAATTTCGTAATTAATAAGTAAAATATCTGATCCAAAATTTTCAACCTTCATCCTTAAAACTTGCCATGCTTCTCCCCGTCCTCGTGCAATAGCATTCTGATTTTTCCATTTGTGCACAGGCCACCTTGGATGGTGGAAACAGAACCGAAATTGCTTGGATTAGGAATATATGTGTGAGAATTCTCTAAAACGTACCAAGTTACTTGAAGTTTTTCTTCGACTTCATTGCTGGACTGGACATGCTTATAAGGTAAAATTCCAGGATATATTTGATGCTTCTTTGTTCAAGTAATTTGAGCAAGCTGACATGTCAGTTTCATGTATTGTACAAATCAGGGTCCCGAAAGGACAGATTCACGAGTGTCCCAATTACACTGTACAAAAGAGATTGTTCCTTTGTGCTAATTTAATTGAATTACTTACTCTCCTCTGTATAAGCAATTCCAAATTTTCAGCCTCCTAAGTAATTTGTTGAGTACATTATAATTTTTGCCATTTAATCATTTATATTGTACTTAAAAAAGCTTTATCGTCCTCCATGTCAATTGCTTGCCTCCTCGTTCTTCTTGGAAACAGGCCACGAATTATTATTATTATTATTATTATTATTATTATTATATTTAAGGTATTATGTTCCAAAAAGTAAAAAAATTATTTACTTATAAGTATACAGAGAAATTAATGTACTTTGGGTGCATTGTATTTTTCATTAATGTACTTTGGGAGTTTTGAATTATTATAACCAACTACTGGTAATTATGATAGGAGTAATTAGGGTGCATTGTATCTCTTGAACTTGCACCAAAAGAATATATAACCTATATTTCTATTTGAAATGATTTCTAATGTTTTTAACTAATGAGAATTATTTAAAAATTTAAAATTAGAAAAACAAAAAATTTTTAAAAAATAAAATAATAATTATAAAAAAAAATTCAGTGTCTTTTCTATTGATTTAAAAAATAATGAAATAAAAAATAAAATAAACTGTATATTACTCTTATAAGGAATAAATTGAGATTTATTCTGATTAGATTCAACAATTTGTCTAAGCAGTACTTAATGGCGGAATGAGAGGGAGACATAAGGTGGTTGGTTGGTCCATACTTGAAGCGCCAGAACAAAACGCGTCTCCTTACGGGTTTTGGAAAGGAAACTTTTCTTTTCACCAAAAGAAAGAGACCATAATTAACGGAACGGAACTCCAAATCCGAGCAGGAAACCTACAAATCGAAACACCACCGCCAATCCCGTCTTTATAAATACAGCATAAACTTCAATCAGCTCCTACTTACTAAGTACAACTCTGAACTCTACTCTCTGTTCTTTGCGACCATGCCATACTTTCCGAGGCGCCAACATCATCAACAACAGCAACGAGAAAAGAACAACACAAGACCAATTCCTGCATGGGAGAAACAATTCTGCTTCGCGGTGGGAGGAATTCGGTGGCAAGACTTCCTTCGAGCAAAGAAATACGCTTCAGAATTTACCAAAATCATGGAATGGGATGATTCTGCAGGCAAAGAGTCCTTTTACAACGCCAAGAGTCGGTTCTGGGCAAAGAACGGTGGCCTGCCATTCAAAACACCTCTACCAAGTCCAGATATTTACATTGATCGGATAGATTGGACGGCTAAACTTGACTCTCAGCTTTTGTTGGACTTGGAAAAAGCTCGCATCTACCAAGTTCGAGATTATGAAAAAGAGACGGAGAAGGATCGTGTTCTGTTGAAAGATATAAAGCCAACAGGATGGGATATAGATTTTCAGGATTGGAATAAGCCTGTCTTGTTAATTGGTATGATCGTAGGAGATAAAGGGACCTCTGATGGTGATTATCTGCCAAGAAATTACAAGAGCATAGAGAATTATTATCAGGGTGAAAATGGATCTTCCACTTCAGGACATTTGAATTCAAGGCGTCAAGGATATAAAGCAAGAGTAACTAGGGCATGAACTAGTAATAATTATATAATGGTAGTATGGGCGTAGGCTTTTATAGTACAGGCGTTTACTCTTGTTTTTTTTTTTTTTTTTTCAGGATTTGAATAAGCCTGTGCCTTGCTTAAATTGGTATGATCGTTAGGAGAATAAAGGGACCTCTGATGGTGAATATATCTGCCAAAGAAATTACAAGAGGCATAGAGAATTAATTATCAGGGTGAAAATTGGATCTTCCACCTTCAAGGACATTTGGAATTCAAAGGCGTCAAGTGTTATATATATATGCAAGAGTAACTAGGGCATGAACTAGTAATAATTATATAATGGTAGTATGCGGCCGTAGGCTTTTTAAATAGTACAGCGCGTTCTTACTCTTTTTTTTTTTTTTTTTTGGGTTTCTTTTTCTAACGTCTCTGTCACAGTAGGAGAAAAGTCCAAATTACAAAAAATAAAAAATAAAAAAAAAAAAGAAAAAAGAGAAGCTATAGACCATTGCATGTATGCTACCATGGAGATAAATCTTTCAGCAGCTTAAAATCTGAATTTCATCCAAAGAAATTGCAATTGATTTATAGATAGTATTGTTTCGTTTACAAATGAATGAATCAAATTAAAATATTAGAAATATGAGATTTCTTGATTGCATTGTTTATATTTTATCTGTACAAGTCGCCGATACATTTACACACCTCAATTAGCAATGACTTTCTCATATCTCGTGAACAAAAACAAAAAAAAAAAAAAAAAAAAAAAAAAAAAAAAAAAAAAAAAAGGCCTTCCTTATTCCTTTTTTTCGTTTTTTTTTCCCTGCTCTTTTCCCCAGTCTAAAAGAGAACTCTTCAAACTCACAATTGCCACACACGAAGATTACGATCACCTCCATCAACTCTCAAAAATAGTAACTTTTCTTCTTTTCAGACGAGTGGATATACCAAACATGCAATAAACCCAAGTCGGAATCCCTCTGCCCCAACCATTTGGAAATAAGAAAAAAAAAAAAAAAAAAAAAAACAAATCCTTACATGTGTGAGAAACCATGATTTTCACCCCAGCTTCAGCCTATTCAAGGGAAACTCTTATCTCCCTTTGTAAAGACATTATTCTCAAAGTGCTAAAGCCAATCTCACCATCTGCTAGCCCTCTGAATTGAAGGCAACATACAGATAGCAGGAACGAAACAATCAAACCCGTTCATCTGCTTAACTTTTTGTCAGAAAATTTTGAATTTTTCATTGTTGCAAAAAACTTACTGTCACTCTGAAAAATGGAGATTCTTATCAAGGGAAGCAGACACAACCATAATCAAATCTGTTGACGAAGCCAAGCTGGCCTTATCGGTTGTCTCCTAGGGTCAGTTAACCTTACCACCGTACGATCTCCAAAACCTCTCTCCATTGTCTCCTAGGGCCAACCACTTCTATCAAATTGATTAGTTCTGGGTATCTGTGTATGTTCTGTATTTGCACCGCACATTGTGTTCTGTTGACAGTCCTCATTTCTTTCTCAAGGATCATACTGTGAGCGCCTGTAAAAAAAACATGTTAGGGAAATAAAAAAAAAAAAAAAAAAAAAAAAAACAAATCCTTTATGTGTGAGAAACCATGATTTTCACCCCAGCTTTCAGCCATTCAAGGAACTCTATCTCCCTGTAAAGACATTATTCTCAAAGTAGCTAAAGCAATCTCACATCTGCTAGCCCTCTGAATTGAAGCAACATACAGATAGCAGCGAAACAATCAAACCCGTCATCTGCTTAACTTTTGTCAGAAATTTTGAAGTTCTCATTGTGCAAAACTACTGTCACTCTGAAAAATGGAGATTCTTATCAAGGAAGCAGACACAACCATAATCAAATCTGTTGGACGAAGCAGCTGGCCTTTCGGTTGTCTCCTAGGGTCAGTTACCTACCACCGTACGATCTCCAAACCTCTCTCCATTGTCTCCTAGGGCCACCACTTCTATCAAATTGATAGTTCTGGGTATCTGTGTATGTTCTGTATGCACCGCTTACATTGTGTTTCTTTTGAGCAGTCCTCATTTCTTCTTCAAGATCATACTGTGAGCGCTGTAAAAACATGTTAAGGGGAATAAATATCAAATTTTCTCATAGAATAATAAAAGAACTAAAATTTAACAGTTTGTACAGCTAAGTAAAAAGCTTATTCTACAAAAGAAAGGCACCATGGAAAAGGTAACGGGAAATTATTCATTATGTATGTATCTAAAAGCTGGGTTTTTAATCAGTACGTTTAAAGGGTTTGTTATCAATCTAAAAGAGAGAGATGATATGAACAGAAAACATGCGAAGGAAAGAGAAACGGGTCTACTGATCTAAAATAAGAAGGGAACAAGTTAACTGATCCAAGTGAACAACCTTAGAGCAATTTTTTATCCTCTAAAGCATTTGAAGAAGGCTGTAGTGAAGTGCAGAAATTTGCATAAAAATGTAAGCAAGGGCATTGCTTACATGAATGATACAAAGTAAAGAATCTATAAAATAGCAACTAGCAAGTGTAATTTGTTTCTATAGTCTACATCAGCATAGGGTACTTGCTTAGATGCTCAATTTGTTTGAGTCTTGAACTCCACGGGAAGCTGATTCTGATTCTCACCAAAAAAATTGTCTTAACATCATATAGAAATAAAAAAAAAAAAAAATGTTTTTCACAGATGTCCAAGCCTTCAATTTTTTTGCAGGTTGGGCCAGTGGAGTTATCAATAGGTCTAGAAAAAGACAAATATGAACAAATTTGAGGGAATAAATGAATACAAAACATTAACAATAAGTTGCATTAAAATAACATCTAAGACCTTGGTAGGGTCCGAAAGTACTGCATATGCCTCCCCGATCATTTTAAAGAGTCTGTCTGCGTGCTTGTGAATTTCTTCTCCTATCTCCTTCCAGAGCCCATCATCTACATTCTCACTCCTCGCCAAGGACTGACCAGCCTACATCAATAACAGTTTGTCAACACAGCAAACCATAGTAAGACATGGCTAAAGCAGAATATGAAGAAACCTTGTCAGGATGGTGCCTAAGTGCAGCTTTCCGATACGCCTTCTTAATTTCAGATGTTGAAGCAGAAGGTTCAACTCCCCTGCAAACAATTTTGAATTGTAAAATGAGTTTGAGGTTCTTCTATAAAGTCATCATTAAAACTGATAGGCATCAGAAAGAGTGCAGAAAGTATGTAACTTCCTAGAAGAAAGATGACTTACAAAATGAGGTACATATTCAGAGGGATATCCTTTCTGGCTTCTTCTTCAATTGTCCCAAGACGCATGCGAGCTTGTCTAAGATCATTTGCCAAGTTTCCCAGTCTATCAGACGATCCATGCTGATTGTTCTTCTCCTCTACTTGCTTAGTGAGGAAAGCTACAAGTCTCTGAAGATCACTGGCTGCTTGTCCATAATCCCTAATCATCTCATATAAAGTGGCTCGTCTAGAAATTGCCTATTTTAAGCATCAAACATTACATACGAGGAAAGAATCAGTTTGACTAACCAAGTATAATTTATAAGCTTCAACATATATCTTGTAGTTACTGGCCTCCAAAGATTTATGCTTTCAGTTCCGACATAACAGCATGTTAGACACTTTGCTTTAAGAGAATATTATAAGCCTCCATTTAAAACATTTAAGGTTTTAACCAAGAACATTTGTCAAACAATTAAGCACTATTAACAATTAAGTGATGAAAGCATAGTACTTATGCACACGATTCAAAAAAAAAGCATTATATGTTGCATAGTCTTTCTGTAATCTAATTTTAAATAAACTTACCCTACCACCGAGTTAACTTGCTTATTCAAAATTAATGGTTTTAAAATATGAAATATTAGCAGGTTTACACACCATCAAGAAGTGAGACCATAGTTCTCTAGTCCATAACTTAACAGCCAAAAGGTTCAGTAACAGAGTCAAAGAAAAAAATAAGGCATTGGTTCAGAGGAAAACCTTTAGATACTTTCCATCAAGAGCTATTGCTAGGCTGCAGTCTGCAATAGCATCAGTAATTTGGCCTAATGCTTTGTATGCAGCAGCTCGATTGCAAAAACAAATAGCCGCAAAAGGACGTGACTCTACATTACATGACAGCGCAGCAGTGTAATGTTCAATCGCTTCTGAATGTCTTCCTGCTTGGAATGCTTCATTTCCTGCAGCCTACATGTAAGAATAACAAAAAACATTCATACAAAAAGACCATAAAACCATGAAAGTTCTTTCTGCTTCTGGTGCAGTAACCCAAGCATATCGGGAAGATGAAGCCTGAATAAACAAGTGTTGAGGATAAACAGAGATGGCATCCATATGTGTTTATGTAGTCTCATAATTTCTCTTTTAACTGATTAAAATCCTATGTTTCTCTATAGGACCCTAGAATCCACCAATTCAATCCCATGTAGAAAGTCAAGCTACCTTGTGATATAAAAGGTCTTCAGTGTGAGGATATTACAACTGTTAAAACAATAATATTAAACATATGACAAACAATCTAATAGGGCTGAATTTGTCTTCTTTGACACAAAATATGTATTGGCTAAATATGATTATGTGATACAAAAAATTACCTCTTGGGATTGTTCTGAAGGTATCAAGTAGGAATTTTTACACCATCTAATTCAAAAGAAGTTGGGACAATCTCCCTCAAATGGTTACATTTCTCAAAGATACTGCCTCCTCATCTTTCTTTTTAATCAGATTTATCAATCCCTAAATGTCTTCTTAACAATTGGACTGATTAAATACTTTCTTCACCTGGTTAAAATGAAGCGCTTTTATATTGTAGCACTTAGTTTGATATCTGTGTAGAAACTAATAATGATTAAAATAAAGAACCTAATGATAAAACAGGACTATGTTCCATCTAATATTCTTCCAAAAAAAATGTTGAACAGATGTTGTATGCCATGACCTATACCATTCATAAAAAAAATTAACAAGCAACCCCATACCTTATGGCGTAAGAGTTCTCGTACAATGGAAGCTAAAGGAATCATTGATTCCATCATCTTGCTATCGTTCCTGGGCAAATCAGGATCAAAAAACACTTTATCATATTTGAAAATAAATACCAAAGTTGACATGGGCAGGGAAAATGAGTTACCTCTTTGCAATCAGATGTTCTTGCTTTTCTAGTGAACTAATAGCATCCTCCAGCCTTCCAAGGTAGAAGTGGGATTTGAAAATGAGCTGGCACTTCCAAAGACTAAAGGAGGAGTCCTCCATAAATTCAGTGCCATCCAAACCTGTTGACTGGTAATTGGCACCAATTGGAGGAGAGTGCTTTTCAGTTGAATGAAAAGTCTGCTCACACAGCTGAATAACTTCTTCAAACTTTCGCAGCTGCAGATAACATAGAAGTTAACATAGTTTTGACTATATTTTGTTGTGTAACAGATTCTAAAGAAGACCAATAGTCTTAAATTCACAATGGAAGTTTCCTAGCATCAATAGAACAAATACAAACCACGAAAAGTGCTGTTGCTTTCATTTCAATTAATTTCTCCGAGTATGGACTTATAACCAAAGCCTCTGTGATTAGTTCCAAAGCACTCTCTGCATCGTTGTATGTTTTCCTTTGCAAAAGATCAGCAGAGCGAAGCAAGCATTCCGACACTTTCTGACAGTTAGAAAAATAGAAATCAGCACAAAACAAAAGGAAATAAAAGTTTCTCTTCAGAAGTTCAAACATGCATGTAAAGCAATTAATCATTTTTGCAAGAGGAAAGAGTACCTGAGCCTTTTGCAATCCCTCAGATGCTTCTACTGCAATTTTTCGGTCCACACAAACATCACTTCCTAACTGCAAGCACTTCTTGAAATACAGTAATGCATCTTCAACTTCCCCTAGGGCCAGATAACAACTTCACAAGAAATAATACTTGGTCAATGTTAAATAAACCAGGATTGAACATTGCAGAATGATGCCATTCAAAAAGATCACACAAAGGCAAATGGAGAAGCATGAAAATATAATTCTGTGATTAGCATTAAGGTTCGAACTGCTTTACCAAAAACTTAAATGTCATAAAATCAGTTTGAAACTGTTACTTGGCTATTTTGGAATTTTTATGCCCAAGTTATGTCAAATCTACCTCAAAACAAATTGACTTTAATCAACATTTTAAGATGGTCCTTTCATCAATAAGATCTAAAACAACAAAGCCAGCAGACCCCAAGTTGTTATAGCCAAAAACTGAGATAAATATAACTACAAAACCACCCATCAATTCATTTAAGAACAGAATTTACTACTTGATGGTACACTAAGGCAACTCAATAGAGCCAACTTAACAACATAAAAAGACAAAGGAGGGGGGGGGGTGTAAAATAATGTATGATTTACAAAAGAATGAAATTAGATGATAAAAACAGTATAATAACATGTATTTACAAATCCCTTAAGCAGGAAACAAGTGCAACAACAGTAAACTAACACTTATGTGGTGCAAAAGTAAACACAACAGAATGATCAACCTACTCCATGTCAAGGAACAGGAAAAAGCAACAAATAGAGCCTTACTTTGCAGCTCTAACTTGCACCCTGAGAAAAGTGGGATCAATTTCAGCAGCCATCTTACAATCTCCTAGTGCATCCCTCATTCTTCCTTGAGACATACGTGTTGCTGCACGGTTGCTATAGCACAACATCAATGCCCTGAGAGTACTTCTGGATGTCTCACTCTTAGAAATACAATTAATCCCTAGTGTGTAAAAATCCTCTGCTTTAGACAAATCCCCGCGTGTATATGCTTGGTTACCCCTAAAATAAATGGTTAGAAGACATGATGGACTCAAAGCTCACACAACAATGAGCACAACAAATATCCAATATAATGTGGCAAGATAATAAGAGAATATTTCAGAATCAGAACAAATGAGATGAAGTCACGCTGTAGTATTGTTACCTTAATCGCCACTTCTCACATGCTTCCTGAGCTGCAATAGATGCAGCTGAAATCAAATCAGACTCTTGCTTCATCTCCTGTCCTCTAAGGACCTCCAAATTATCTCCAACCATGTGGAATGGAGTGGATAGGCCTACTTTCTTGCCTAGGGATGGGGATGAAGGCAATGAAGATCCAGAGGATGAAGTCAACTGTGAAGAAGATGACGAACGCGTAACTTTCACATTTAGGCTGGAATTAAAGGAACTGCGACCAACTTTAGCCCAATTCTTCATTTTATGATGATGTTTTGATGATGCTTGAGCAGCAGATGAAGCAGCAAAAGTGAAACCTGATCCACCTACATCCTCTGAACATCTAGGAGAACCAAATTGAGTACTGACATCAATATCTTGCCTCTCTACATTTGTGCTTGAACTGGCTTCATTTTCTGCAGAAGTAACCATAATATCATTGACAAAGTCTATTTCCTCATTTGCAGATTTAAAGCTTTCTGTTTCAGCCCCGGATATGGACTCTTCTCGAGGATTTTCAGCACCAATACTTCTGTCAGAATGATAATCAGAACCTTCCTTTTTCATTCTTCTGAATTTCACATCCTCCTCGTTTATATCCATTTTTTGGGTTGCAACAGCCAATTCTTCATCTATTGCATCATCCAAAGCAGTTGGTTTTGAATCAGTTGATGGACATTGGTTGTCAAGACTGAAAGACTCTTCCGAGGCAACAGAAGTTTCCCTGGAAAACTGAGTATCAGATAACATTTCCTGATACGGTGAAACATCCATAGGTGAGTAAGATTCAGAAACCTCTGGGATTTCACGATAAATACTTTCCCTTGAAACAAAATCTTGTCCAGGCCATAGATGGACTTTGGTAGGTTGCTTCGATTTTCCCTTTGTTTTCTTTACTTTGGAATCTTTAAATTTCGCACTGACTTCCACTTTCTGATTGAAGCCACCGAATACATTTCCTTTTACATTTGGTGTTTTGAATTCAACGAAGGGTGACCCAGAAGCATCTTGCTTGCTTGTAAAAATAAACCCATCCCTTTTCTCTGCTCTACCCATTGGTGGCAAACCAAAAGGATATCCACCAGCAAAGCCGCCAGATGAGAATGCAGTAGATGGTCCAGCAACTCCACTTGGTTGTGCTTCAAATTTTGGTTGATCTATAGGAAATTGACTACCAGTTGCTTCCTTACCATGTATTCCTCCCCTAGAAGCAAATTCCGTGGGAAAAGTATCACCAAAATCCTGAAAGTTCTTATCGCCCCCATTTCCAGTTTGCATATCCTTTCCAAAATCTGCAGGAGAAGTAAATTCCATGTCTGTTTGAACAGAAGATCCTGCCATTTGATTTCTAATATTCAACTTATTCTCCATCTCGCTAGATAGTATATTCTCTCTTTCTGCACGCTCATAACTCCTGGTCCCTTCCATCTTTCCAAAAGCAAAACTATTTTTCTCACAGGTCTTATTATCAATGTCATTAACATCCGCAGAGCCCTTGACATTCAAATTCTTAATCTGATCCGGAAGTGTATTCTCCAAGCTTTCAGTAAATGCATCTTCAACTTCAGCACCACTTTTGCACCCAGATTCTTTCAAATCACGCGCCCTGGAGGTACCAGTACCTCCATTGAAATCTTCTGTCTCTTTGATATTCAATTTCTTCTTCAGCTCTTCTGGTAGCCTTGATTCCACACTTTTCCCAATGTACGAAGGCGCATTGGCACCACTTCTAAACCCAAATTTGGCATTATCATTTCCCATTAATTTGGTCCTTTCATCAACAACCTTACCAATCTCATTATCATCAATGGTCAACTTCTTCATGTTATCATCAATACCAAAACTCTTATTCTGATCACTCCCAAACACAAAATCACTTCTATCACTTGCATTTAATTTATTGTTCAGAAATACATTTCCAGTTCCAATTCTCACATTTTTCATTTGTTCAATGACTTCGCTTTCGACATTCCACTGCCCGGAATATGAATTCCTACCTGATTTACTCTTCGTGGCTTCAAAAGCAAATGCCTCGTTTCCACCTTTGCCAAACCCGAATTCACCAGAACTCGAAACATCCTGCTGAACAGGATTCGAAACAGGTGCAAAGGGATTGAATCCTAGACCTGTTACATCAGCTGCGGATTTCAAATTCTGGGAACTCGATTGCCTTCTAACTTTCAGCATTCTCGGCCTAGAATGATGCTTTCCCGATGATGATCGCGTAATAGAAGGCGAGTTAAAGCTCAAACTCTGGCCATTTCCGCTCGAATTCGAAAATCCAGAATTTAAATCACCAAAATTTGATGGATTCATGTTGTTGACGAAGAATCTCTGCACTCGTGGCTGTTCCGTTTGAGAAATCAAATTTAAATAAGAAGCAAAAAAAGACAACAACAGAGGATGAGAAATCTGACCGTTGAGATTAGGGTTTTGAAAGGAAACACCGGCGTCTAAAATCGCCGGCGACATGTCAATGCGGGAGTCATGAAATCAGACGGCGGAGAGAATGTGGTGATCGAACAAGAGATTGTGAATGGGATAATGATTGGGCGTAATAAATAAAGGTGTGGGGTTTGGTTTGAATAATTGAGAGAAAGAGATTTCAACGACATGTATATGCAATACGCAATGTGTACATGGCTAATGGCTATCTGTTCCTTTGATTTGAAGGAACGGAGATAAATGAAAGATTAAAGAGATAGAGAAGAAGGGTCGCTGTTTCACGGGGGCTCCCTTTTCACCATTGTCATGTGTTTGATCCTGCAATTGTCATTTCCATTAAAGTTTAGTTTTATTATTATTATTATTATTATTATTATTATTATTATCATTTGTTAACAATAATTTCATATTCTTGTTTTTTTATACATAATTTGGTTTATCAAAAATATAAATTTTGGTTTCCATTATTTGCTTTGATCATATTTAATAGGTAATGACAAAAACTAAAAAATCATTGTACTTTAATTATTTTTATTTATTTGTTAATCACTTAAAATAGGTCAATTTTAGGTATTGAGGTTAATAATATATTTCAATTATGGGATTTTATAAAGCGTATTTTCTTTAATTGACATGAATTATGAGAAAATAAAATTCTTTTAATAGTTGATAATTTTAAATTGAAACAAACTAAAATTTATAAATAAATTTTGCCTGGATTGATTTTGCTTCTGCTATTGTGGATGATGATGATTTCGCCCTCTGCTACCCAATTGCTCGTTTTTGGTGAAACAAATTAATTTTGACGGATTAATATATTCCACCAAAAAATATTTGCCATCAATACAAGACATTAGTTCATTAATTTTCTAAAAATGTTACTATATATATAATTATCATTTGTTAACAATTAATTCTTCATTCTGTTGTTTTTAATACATAAATTTGGTTAGTCAAAAATATAAATTTTGGTTTCCATTATTTTGCTTTGATCATATTTAATGTAGTAATTGGACAAAAATCTAAAAAATCATTGTACTTTAACTTATTTATTTATTTTTTAATCACTTAAAAAGGCTCCAATTTTAAGGTATCTGAGGTTAATAAAGTATATTTCAGCATTATGGGATTTTATAAAGCGTATTTCTTTAATTGACTATGAATTATGAGAAAATAAAATTCTTAATAGTTGATAATTTTAAATTGGAAACAAACTAAAATTTATAAATAAATTTGCGCTGGATTGATTGTGCTTCTTGCTATTGTGGATGATGATGATTTCGCCCTTTCTGCTACCCAAATTGCTGCCGTTTTTGGTGAAACAAATTAATCTTTGACGATTAATATATTGCCACCAAAAAAATATTTGCCATCAATACAAGACATTAGTTTCATTTAATTTTCTAAAAATGTACTATATATATATATTAATATCATATATATATATTATTATCTACATTCCTTGACACATAGATGAAGTGTATGAATTCAATGTAAATAGTATATTTATATCTACATTCCTTGACACATAGATGAAGTGTATGAATTCAATAAATAAGTATATTTTCAAATATTATAATTTGTCCCCTCAAAAAAATTTATAATTTTGATATATGTACATTATATAATAATATATAAAAAACAACTAATATAAACTGGACTTAGGTTGGGCTGGGTCATAAAATTATGATCCAAGTCCAATCCTTGGTTATTCGGGCTTTTATCGGTTGGGTCGTGGATCAGGCTCGAACTGAAAAATCTGAAAAAGTAATTACATCTCGAACGGCAGGCCTCAAGCCTATAAATAGTCTAATACCGGCTCTCTTTAAATTTAAAATCAAGGTGTTCGACCCATATCCATTTAACGGTCCATATAATTTAACTGCTCCATATTTCAGACACAGGAGGTAGCCTGTGAAGATTTTGTGCAAACACATATAATACATTTATATGAAATTTTAGACGCAAACATGATATGAATAATACTTTTAATTAAATAGATTATATACGAATTATATAAAGAAAGATAACACGTTTAATTGAACCTAGTATAGATTCACAAATCAAATTTTTGTACAATCCATTTTAAAACCAACAAAAAAACACATTAAAATTCATATAAATATATGAATAAAGATAAAAAAAAATAAAAAATAAAGGACGGGCCAATGAAAAATTGAGTATAATATGTTAAAAAATATATCTTCTAAATGAATTCTGATTGAAAATTCTATTTTTTTTTAATTAGAATTTGAATTTGTTAATTATATTTATTACATTATATAATTAATAATTAAAATAAATTATTTTTTTTTTATAGTAAAATAAATTAATTCCTTTTATTCATTTACGAGCAAAGAAATGACGTGTATGATAACAAAGGAAAATGACGTGGTCAAGGAAAAACGTAATCGACCCGTCACAGGAGCTCAAGGAAAACGAAAACAAAAGAACAAAAAGAAATGACTTATGAATCGCGTGGTCATTGCCGTGTTAGGCAAAGCTACCCCATTAATGAACTACTGGTCTATTTTGGAGCTCGAGCCGTCCTATCTATGTTCATCAAAACTCCCTTTATCATGAACATTACTATATATTTTAATTTGATTAATTAATAATTTTGTTCAATTGGCTATTTATCTGTAAACAATTATTGCTGCTAGAACATCTCCATGGCTCTGAAACTTACCTATATACAGTCTTTCTGCTTAATAAAACCGAACCATTGGCAGGTAATTATCCACTAATTGGATTTTGCAGTCTTGTTAAAAATGGATAGTCAGTTTTTAATCACTTGACTTGCTGACATAGGAGACATAGCAGTCTTGCCAGAATTCTTACAATACTGGAAATTTTGACAGATAACCTCAGGTTAGGCGCAGAAGAAGATGTTTCTACGCCAGACTTGAAGAATTTTCTTTTCCAAGATGGAAAAGAAAATTCTTCCGCCAGTTAAGGCAGATGATGATGTTGTATTGTTGAAGAATACAAGATTTTGGCATGGCTAGAGTATTGACTGGGAATAGCAGGATAAGGTCCTCATTGATGGCCATACACTAGTCTTAATTCCATAAATGATAGCACTTCCCTTTTACTATATATATGTGTATGGAGACGGGCATAAGGAAACATAGAAGATAACTTGGAAGTGCAAAGAATTCTATATCAACACCTCCATGACTCCTCTGATGCTAATTTTTGGGCTTTTGATTTCTCTCCTAGGAGTTATAGGTAAGTGTATATACTGTTTTATTTGGTGTTCGAATTCATTTCATTTTCATGTCCACTGAACTATTGTTCAATTTGTTGCAGATGCACAATCCATAGGTGTCTGTTATGGAATGAATGGCAATAACTTGCCTCCTCAGCAGGAAGTTGTTGATCTTTATAAATCAAACGGTATTGGAAGAATGAGAATTTATCATCCAGATGAAGCAACCCTCCAAGCTCTTAAAGGATCAAACATAGAACTTATGCTTGCAGTTCCAAATGACAAGCTCCAAGAAGTTTCTGATGCCTCAGCCGCAACAACTTGGGTGCAGAACAATATTGTCGCCTATGCATCTGACGTCAAATTTCGCTACGTTTCTGTTGGAAATGAAGTGCACCCAGGAGATGGAAATGCAAATTTTGTTCTACCAGCAATGCAAAATGTCCAAAATGCAATAGCATCAGCTGGTTTACAAAACCAAATTAAGGTTTCCACTGCAATAGACACAACTCTGATAGGAAAATCATTCCCTCCATCAGATGGTATATTTAGTGACAGTGCAAGTGGATATATAAAGCCGATCATCGATTTCTTGGTAAAAAATGGAGCACCTCTTCTGGTGAATGTGTACCCTTACTTTAGCCATATTAACAATAAACAAGACGTTAGCCTTGAATATGCCTTGTTTACTTCGCCTGGAGTTGTAGTACAGGATGGTCAATACGGATACCAGAATCTGTTTGATGCATTATTGGATTCCGTTTACGCTGCTCTTGAAAAGTCCGGCGGAGGGAGTTTACAAATTGTTGTATCAGAAAGTGGTTGGCCATCTGAAGGAGGAGATGCAGCAACTCCTGATAATGCAGGAACTTACTATAAGAACCTGATTAGTCATGTCAAGCAAGGCACTCCTAAGAAGGCAGGACAAGCTATAGAGACTTATTTATTCGCCTTGTTCGATGAGAACCAGAAAGAAGCAGGAATTGAGCAACATTTCGGTGTCTTTCTCCCTAATAAACAACCTAAATATCAAATTAGCTTTGGTTAGTTAAATTGTGCTATTAGGCCTTCTATTTAGAGCTAAATAAGAGTACTGCTTACAGAACTCATTAATAAACAAACTTTTATGAATAGATTCATGTCTCTCTTTCTCAAATCATTCCAAGTAATTTTACATTCAAACCTTTGATTTTCTTTTATGTAGAGATTTAGGAATCATGCCATAATACCCGTATTCTTGAAAGATACTTTCTTCTCCTCTGAAGCTTCATATAAATAAACGGTTAGGTTAGGTTAGGTTAGGTTACGCTGGATAGGTTTGGGCTGATAATATGGAATAATTTTGGTTTGGGCCGAAAATGGGCTTGAATTTTAGGGGATTATTTAGGTAATGGTTAGGGATTTATGATTGGGCCGTACCTAGAAATATAATGATGGGATTGGGGCACAATACTAATAATTACAGGAAACACTTTGCTTTTTCAAATGGGACCATCAATTAAAAATCTGATTTTGATGCCAAATTTGTAATGTATCTTGTCAAGATTGATTGATTGATTGGACCTGTCCCACCTCCTTATCTCATTTCCATGTTCCTTATTTACCCTTAATTCCACTGCCATTTTGGGACTTGTACACTCTTATCAGGAGCAAAATTATCAGGGTAGATTGTGAATTATTAAATTCATAATGGATTATAGGAGTAAAGAATACAAGTCCTCTAGAAATCAATTCAGGTACGAACATGATATGTTTCTTGGAAATTATTTTCGTGGGACCTGAAATTAATAAGCTACAAGGCCATGTTTAATGCTGCAACTTTTAAGCTCCTGCAATGGGAGGAATTGCAATGGACTTGGACAGGTTTGGTCATTTCTATTCCCCCTCTATAAGGAAACCAAAGCAGGACAAACAAAACATATGCATGAACATACTGCTTGCATAAAATTATCAAAATCATTATATTTTTTACGATAAAATATAACCGAGACTCTTAAATTATGTTCAAATTAATACTTAAATCCCTCTGTATTAAGAATAACTATGATGTCACTTCTATCTCACCATTAGATCCTTTCAGAAGAATCCGATAATAAGATAAAATATAAGCTATGGATGTCATAATTATTTCTCAAGTGTAGGAAAATTTAAATATTAATTTGATCATAATTTAAAGACCCAATTGTATTTTTCCCTATTTTTAATTCGCTTCTGCTGATATGAGTATAAATGTTGGATCACAGGTAGACCTAATTCCTTATAATAACAAAAACACAATTTCAGGTTTATGATAAAGTCCCTATCAGAGTTGCTCAAATTTGGAACCAAACAAACCCGAATAATTTAGGCAGCATATTTAACATGATGAAGTAAGTACTGATTAAAAAACAAAAATAAACAAGGGGTTGTACCAAATTGGCCTTTCACATGAGAACACATGTTAACATCTCAACGGCAGAAGAGTGAATGCATTATAAGGACAAGATTTCTGTGTAAAAAATATAACAGACATCGACTAGTCCAGTGTCAACCACTGTGGTCCATGTGCTTCTCAACAAGTAGGTGAAATACTTTAACAGACAAAATCCAAGAATGATATTTCAGAGAAAAGGACTGGGATTAATGGGGACAAATATGCAATCATGGAGAATTAATTGGGTCAATTATATAATTACGTGCAAGTCATTATTAATTGAAAATCCTAAATGCAATATCATAAACAAATGTCCTCAGGGAGACATAGTTGAGGTAAAACGTTCCCATCAAGAGATCTTTAATTCGAATCCTAAGTAGTTAGGAAAGGAGTTAAATGAAAAAAAAAAGAGAGAGCTCTCTCTATTCTGTAGCTCATTTGAAACCACGTGAGTCAGAAAAAAAAATATCATAAACAAATTCCATTTTTACAGAAACATGTATTAGAAAAACCACCATGCATGACTATTTGCACAAAGAACTCCAAAATATCAACAGCTAAAAGAGTAGAGGGTTTCAAGCAACAAATGCAGCACATGCAGAACTACCGTAAATTGAAAACAAATAAGAAAACAGCACTCCTAGCATCAATATACTACAGATTCAAAAAAATACATTTCAATGAGCTGAAAGAGAAAGGAGTGCGATACCCTGATACCATCTTTATAAACTGTCAGCACCCATGTGACAAGATTTGCCCTTTCCCGCATGTGGACCTAAGAAAATAAAATGAGACAAAAGAGTCCTCTAAAGCATGCCTTGAACATATAAAACAATACCCCATTTCACCTCCAACTGTTTCTTATCTAATATAACTTAATTTGTTTCACTTTGCCTATTTGATGATTTCAAAGTGGTTAATTAATCTTTTTTTGATAACAATTACTGTGCAAACAAAGTTAATAGTTTTTTTATAATAAGAAAACAATATTCAACACGGTAGTTGATACTTCTGTTTCCTTTAACTCTAAACTTGGTCTGCTCTCATCCAAGCCGAGGCTGTATATTTGAGCTCTAATCTTGTCCACACATACGTTAACTTCTCTCAAGTGTAATATCTTATAAAAGAATGGCGACATAAAGCAAAGATGTATACTAGACATTGTACCAAGAGTCATATTCTTTAGTTCTAATTTAGTCTGTGGTCCAGCACACAACCTAAAAAAAGAGCCAAAGTAATAACAAAGAGAACCCTACTCAAATTAGTTCATGTGTCCATTATGTATGTAATATGCTTTTGCTGTTAGTAGTATTGTATCGATGATGATGATCATGGCAATCTTGCTGAGATATTCTCTACAGATCTACCATTTGGTGAAGGTATGATTTTGCTATACATCTACAGGACCTTCTTTGTATGTGCCCTATTGTCTGCATACACAAACAAAAAAACAGCTCAACATCATAAAAAAAAATTCATTTGATTCATCAGCTGTATGTCTGGAACAGAAAAGTCAAGATTCACATTAATCTCTTACCCTAGCAAAGTCGATCTCTTTGTCCAAGCTTAACCTTTATTACCTACATAACTCTGGCTTTGCATCCAAACAAAAAACATATATATGTATATACATCAGAAACAAAGTGCTTATCTATCAGATTTAAGCACCTACTCCTGGAACTGTAAGAGAATAGAATTATAGCAATATAGCAAATCAAAGCAAAGAAGCACCTTAGCATTTTGAACATTATTAAAGAGAAGCCATGTTGCCATTAGAAGTTTCGGGCACTGACACGCTAATTTCAGAAGATGAATTGCCATAGAACTCGGTGCTTTTTTTAACTTCTGCCAAAGGAGGGGAGATCTCAACTTGATTCCCCAGTTTTTTAGCAGGAGAAGCAAAGGGGCTATCAGGAAGACCATGCTCTATTATGGTCGTGCCACTGTAAACAATTAAACAAAAGATCAGAGAAATAAAAAAGACATGTAAAGGGGGGCACATCTAGAAAACCTACAGAAGTTGACAATCAAATAAGAATCACTCGGGGCATCTGAGATGGAGAAAACTTGAGGGGATTGAAATTTCATACCACTCATTGGCATCGCATCCTTTAGGGTCAAAGTTCCCCTCCTTGCCATTGACTGTACCATTACTTTGAATGCAAGATGCATTTACATCAAGCTGAAGGTTCTGTTCAACAACAGCCATAGTAGAGGCAGCACTGGTGGATGAGTTATTACCCCCAACTGTCAGAAAAGAAGCAAATTAGCCAAGGCAAAACTACTTTTTCCTTGATGTACTCTAAGTAGTACCATGCTGATTTCTAAAAACCACCACTAAGTTAGCATACCCTCTAATACATCCTGATTCTTGACATTGGAAGTAAGATTTAGATTGATATCAACAGGAGAATGAGGGGGCAAGGAAATTGGTGCACCAGCAGACAGACTACGTTGGTGATTGTGAATATAGTCGCCCCTCAGGTCTGGAAGTTGCAGATTAATCAACCTTCTCCCTTGGAGTTCAATTGCTTGCTGGAGTTCAGCCTGCTGCTCCAACTTTCTTCTTAGCATCATCTCCTGTGTATTGTAGAGCATTCTTGCTCCTGAAGGGAGATTCAATCAAAAGAGTTCCATTGTTCTACAGGACTTTGAATAGAAAAATTATGCAAGAAATGGAGCAGAACATTTTCATTTTTCTGGATGCTGGAGAAAAATGTATGTTTTTACTCTTTACTCACCAAGGCGGAGATCATATAGCTCTCTAGGATCAAGTGCAGAAGGGCTAGAACAGGGTGAAAAGTTACCCCTATCCATGAGCTGCTGTTGTAGATGTTGTTGCCTCCTGATGTCATGTCATCCGCAATTAAAACATCAATGCTGGAAGGGGTGAGAAGAAAATGAAATAAAAAAATAAAGAGGAAAGATCCCATACTTGTTTGCAACTTTTCCTTTTTCCTTGTATGGCTTAACAAGCACACGTGAATTGCAAATAAAATGAGGGTTCCCCCGAGACAATATAACCTTCACAGTCTCTGAGTGGACGAATGTGACAAATCCGAACATTCGCTTCTGCTGATATGGAATCCTGACATCTTGAACTGGACCAAAAGTGCTTGAAACCATATAAAAAGAAACCATATTAATTATATTATTCAAACAGCTGAGTCAATGGCTTATGGCTCAAGAACAATATGAGATATGAAATCACATGTATATGCCCCTAATCACTAAAGAAGATAGTCTCTTAAAAGAGCCAAAAATAATAATTATTACTATTGTCAGTCTTTGATTCTGAACAACAGTCCAAAAGCAAAACCATAATGGGACTGCACCCTTCAAACTCCAACCTAAACAGCTTAGATTACATCTACAATAGCCGTAGAACACACTATAATCCACAGTATTATATATAAATTTCACATGCCTTCTTCAAGTAGATTAGTTCCGTTATCCAGACAACTGTAAGTATCTAGCACGCATCCATCCCCAGACACTAGAACACATACAACTCAGCAGCAAAATTATTATCACAGGCAGTTTATGTGCAGTTCTGAAGCAATCGAACAAGAGACAGGAAAAATAGAAATTAAGAGAAGCTCTTGCGGCATGCTGTGCAGCTATGGAGTGTATAGTCAAGAAAAACAAGCAGTACAACTGAAATTGGAAGGCATATCCTGACATAAGGATACAAATTTGGAACTGTCAGCAACATTCTCAAGAGGAAACCGAGTGAACAAACTTCCCCACAGCAGGATATAAGTATTATCCATTATAAGATCAAATCGGCAACTACATAGTATAGGAAGACAGCTTCATAATGCTTCTATCATATGTTGAAAGCATAAGTTGTGGAACGCCTACATTCACACTGATATTGTCCTTCAGAAGGAACTGGTGACGTACATGCTGCCAAACATTTTCGGCTTAACATGTTATGTTATTTTCTACCTCTACCTTGGCCTAAACAGCATCTAACCTCAATCTCTGATAAAATTGTGCAACTAAACTGAGAGCAACAATGAGACTTAATCCTCATGACAAATAAATACTGCCATCATGTACCTGAAATAATTTGATACATCTTCATCTTTGAAAGTGCTGTCAGCTGGGAATGTCAAGTAGATCTGCCTGGAAGCTGAGTTTGCCTTTTCTTCAATTGCCATTGCCAAAAGGTCATTCCTTTCTGAACGGAACTGGCCAAACTTGTGAATTTCATCACCCATAAGAACTGATGCTGCCCCCATTCTGCAATGCATCAGACCCCAAAATACACCATTAACCAATCTAAAATCAGAATTCCAATAGCAAGCCAAAACACAAAACAAATGCTGATTGTCATCTTGAATGTCATCCATGGAGTGGCATCCAAAGAAAAGATAAACATTGATATCAAAATAAGAATCTATACACAAAAGACAAAAGATATCCCCAGTTTTAAATTTTCATGCAAGAGAAAATTCACAGGAAAAAAAAATGTGTGATTACCAATTTAAATTAGTGTCATTAATACAGAGAGAAGGATAAAAATGAAAAGGAGAAAAAAATTGTACATCATACAGCAAATAAAGGTCAAGGGCAAATGGATACTTTTAAGCTCTAAAGTGCTCCACTGAGACCATATACCAACAAAATAACTAAAACAACCATAACAATAATCAAAAACTCAATACCAAAACAAACTCAAGATGAAAAAATATATTCAAAAATTTAACACCATAAATGCATGCCAGAATAAGGGAGAGTTCATCAAACTACAAGCTGGCAAATTTACAGAAACTATAAAAGATGAAGTGGATTATTCCCAAAATACCTCGGGGAGTCATTCTCTTGCTGCAACAGAAAATTCATGTACTTGCTGTAAGCCAATCTTTGCTGGTGCTGTGCAGCCTTCATTCTCATAATTTCTTCATGCTGTTGCAAATAAAGACCCTCCATTTCCCCGGGTGATCCCACAATGGCACTCCCAGCACTAACCTCACCGATATTATCACCACCAAAACCACCATGAACGAACTTGCAATTGTCTCCATTCTTACAAAACCCTCTAGCAAAGTACATACATGGTCTGTAGCCAATTCCAAAACCCCCGTCTTCAGTACCAAAGCAAGCATCACTCTCTGAGAATCTCCTCCTATGCAAATGGCTATCCACATTATTCATACCAAAACCACTCAACTGAAGCCTTGGATCCACAAATTCTTCATGTTGTGGAGAGAGATCATCAAGAAAAGAAAAATATTCATCTAATTGGTACTCATTAAGTAAATCACTGTTGTTATTGCCAGTATCTGCACTCCCATTAACACCATTCTTAGAATATGGAGGCACTAAAGCAGAACCAGCACGTATATTGTCGTAAGAAAGAAAGGGACTTGACTTTGGGCTAATGGAAACAGTACTATTGTTGTTTGTGAACCCTGAGCATGGAGCAGGCCATGAGTGTGGAGATGGGTTTTTCGCAAAATCAACAAAAGAACTAACTCTAGAACCAGATTGTGAAAAAGGGTTGTGACTATTGCTGGGTCTTGAAATAGGATTCAGCGGTGAAGGAGAGGACGGTGCTGAAGGTGTGGATAAGGCGTTCGTAGAAAATCCTAACTGGGTTTTAGCTTTGATAATTACGCTTTGCAAAAGGGATTCAGAGCCAAAAGCTAAAGAAAACAAATCCTTATCACTAAGGCCTTGTATAAGGATGTAGCCCATGATTTTGTAGGCATTTTCTGGGTCTAAATTTGTGATTTTTGACCACAGTATATTTGTTGCTTCAGAAGCATCCATGGTGGGTACTGGTTTTGATTTTTCAAGAAAGACAGGGACAGAGAAAGGAGAGACAGTGATATTGTGCTTGTGTTGTGTGTTACAATAAGCCCAAGAAGGGAAGAGGAGATTTTGAGGGTAGGGTTTTGAAGTGAAACAAAGCGGGCTTGGAGAGTTCGGTTGCCCTCCTTTGTCCTTGTTTCGGGGTAATCGTCTCTTAGTCCTTTCTATTCATCAGCAGTGGGAGTTGGTACACAGCCCACTCCTTTCTCTTCTCTGCTATTATTAGCCTAATAAAAATAATTAAAATGCAAACACTCAGTGTTTGATGAAATTATAAAAATCTATTCAAATTCCTTCTTTTTCATAACTCTGTTTGTTTATTTCGTTCTGCTGAAATCCATTCGACAGAGTACATCCCTCCTAATGTACAAGAAGATGAGGGGCACCCATCTTTTCTCAACTCCTATTTTCTATGGAAAAGGCAATCAAAATTTTTATGATATAACAAACCCTAATTTTCTTCTGGCAAGAGCATACCAAATCCAGAATGTCATCTAATATTTTAAAACATATTTCACCAGATTAAAGGTCGAATACGAGGAAAAGTAGTTATGAAAAAGATATAATCAAAACTAGTTTCATATTTAAAAAATATATATATATAGTAAAATATATTTCTGATAAAATTTATATTTTGAGCTTTTCATTTACATAGATACAAATTTATTTAAAAAGGATTTTATCTAAAATATATATATTTTTTTTTGAAATGAATTTATTATATGTAAGTTCGTATGCAGTGACACATTCGTAATAGATGCGTTAACGGTAAATAGAAAAAAATGAAAAAAAAATATTTCCTTCATTATAGATGTGCAAAAATCCTTGTCTATAGTAATAAAATAAGTAGATGAAGTATTAATTTAAATAAAAAACATCATCCTTCTTTGTGCAAAATAAATTTTGAAAAAAAAAAGAACACAAACACTCTAGTCATGGCTCAATGTGTATTATTTTGTGCAAAACAATATTAAATTTCTTAAATCTTATTATAATTAAGAATAAGAATATAACTAATCTAAAAAATACCTCCTCGATATAAATTTATATATTTTTGTATATAACAAAAATATTAAAATAAGAAGTTGTGTTATATAGTAGAATTTGTCTTTTTCATTAATATGGGAAAATATTTGGAAATTTCGAGGAGACAAATGCTCCCACATATTACAAAAATCCGAAAAATATATTGAAAATGACACCACTGCCACTGCCTACAGAGCGTTAGTATGAACTAGTATAAAAAGTAACAACACACGTAAAACCAAAACTCTTTAATACTAAAATTTTATTATTTAATAATTAAAATATATTATTTCCTTACATAATAAAAATATATATCAGTTTTGCATATAATGAAATAATAAAAATGTGTATATAAGATAATAAAAAATGTGTTTGTCAGACTTGGTGTTTCGTTATAATGCCAAATTCATAAAATAATATACATGCTCCCAATTTGTCAAAATACATTTTAACCGGGTTGCTTAACCAAGAATGTCAAAAATGGATTGACCAACAACCGAATATAATGATCACGAATGGACTAAAATACGAATATAATCCTATTTTTTTTAATTATATTAAATATTGAATTTCAACACGATATAAAAATTAATTGAGTTACACAAAAACAGCAAATTTAGTACGTATGATAAATTGTCGTATGTATAAATATGAACAAGATATATATAAAACAGAGCGGACATGACATGTATTTTTATGTTTTTGTTAAGGTTATATACTGTGAATGTAAATGACCTTTTTATCCTAAGTTCATGGAGTAAATAGATTAATGACGTAATCTTAGAAAGGATATAAATAGATTAATGAGTAAAAGGTAAGGTATAATTAGATAGGATGAGTCAGTGATGCCCACAAAACAAAATTAAATATCATATAATTATTATTATTATTATTATTATATTATATATTATTAATGCAAGCCCATTGACTTGTTTGCCGGTAGCCTGAAAACAGTACTGTTATCTAGGTGAAAATAGGCCCAAGGGTGTGATTATCACTCACTGCCACTTATCACTTCATTTTGTAATAATAATAATAATAATAATAATATTGCTATTATTAATAATAATTCAAAAATTGAGTGCACGTTGTCTACCCTGAAGCTGACTGATTTCCTCCACTGCACCGTGTGATGTAATCTTATAAAGATCGCAGCCTCGTAATCGATTGTTTCTTTTTTATTATTTTATTGTAAAAGTCCCTGCGTGTTAATATGAGGATGGAACTCTTATCTGTATGCATAATCTCTACCGTTGGATTAGTATTAGTTTGACAATAAGTTGGAATTAAGGACGCTGATTTGTTAATTGTGTACACCTGAATCGCAGAGTATCATTAGACCTCATTCAATATTTTTGGGTCAAAGTCCATCCCATCAGCTTCTCTCTTTCCTATCTCTCCAGTTCATTCGCAGATTCTTACTCTGTGAGTAGCAGTACTGTTGCCAGAGGGCTATATTGGTCATTTCAACTTCGATTTGCAGTCTCAGTAAATAGTAATACATGATGTAGGACTAGAAGAAAGTAAACCAAGAGGGTCAAAGGGGAGTAAAACTTGACTTTGAAGAATGAATGATTGATACACAAACACTAGAACAGAACAGGAGACATTCTCCTCAAATGTAAGAATGTAACTGGAGAGAATATAAATTACTATTAGTTTTTTTCAACACACATTTTCATACTAAAATACAAGTGATTTATCAAATTTAATTTTTAATGCTAAAATAATTTATAACGTATCAATTGAATTAATAAGAGTCAGTTGGCCATCAAATGAATCGTTGAATTATTTTTATTTTTTGCTTTTTTGTAAATGAAAACAAGTGTGAGGTGTCAAGCAAAAAAACTCAAGGCAAGGAATCAAAAAAAGCCAAGTGGCTTAAGCAAAAGCAACCACAGTGTTATTAATACTATGTACCAAACAAACACAATAAGAATAATGACCCAGATGGATTGGATTCACTATAATCATTTTCTACGAACACATAAAAAATTCTCCACCCAACACCGCAAAAATCTTCCATTCTTTGTTGAATTTTGGGGATGCCAGTCCACCACACACAGCAGGAACATAGAGCTACTGAACACCTTATTGTACCATGATTTTCCCAATAATTGGGTTATGAAATGGAAACCATAGTCTCACTTGCAAACTTTTTTAGGAATGTCAAAGTCCAAGTTTTGCGGTTGGAATCTCACTCTAAATACCTTTATCGCACTACTAATAATTATAATGTTATGCTTGTTCGTTTCGGTTCGTACATTGAACTTATCCATTCAGATGATAAGCAATAAATTTATTTATCGCATGAATTGTTTATATAAATTTGTAAATAAAATTTTACCTGAATGAAAAAGAAAATTACTTTTAGGTATTTATATGTATCTAAAATTATAAAAAACCATTACTAGCATTAGGCAAAACGTCGGCTGGACCTAAACATTGAAACTAAATATAAAACATTCCATAATGATTGAGGAGGGCCTATCATAAAAAGAACAAGTAAGCATCATGCCTTAATTAAGATTCCTTTGTGCATTATTATTGCTATTGTTAAAGCCAAATATGTCTTTTTCAAACCTTTCTTTTCATTTCTTTATAATGTTCTTCCTCTACCATTTTAATGTTTAACAACTACCATTACCATCATTAATAAGATTGTAGCTTTTTTTTTTTTTTTTTTCATTTCTTTATAATGTTTCTTTCCTCTTACCATTTTAATGTTTAACAAACTACCATTACCATCATTAATAGATTGTAGCTTTTTTTTTTTTTTTTTGGCCTGGCCTCTAAAAATGAAAAAACCCATTATTTTTTTTTTTTTTTTTTGCCTGCCTCTAAAATGAAAAACCCATTATTGATGGGTAAAAATTAAAAGATTTTAGGGCAATTTTTGAACTAGGAGACCTTACATGAAAAGAAAGCCCATTTATCCAAAAACAACTATTGGTTGCCTTCCCTACAAAATTCAGATTTTTCTTGGAAATGTACCCTTTTCATAGTATCTTAAATTTTTTAAATTAAAGAACATATATTATAGCAATTTATTTCTTGTTTTATGACAACTTCCAACATTAAAATATGGCACACCTCGAAACCATAACATGTTGCATACTAGTATAGGAGTATTATATAAATTTTTAATTTTTAAATGTGATTTTTTCCTTATTCTTTTCATGTCACAATTCAAAAAGGAAAAATAATTGCGGAGAAAGAATCCATGGCATCACTTTAGAAAATTAATATTTTTTAAAAATTATACATACTTTATTCTTTTTTTTTATTTTCGATGTATGATCAAAATTACCCCATATCAATAAAAGACTCATTTTTATTGATTTATCTATAGATAGACTTGTAAATCCGGTGTAAGCAAATCTATCTCAGTATCAACTCCCATGCATTTCAAAGTAGCATGATTAGAGAAGAGACTTTAATGAGGCTTTTTAGGATTTTTGGGATGCACCGAGCTTTAATTAGGGTTTTAGATGCTAAAGACTCGAGATTTTTAACTAAAAAGGAAAAAACCAACCTTTTTTTTTCCCCTAAACTCTAGAAATAGAATCCCAAGTGCTTGAAATTGAAGTAGTAGACCCTGCCCACTATTAAGCCATTAATCAAATACTAAATACAATAAAATTGCCTGGAATTAATAGTAATAATTCCATAATGTTGCTAAGCCCTCCTTGGATCGTCTAATTTTTGGACACAAAGTAGGAAATGGTTTGATTTAGACATCTAACTTGACATAATAATAATAATAATAATAATAATAATAATAAAGCTTAATCAGTAGCCAAATTAGAGACAAAAAGGACTCTAATTTGCATTGAGGCAGCCAGCTATTTCGCACGAGGCAAAGGGTACAAAGATTTTGACATCTTAACCTCCCACGAGAAAGAAATAAATTTTTAAACTTTATAATTAACAAAATTAATATCAGAAATCCCATAGAAATAACAAACCCTACCCTAAATAGAAGCACCACTTGCCTCTAAGGGCAAAGGATGCTCTAATTATGTCAATATTTTCCTTTTGGTCAGCTAAAATAATGGACTAAGTGATTCCAAACATTTTGATTAATCCCCACAACTACCAACAGATGATGAAACAAAACCCCTCCATCCAAAAGTTTTGAACTCTCCAAATTTGTGGTGAGGGGCCAATTTAACAACACTTAAAGCTAAGTATGAAATAACATGGAAAGCCACCAACACCCATAAAAGAAAATATAATAAAGAAAGAAATATTTAAAATCTGAATAATGAATGAGGTTAAAGAGTGATAGAGAAAGGAGTGAGTGGTACCCAGATACCATTCATACATGCTGTCAGAAACCATGTGACAGTGTGGCCCTCAACCATTCATGTCCACCTAAAAGAAACCACAAAATGAGACAAAAAAGTCCCCTAAAGTTGCCTTTAATCACATGAAAGAACAATCTTTACTTTACCCCATTTCTTTCTTTTTCTTTTTCTTTTTTTTTTTTTTTTTTTTTTTTATTTTGAAAAGAAATATTTTTTTTCTTAAATAACCTTTTTTTTTTTTTTTTTTTGAAAAGAAAATATTTTTTTTCTTAAATACCTTTCCTGTTCTGCCTGTTTCATATATCTAATGGGTGACAGATGATACAGTGACAACAAGGGTAATAAAAACTTGTAAAAGAAAAGTAGAAGTGAGACAGCTTTTACCCTCCACTTGAGTTGCCCTTTTGGGCTCCATATCCATATAGTAGTTATACTTCTGCTACAGTTCTTTAAACTTGTTGGGGTCTATTGCTGTACACATAATGACATAGGAACTATTCTTCACCATACAAAAGAACCTCATTGCTGTATAAGGTTCAAATCTTTTTCTTTTTCCTTTTCTTTCATTTCATCTCACAAGAAATGATGGTAAAAAAAAAACTAAAAACCAGTAAAAGAGAGACTAAATTACACAGATAATATAAGAGAGAGAGAGAGAGAGAGAGAGTTACTTATGCTATTGCTGTGTGGTCCAGCATACACACACACACACACTCACCTACAGAGAAGGGTACATATAGTGAGGAAAACAGAAAGACCCCACTCTCATATATCAGTTCATCTGTCCTTTTATGTATGCATTATGTATTCATTGTAAGTAGTATGTATTGATGATGATGGTGATCTTGATGAGATCTTGTCTACGGATCTTTTTTCTTTTTTCTCTTTTGTTGTGGGTATGGTTTTTGGCTATACAGCTAGAGGATTTTCTTTTTCTTCCATGTATAATGCTTTCCAATATTTCTGCAAAGATGAACAAAAACAGCCCAACATTATAAAGGAATCCTATTTGACTAAAAAAGTATACAAATTAGATGCATGTGCCTACAAGATCCCAATCATTCATTAATGAGTGAGTGAATTTTTGTTATTTTGATAATTAATTAATTAATTAAAATCTCTTACCCTAGCAAAGTCAATCTCCCCATTGCTGGCCATTACTCACCTTTGGCAATTACATGCCAATGGCTCCATGCCCAGAAGAAAGCCTGATAAAAAGTCAAAAAGCAACTCTATTAGTTCTCTTGCTTTGCTTTATTTGGTTCTACACAAGCAAGATATAATCTTCTCACCTGGGCATTTGGAGAAAGCATGATTTCAGGGAAGTCATGCTGAGAGTGGAAGCGGTCGGCATTATGGGGTTATTGTTAGAAGAAGAAGAAGAAGTAGTTTGACTCGTTCCATTTTCATCAGCCTCCAAAGCAGATGCTGAGAAGACAGTATGATCATGACCAGCTGATTTCTTAGGAGAAGTAAAGAGGTTATCAGGAAGGATATGCTCCAAACTGCTCACATGACACAACATAATTTATTAAGTTAAAAGAAATGTAAAGAAAAAATAAGCTCTCCTGAATCGAATTAATAAAGCAGAGATTTTTATACAGAATCTGAGTGTAAATGCAAGTGTTCGCTCTTGTAAGTAACTTTCTCTTTCTTTATATCTAAAAATTCTGGTATCTTACCTTTCATGGAGATCACTTTCTTCAATGTTGGTCTTCTCCTCCGTACTACTACTGTTGCTATTGCCATTACTGTAATTGCTAGTAGGATTCCCTCCCTGTTCAGCATCTGCAACCGCATTTCGAGGAGCTGCTGCATCTGGGTTACAACCATTCTCTGCAGCAACTACAAATGCATAACTATTATCTTCTCCAGATTCACTGTTTCTTCAAAATCATAATTACTAAAGATTTTATTTATTGACCAACCTTCAGGAGCTTCCTGATCAATGCCATCAGGCGCAAAAATGAGGGTTTGATTATTGGTAGTGCGAGAGAGAGTTGGTGAGGGAATGGGAGAGCCAGTGGATAATCCATGAACATATTGATGATTATTATGATTTTTAAAATCAAGAAGTTGCAGATTCATTAGTCTTCTTCCATGGAGTTCAATAGCTTGCTGCAGCTCAGCTTGTTCCTCTAATTTCCTTCTCAATAACATTTCTTGAGTATTCTGAAACACTCTAGCTCCTACATTGACACCAAATAGTACACTACTTCAATTCAAAGAACTAGCATTAATTTAAATTGAAAAAAGGCACATTCTTTCTTTCTGTCTTGACGGGTTTGCTTACCAAGATGAAGGTCAAATGAGTCTCTTGATTCAAGCCCAGAAGGGCTTGAGCAAGCTGAGTACTCTCCCCTCTCCATCTGTTGTTGTTGATGCTGCTGTTTCCTGAAATGGGTCGATCAAGAACCCAATAATCAATGTAGAAAGAAACAGAAAAAAAATAAAAAATAAGAAGGTTAATAGGCCTATATATATACTTGTCTGGGACTTTTCCCTTCTCCTTGTAGGGCTTAACAAGCACACGCGAATCGCAAACAAAATGAGGATTTCCTTTGGCCAAAATAAGCTTCACTGTTTCTGGATACACAAATGTAACGAAACCAAACATTCTCTTTTGCTGATATGGAATCCTTACATCTTGCACTGGTCCATAAATGCTTCAAAACGATACAAAGAAAATACCTTTAGCCAAAAGTAGTTCAATTATTCGCATTCTTTAGTGGCAAAAAGGAACGGAAACTATAGAAGCATGAATTACCTAAAGTAATTTGAAACATCTTCTTCTCTAAATGTGCTATCAGCTGGAAATGTCAAATAGATCTGTCTAGAACCTGGGTTCATTGCCCCTCCTAATCCCATTGGCGAAAAATCATTCCTTTCCGAACGACATCTCCCAAACTTATGAAGCTCATCTCCCATCATCAATGCAGCTGCTGCAGCCGATCTAAAAACAGCCCATTGAAAATGCCATAGTCAAAAAAAGGAAAAAAGAAAAAAAAAACTGTAGACCCATTTTTTCAACTACCACTCAAAATCACCAGCATGAAGTCCAAAATAGTAATGTTCATACCTCGGGGAGTCATTTTGTTGTTGAAGAAGATAATTCATGCATTTATTATAGGGAAAAGGAGCTCCAGCCATGAATTGTGAAGCTGCAGCTAGTTTATGCTGTTGAGCAGCTGCTGCAGCAGCGGCTGCTGCTTTTGATCTGAGAAGCTCTTGACACTGTTCAAACTCACTGAGTTTACTTGGTGAACCAACAATAGTACCACCATCAGCTGAGTCTCCGTGAAGAAACCTGCAACTAGTTCCATTCTTGCAAAACCCTCTTGCGAAATACAAACATGGTTTCCATCCAAACCCAGAATTTGCATCTTCAGACCCAAAACACATACCAGGCACTGAATAGCTTCTTCTATGCAAATGGGTTTCACCATAGGCAGTTGGGCTCATAGCTAACTCTAGCCTTGGATCAAACAAATCATCTGTCTTTGAATCATTGAGGAAAGAGAAGTGGTCCTGAAGCTGATACTCATCAATGAGATCATTACTCGCGTTATTGTTAGTGCTGTTACTGTTATAATATGGGAATGCATTAGATAATGACACGGTAGATGATAAAGATGAGGAAGAAACAGTGTTATTACTGGTTCCATTAACAATACTAGCATAAGAGAGTGAAGAAGTAGAGTTAGGACTCAGAAGAGGCCAAGAATTTGAAGAAGGCGAAGATGGGATTGTGATGTCAAAGCCATTGTTGGTAGTGTTCCTTGAAGAAGAAATGGACAAAGGGTTTGGTCTCGAAGTAGGATTAAAAGGTGAAGGTGGAGAAGGTGTGGAGGGAGTTGATGGTGTGTTAGAGATAAGACCCAAGTGGGTTTTGGCTTGAAGGATTAAATTATGCAGAAGAGTTTCTGGTCCAAAAGCTATGCGTATCATCTCCTTATCTCCATGATCCTGTAAAAGAAGGTAACCCATGATTTTAGAGGCATTCTCAGGGTCCAAGCTTTGGATCCTTGAAAAAACCATCTTCGTAGCTTCATAAGAATCCATGGAAGAAAAAAAAATCGTAGAAAGAGCAAAATGATAGGGAGAGGAAGGGTGAGGAGTAAAAGTGTGGACTTTGTGAAAAGGGGAAGTAATAATGGAGTGGGATTTGTTATTTTAGTATATAATGATTTTTGAAGTTAAAAGGAGAGAGAGGATGCTATTATAAGGTTAGAGAAGATGATAAAGATGAGAACTTTTCCCTTTTCTTTTCTCTCTAAACTCTTGAAAACCCACCCCTCCCAATCTTTAATAAAAAGATAAGGGGGTTTTCAAGATGGTGGAGAGAGAGAGCACATCAAAGAGAAGAAGCTTTGATGATGATGGAGCTTTTCTTTCTCTCTCCTTCTCTCTATAAACCTATTACTACAAGCTAAGAACCACAACTTTTGATGGCAGTGCAAGCCAGCAGCAGCAGCCTTGAGAGAGTAAACTCACCCTCTTTCTTTCTCTCTCTTACAGTGTTGGATTTTGGGTTTCTCTCTCTCTTTCTGCTTTATTTTTTAGGGATTTTGTCTTTACAGAACTGGACAAAACAATGCTTAGTGGTAGAGTAGATTCAGATCTGCTTATAAACTTGGAAGGGAAATTTGTTAACGCCACTCGCCCTATTTTTGCACCTTTGCACCGCTTAAATAGTTTCTTTGTCATCTCATCGTTCCCTTCCATTCCTATAAGCTTATCATACTTCAATGCTTACAAAAAGAAAACAACGTCCATAACGAAATTGAAAATTTTTCAATAATGGCTATTAACAACTTGTCTGACTAAATGACTGAGAGATAAATGTTTATGAAATATGATATTTTTTCAGTTTAATTTCGAGAAAATTTTAGTTTTTGAATTAATTTAAATTCAACAATATTGGATTTTTAGGTCAAATATTCATATTTCCTCTCCAATTACACTTTTTGCCTGCATTTTATATGAAATTTTAGTAATATTTTCATAATATAACTTTATAATGTTTATAACATACTCCCTCTACCTTAAATCATAAATTGGAATTTAAAATTTTTACATGTGAATTAAATAAGTAATTAATTCTCCTAAATTATAATAAAATTAATGATAATTTAATCAAAATGCTATTTTTCTCAAAAATCAAGACTAGCTTGTATCTATTTAAATAAGAGTAATATTAAAAAAATATAAGTTATTATTTTTTCAAATATTCAAAAAAGTATATATTTTGAGACGTAGTAAGTGACATAAAATAAAAAGAAAATTATTAAAATTAAATATTATTAATTACGATTAAAATAACAATTAATTATGGTACAAAATTAGAAGTTTTTGCTTTGGCATAAAAGGGACTACAGTTTATATATTGAATCATTGATTATTTAATAACTATTTTTGTTGTTTTGTGCATATGAATATATGTTGGATAAAATTGCAAATGATATGATGATAAATAGAAAGAAATTAAGAATATTCTTTAATTTTCAATGTATTTGAGTCTCATTAATAGTTTAATAATTTTTTAAATTGGATTTATCTCACAATTATTTATTACATATTCCATATTAATTTAATTATTGAAATACAAGATGCTGGAATTAAAAACTCAAATTGAAAATAATTTACTAAATAAATACATACTACTGTATTAATCATTTGATGAAGGAACGTTTTGGTACACGCGTTATAAAAAGGCGCGTGGGTAAATGTTACAATAGTGTTACAAATAGTGCACGTTCACTTGCCATCATTCTGACAAAACTCTCCTTCTTTCGTACTGTGGAGATGTAAATTTAAATTAGATTCCATCCTCAGAATTGAGAAATAACTTTTTGGTAATACTTCTCTACACGAGCCCTCATAGATACTTCCATATATCCACCATCTGATTCCTCAAAGTCACATCTTCTGGGCAGATTGAAATACAGTGCATCCACTTCCATACATCATTAGAAAGGATTTTGCATTATGAAAGGTTTTATTCAATTTCGGGTCAGACCAGTGTCCTTCTCTCTCTCTCCTACTTGTTTCTTTTTGCCTTTTTCCCTGGGGGCTATCATTACTCCTTGGGCCTTTGCTGTTTCTGGGAGGGAGATAGTGGTAATTTTATCATGTCAGCCTGAGAGAAATAATTCAATCTGGGTTGTCTCTTTCAAGTGGGTCCTTCCCCCTTTTAAGTATGTCCAAATTAGGATCAGAGAGCTGTGTCAAGGACTTGAATGCATGCAGCCCAAACCCATGGGTTGCAACTTGACTCAAATTTTTGGAAATGGGTTTGGACATGGGTCATGTATTGGGCTACTCAAAATTAAAAGAAAAAAAAAATTACTATTAATTTTTCATGGAATGATTGATAATTAATTATCAGTCTTGTGAAAAATAATAGGTTTAGGGTTTATAATGGTCAATCAGGTGTATCTAATTAGTAGTTTTCTCGTTTGTACGAGAAGTGAAAAATTTTAAATTAGACCACAATAGTTTTCAAAAATTTAATGAGTCAAAGGGAGGATTATCGCTATTGTGTAGTCAGCAGTGAGCCTCCCTAGAAATAAAAATAGAAAAATAATAAAATTTGATTTTACACAGAAAAAAAAAAGAATTATAGGAATACTCACAAAATTCCAATTTCCTACTAATATAGTATAGTATTGACAAATGTGTGAACAATACTCAAAATTACCTAGAAGACCTCAAAGATATCTTGCTTGTGCTTCCCGGAAAAAATAAAAACTGAGTAGTATCGTAAAATAAAATAAAATAAAACAGTGGTGCTTAATATCAACATGTTGTGTTTTGTTGCCTCCGACAAGCGCTTGATATCTTTATGACTAATTTATTTTCTTTATTGTTTTTCTCAACCTCTGTTCTTGTCTTTTATTTTCCAATGTGAGTGACCATTGGTAATTCATTTTTGAGTCTTCAACTTTACCCATGTGCAACACCTATACTATACTGTCCAAAAGGTGCCCTGCCCTGCCCTGCCCTTTTCTAATTGCCCATTGCTTAAATACCATTGAGGCAGCCTGCCTTCAGATCACCCCTTCAACCATTTTTATGAGATTTTTGCATCATAATCTGTGGTTAGTAGCAGAGCCGGAGCACCTCTGCCTCACTTTTGTTCCCAAGATGTTCAGTTGGCTTTCAAGAACATAGAACAGGCAACCCTAATAAGTTTCTTTGCATTAATTAATCTTGGCATCAAAATTTAAGTTAGTCCCAGAAGTTACGAGTCGGTCAAACAAAGGCTCGACATTCAAGTTGTGGCTATGACCATCCATTTCTTTATTTATTATTATTTTTTTTTTGGGTACATAACCTTCAGCATATTATTTCATCATATTTCCTAACCATTGATGGAAGAAGCTCAAGCTCAAACTCAAAACTCTCACACCCCCACTCTCTTGCAGGGACTGAGACCAATCAACTAATTTCACCACCTATATGGAAAGATATGAAGAGAAAAATGTTTTTCCATTTTTTTTCTATGTGGGTAAATGTGGTAATTACTAAAGATTGTAACTTCTTGTCATTTTTGCATTACTGTCATGACAATACACCAAATAAAATGACTTTACGAAGGAAATTCATCCACACTTTTGCATATTGAAACCTATATCCGTCGAGGTGTCCTTCCCTTTTCTTTAGCAAATGGTTTGAAGTAAACTTTACAATTGTAACCAAATAACTCCATCAAAGGAGTTTTCAAAAAGATAAGGGAAAAAAAAAAGATCAAAGCTATTTGAAAAGAAGACACAGCACAGTGTAAAGATAACGGATGACAAGTGATAACTTATAAGTGACCAACCTTAGAGGAATCATAGCACAGGAAACATAAGCACATTTTTGCAAGCTTATCGGGTCACTGTTTCAATTCATAGTTTTCCTGGTCTGTTATGATTGATGATAATGCCCGCGGCCGCAATTCTCCACTTTGTTGAGGAGTGTTACCGAAAAGGTTAAAGCTTCAAAATCAAATGAATACTAAATTATTGAAAGCGTATACGCCTCATGAACAGCTTAATTAAGCAAATATATATTGTCTTCTCTTGGCAAAGCAAATACATTATGATTACCTCCCACCTTCGCACCATATGCTCTTCCCTAGTTTAGCGCAAATTTTTCTTCTAAAAGAGAGAAAAGATAGTTGAAAAGATAACATATCAAACAAAAAGGAAAAGCACCCTATGTTTGAAAATTGAAAAGTAGGGCATCCTATGGTAATTTCTAGCAGCATGCACAAAATCTTCAGATTGACTAACATGATCTTGGTTCCTTTGGATTGCATTATGCAGTGAACAGCTAATAGCCTCCTGTATGCCATTAGTGGAATATCTAATACAAATCATAATTACTAGCAGTCACCAGCAGTTTTACTTTGTGGTATGCTAGACACCGATGTGTTTTCAGTATAAATTCATTCTTGAAAAAAGAAAAGAAGAAGAAGAAGAAGAAGAAATTATCCAAATAATTATAAAAAATATACAGTTAACGAACCAAAAAATGTTGAAAAAATAGAAATGACTTATAATCTCAAAGTATGACATATCCGGTGTTCTGAAATTCTTAAATAAACAGGAATTCTTCTCATTGAAATAGCTATTCACAATACAACTTATATGCTCAAAAAGTGAGGGCAGCAATAATATCAAAAGAGAAAGAAAGTTCAATGTAATTCAATAATATTAAAACATCTACATTCACCATGTATGAAATTTAGCGAGGTAGATTAAAGAAATACCAGGCAATTGTTCCTCCTCTTCCTCTATACTTATGGTGTTGTTTTCTAATTTTGATGCTTGAAGCTTAGAACATCACGCATGCTTAAAAAGCTTCATGCTAAGCCAATGGAAGTATACAGCAATCACAAGTATTGGAAGTGTCAAGGGTACCAAGAAGCAGTAATACCTGTAATTAGAGGAAGAATCAGGAAGTCCAGAACAGAAGGACTTATATTAATATGTGAGAAATTGAAAAAAATACATCCAGAATTCGCAAGGCATGAGTTTTATGTCTTTTTATTCACTCACTCCCAAAGGACAAAGAATGTATTAACTAGATTGACTCAAGTAAATTCAGCTAAATCAGAAATTGCTCCTCTCCGGTAAGGCAATCTAGCACTGCTCATTAGATCCCAAAACGAGTACAGTTAGCCACAGCAATTGGCTGTGATTGAAAATAGCATCAAGACACGAGAGATTCCCAACCCACTCAATAACCATTTTCCCCAATTTTCTTCCTGGCTACACAAGGGCATGTAAAATTTATGAAATTGAAACAATGCCTAGGTTAACCTTAATCATTCCCATACAGACAGAAAAAAGAGCATCAAAAACCATTTTTCTTCCAGAAGAGAATCCAGAGTACGTGAAGATACAAAATACAAAAGATCGAACTCTATTACCTGTCGTTTTGAACGGCTGAGATGATGGGATTATTGGAAAAAGGAAGAAGCTTTGATATAACAGCCACGAAAAGGAATCCAACAAAAGAAACCGATCCGATTCCAATCAACATCCATCCCCAGTACGCCGTCATTTTCCGCGAATCAATCATTTTCTGCAGTTCTTCTGAACGAAGGCAACTAATAACAAAAACGAATGAGAGAGATAAAAATGGTGATCAAATTGTCGGAGGAGGTGGTGGAATGGGCTTGGCAAGACGCACTGGAGCGAGTCGCAAAAAGAAAAGGAAAAAAATTGGCGGAGGTAGTACAAACGGGTCTGTGGGATTCCGTGGACAGTGTATAAAAAACGACTAGCTGTTGGCGTAGCTGTCGTTTGTGTCGTTCAGTGTAAACAATTTATCCATCGTCAGAATTAAATGGTGTCGTTCGAACAGCCATCATAAGGATATAAAATACACGACTTGTAGCTTGTATCTGTCGTTTGAGTACAATCAATTTATCCAATGGACAAAAGAAATGTGGGCATGTGGCAAGCAAATACGGTGCGTTTTATTTGTTACCGGGTCACTACCATTTCTGTAGAGGATATCCAAACCCTGGATATAAATTCGGGTCTTCCAAATATTCTGATTTCTCTGGACAGACCACTTTCCCTAAGCCCTCTTTTGGAGAGAAACCCCTAAATCCGTCAGAGCGCACCTCACCGCACCAGACCACACCGCACATACTACAGATATATACTTATTAGGTATATACTAGGAGAGTAGAGAGACAATGGCTAACGCAGATGCCGAAGCGGTGGATTTCGAGCCGGAGGAGGACGATCTGATGGACGAGGATGGAGCCGTCGACGTTGACGCCTCGCCTCGGGCACCGCTTCCCAAGCTGAAATCCGCAATTACTGGAGGCGCGTCTTCTTCACTCTCCGCTCCCAAGAAGACTAAAGGCCGTGGCTTCAGAGAGGAGGCTGATGCCGATCGCCAGAATCGCCTTGCCTCACGCGACTTCGATTCTCTTGGCACGGATGGTGGACCTGGTCCCCAACGATGTCAGTACCCTTATCTCTTTCTAATACGTAGACATATTATATATTTGTTAATGTTTTTTTTTCTAGGGTTTTTGAGTTAATTGAAAAATGTAACTATGGTAGTGGTCATTTATGAAGAATCCAGTCGAATAATCAGTATCATAATTCAATTCATTAGTATGAGAGCTAAATGTTATATTTAGGTTGGATTGATGGATATTAGGGTTTTGATGGGTTTTAATGGTTCACTATGTCTTTTGAAAAATTAAGGTTTGTTGAGGATATTTAAGTAACTCTTTAAGAGGGAAAAAACTACAAGAACAAAGAGGTGGAAGGGAGATTTTCTCTAAGAGAAATACGAGGTGCTGAAGCCACCCAAATGGTCTACCAAAATTCTAGCTCTTAGGTGGTAACACTTATCTTCGTTGATTTAGTTTTAGGAATTTTCTCACCTAGTTGGAAGTGCAATTTCATGGTATGTTGCTCATGTACAACACAAGGGAACTTTTTGACTGAAGCGCAAGGCAATACCATCTATTTAAACATTTCTATTGAATCTGCGTTTGTTTGGGCGCAAACATACCAAATATGCTCCTTTTGTTAGAAAGTTTTTAAGAACTTTATTTATGAATTCTTGATGATTAATACATATGTTAACTGTGAATCTTAATACTCTTGTTGTAAGTCCTCATCTTATTACCAGGAATAAGATTTTATTTTTGGCCAATCTACTGAATAAGTCCTCATCTTGTTTCTTTAACTATCTTCTTTCTACCTTGGTGATGGTAATTCCATAATCTATTGAATTATTTCTGTCCATTCACATTTCTACAAATAAAAAGCTGCCATTTTTCTTGTAAAAATTTGCAGCTATTGAAGGATGGATTATTTTGGTTACTGGAGTGCATGAGGAGGCACAGGAGGATGATTTACAAAATGCTTTCGGTGATTTCGGTGAGATAAAAAATTTGCATTTAAACCTTGATCGCCGCACTGGGTTTGTTAAAGTAAGTGGATGTTTCTTTCTTCTCCTTATTTTGCCTTCTAAATAACATAGAGAGAGTTTTTTTTTTGTACAAAAGCTTCTATTTAGGTGAAATCAATGTTAAGTTGAAGTATAAAAGATCAGTCTTGAGCTTTAAATGTTAATTTAGAACACCAAAACATTTGATGGATTGCTTTCATGTGAAGAATTAAGAAATAGGAAGTTTTTTTTCTTAAATTTACATTAACTGTATGTGTGGAAAGTCTTTGAAAAATTCGTTCCAAGAATGGAAAATCTTTTATTTAGAACAAATATATTAATGATTTGAATAATCTTAGGTGGTAAAACAGAAAGTCTTGCCCATGAACTATAATCTATAACCCATAAATGAATTAAAACTGCACTGAGAAAAGTGGCCTAGAAAGCTTGATTTTGTGTTAGATCATCACCAAAAATTTTCTAGAATCGGGTCCTGAGTTAGTAGTTAATGTGGATTTTCTATGTAGACCATCTTTAGTTCCCTTTCTTAAGTCTTAGGTCAGACATGGTAGATTTATTAGAATAACCTTCCATGTTGAGTGGGTTAGTTTATGGACCAATTAGAAAATTACAACATTGCAACACACATACGACATAGCTTGTGTATTCTTTGTCGCTATTGAGTATTTGCTCAAGATAGTTTACTGTGTTATTGGCTACTTATTCTTGTTGAAAAAGTTTGAAATACTTCTCTTCCAATGTGCTAAATCAAGCTGTTACTTGTCAAGGGTTATGCTCTGATAGAGTACGAGAAGTTTGAGGAGGCTCAGAATGCGATATCTGCAATGAATGGAACTGAAATTCTGACACAGATCATCAATGTTGATTGGGCCTTCTGCAACGGGCCCATCAAAAGGAAGAATATGAGGTTTGTCTTCATACATACATGCTGTGAAATTGTTGATGTGATTGGTTATCAAGAAGCGGAAATATCAGAAATTATAAAGAAATCTCTCCAATAATGATTACTGGTCTGCCCCAAGCCGTCATCAATCTAAGATTTGAATGCAGTGATTATAGATAGTTAAACAAAGTTTATGCCCTTAAATAAATCTTTTCATGTTGATCTGTTCTGAAACAGGTGGCATCATTATTTTGGGGCTTAATAAGCCTTAACTGCTGATCTGTATGCCCTAAATTTTTGAGATGTCTTGAATGTGCAAGTTATCGAGTAATTGAGGTGTGGCCTGTGCATTATGTGGCACAACTGGGTGGACAGGAACTTATTTACTATACTCGGTAGTAGTGGATGCTAGATGCTATCTTTTTTGATATCTTGATATGATTTATATGATTTGACTGCATGTGCACCTGGCTTGCTTGAGATATTGAACTGCTCTGAGGCTTATCTTTTATTTCTGTGTTTGGATTGGAATGACCTGTTGCTATTTAAAATTTTTCAGGTCAGGACGAGCACATCGTTCAAGGAGTCCTAGGAGGAGATACTAATGACCTGTGTTTTTTTAATTCCGAGCATATGGATTTCATTGAGGGGTTTGATATTAGTATTTGTGGAGGAAGATTACAATTGATGCATGTTTTGAATGGGTTATTGGCTCGTGTCTGCTGAGATTTCATTTCTGTACCTTCCAGTTGTGTGGCAATTCGGCACAAATTTACATTTGTAACATTTAAGCTTAGTGATCTTGTTTATTTGATGATTTGGAGATTTTTACCCATTTAGTAGTGAGATCATAGCTTGCAATTTCATTGTAAACTAGTTGCCGAATGTGGATGCTGATTGGATGCTTGTGGCACTTGAGTTTTCCAGCGGATTTAATCCCCCTCTATTTTGATCAAATACATTTGGCAAAGTGACAAGTCGAAGGGATGAGAATTCTTGATCTTATGTGTTGGATAGATCTGCAAGTGTATGTATAAAATGAATTCTCCTACGACCATTTGGAATTGGAGTACGATATCCTCTTACCAAGCTCAATTCAATTTAAAATTATCAAATTCGAGTGGGTCTCAATACCGATAAATACGTTAGAATTTCAACTATAATTCTAGAACCCTAGCTCACACTGTTGCGCATAAAAATAAAATTTCCATCTCACGGTAGAACGACACAGGGTGCTTGATTACATATGCATGCCAAAAGGAGCAGACTCCGGTAGAAAACCAATTCGTCTCGACAAATCCACAGACTTTGATACGACATGATTCAGGAAACTCGATATGATATATATAGGACGTGTAACTTCAGATATTAGCCAGACGTGATGAAAATGGTGTCCGCACCTTAATTGTTTGATGTTATACCTGAGAAGACCTTAGTTTGATTGACAACCATGTCATTGTCAGACGAAGAATATAATGATTTCAGGATGGCATATTCTTGTTTGGTAGATTGAGGAAGTAAATTGGGAAGATGCGACTTGCTTAAACCCGATGATTGCTGGGTAATACAAATCAATGCGATGGAAAAGCACTTGTTTTTATGAATCATTATCAATATCAATTCTCGAACGAAATAAGATGCTATATAATATTCACCTTATGCAGTTATTCTTGATTGATTTTGCTATAATGTTTCTACACGTGAACAGTTGAAAGGTATGGCTTTTCCAGAGACTCCCCTATGCGCTGTATTATTTTCCTATACAAGCTGTTTAACTTTTTTTTTTTTTCTTCTTTTGATTTTCCTTGGGTGTTTCTGTCCTCAATTTCCACAACAAGGCAAAAACAAGAAGGATATGGATGTTGCTGTCTCGGATTTGTTAACTGTACAGTATTGTTGATTTTTGTTTGTTGTTTGTTCAGGTGTCTGTTGCTGACAAAGTCCTCTAATTTGTAAGGTGGTATTATGTTTTTTTTTTTCTTCTCTTCTTTCACGATGCCACAGCAGTCCAAAAATTTGTTATGCATGAGCTTGCAGGAGTGCCAATGACGCGTGACCATGCCCACTTTGTGTCCTCAACTCGTCGCATTTCTGCCAACTGCCATTATACTTTAAGGTGAGCGACCTCATCATTTTTTATATACTCTTCATAATTCCAACTTCAAATATTCATGTTCAGTTATTTTATAAATTGCATCTCAGAAAACTAATTTTATCTCGAAGATTGCAAAATAGTGCAGATTGATTATGCACTTCTCTGAGTTAGTCCATCTTTCATTTTCTGAGGTGGTTTTGCTATGTTCTTGGAACCTCCTCAATAATGGAACTTGTAAAATTTATAATATACTAGTAAAGGAATCAGCAAAAACTGATAAATATAAATTTTCGCTTACTCTGCCATCTCTTAGCTCGAAGACCACTGAATCATCAGCAAACGGTATTGGTCTTGTTGATGCCACCTGTGAATTATTTGAAATTCCAGCATTAGTTTCATCATATCACTAATTTTTACTAATTATCACATGTTCATGCTAACCTTTGGGTTGCAGTTACTGTCGAGATCATTTAAGTTTTCTGCATCCTTCTCCAGGCTAGCTGACATTTCTTTATCTATACAAACTTCTTCGTTAGCATCTACCACCGCCACTTGTCTTCGACCTTTCTTTCTTAAATATGGGTAGCCACAGTTTTTCCATTTCCATGTCATCTGGTCCATATACCTTATGTATACCTTTCCATCAGAACCAACCAAAAAAATTTGATTGCCTTCAAAGCATGGGCTAGGAGAAGTGATCAAGGATACACCTTTATCAGGTGTTCCATGTTCAATCCAATTCCAGCCTTCACCTGTGTTCCATTGATATTCAACAAGTCCACCTTCTTCCGACAGCATAAATAGTGAGCCTGTGAGTGATAGAGATGATGACCTCATAGCAGTACCCGGCATTCTTGATAGAATTAAATGTGGAGACTGATAATGCTCATGCCACAGTTCTGTCACTTTGTTGTACTGATATAGCCGGCCATTCCTTCCAGTGACGAATATTATATTTTCCCTAAACAATTCCTGGTCTACTATGCTTGCTACCTTGGTATTTGGAGGGTTCTGACAGTTTTTCCATTTAAACTTCCTTAGGGCAACCTGTCAGCAATTTGAGTCATTAGCCAGCATCAAAATATGGATCTGATCTTCATATACAAATGAAAGAACGCCTTTATTATTTCCCAGCCCTTTTGATGAGTAAGTTATCAGACAGATACGTATATTGTTTTAGTTGGTTTTTGCTACTTACTGTAAACTGTAGTAAACTTCCATTTTTGCTCACAAAGAAGAGTGCATCTTCTGCTGTAACTTTCAAAGCTTTACCTGGAATTCTGTCCCATGGAGGTCCTCCAGTCACTCGCTTTCCTTTCCTCATGGCAGTGCAGTTTAACCATGCAAGGTCATTTCCACTTCTCTCTCTGATAAGCAAACTACCATATGTGTCAACCAAAAATAAACTTCCATTATAGTTTCCTAGCGCACCTTTCAGAGGTGTTGAGTGATCATGCCTCAGCCAAAGCCACACATTTTCAGTGTTAAGGTATTCAAAAGCCAAGCCACCATCTGTTATCAGGAAAAATGATTTGCTCCCATGCATCACTCGTAGGCGAAAGTTAGAATTAATCCAATTTTCTGGAAAATTATATTCCTCCGAAGATTTGATTAGTTCACTGGCACCTGCAGACAAGTAATCTTGTTGTGCTTGGTTTCCTTTTCTCCTTCTTGTCACTGATCTTGTAACTCCTGAATCATTAGGTTCATCTTTTATGCCAGTGATGCAATGTGAGGGTCCCCGTTCTTCTTTGCAATACTCTGCATTCCATCCTTCAGTCTCTGGTGCATCTAATATTGACCATACATATTTAGCTGATGCTTTTCTTCGGACATTGACTTGATGATTAGGACCTGCATTTTCCCCACCTAATCCTGGTAGATGCAACTCAGCCAGTCTACCATCATCCAGAGCAAATATTATTCTGCCAAACTGAAGTTGCAGCCCAGCAATTCCTTTAGCAGCTTTTGCATGTGGGGGATGCCTATGACTTAACCATGCGTCAGAAATTTGATTCTCTAGAGCAATACCTGTCTTTGTGTGAAAAACTTATTTTCAGGATGCAAAACTTTTCTTCATATAGCAGAAATTTGTAGCTGGCACATGAAGTTAGAATTTGTTTCTAAAGAATGGCTACTTTACGCACCTGAATGTTTTGGCATTCGATATTCAAAAATGGATCCAGCAGATGTGGTGAAAAATAATGAAAAATTTTTACTTGATTCATCTTGTAAAACTGGTGTAATGGAAGTCATTTGGTGATTTTCCGGAATTCCATGGGTAATCCATTTCCACTTCCTTTGCTGTAATCGCCTCTCTACCAATTGCCCTGCCTGTATACAAAATATTGCAAGAGTGTGGTATATCTTCAAGAACTACATTGTAACGAAATTTACACCTTTGGCTTTGTGAAGGATCTTTTTATTTCCTACATTATTTAACTTTTTGCAACTTTTATGTATAGCAAGTGTAATCCATGTCCATTCTATACATCCAATGACTCTCAAAAAGTTTGTTGTTGCCTATTAAAACTTAAAATTGTGGCAAGTACAATGCACTGCCCAATTGTTATTATATGGTTCTACATTCATACAATTGTTTATTTGTTTTTATATACTCCAGTGGCATAAAGTTTCCTAGTCAACACTTTACATGATTTGTGATAGTTATGGAAGTTTTAACATGTGCAGATGTGATACCTTCGACAAAAGAAATAGAGAACTGGAGTACTCTCCACTTATCCCATTAATGGTGTACCCTCTTGATGGTAACAGTAAAGCATCTTCCCCTGTTCCTTCTGTCCATATATGCTTCTTCCATGATGGCTTGGAGCTCTTGTCATATTCATATAGATTCCCTGTTGAGCTGCATTGTAGTATCATATTTAGCATGATCCTTTTGATATCTAATAATATACTTTCATACACGTGGCTTCCTTATTCACCCTCATTGATAGGGGAGCAACATTTTTTGAAACTCTCAAGTTAATTGAAATATGCTCTTCTATAATTTCGACACTTTGATTGATAGTTTATTTACTAAATTCTTTTCTTCTGGTCAGACCATTTGTTTTTCAAAATTCTAGAACGAAATTGACTAATTGACAGTTGATTCTTAATTAGATGCATCCCCAAGAATTGAATTACAGTTTTCGAGTTGAATTGATATTGGGCAGAATGCAGTCATATTTACTGAACATATAGTCATGCAGCATAGTATGCCTCCAGAGTGGAAGAGTGAGATCACCTTATGGTATATACTACTTCCGGTCTAATGCTACCAGCATCAGCAATTGCTGCAACATTTCCTCCTGGTGGTCGTCCATGATGTACCCATCTGTTCTATGTTTATAGCAAATGTCCAAGTGAAGATTAGATCTTCCCGTCAGCATCTACATTGTAAATAGAGACTGAAATTCAAAAAACAAGGCACTAGTTTAGCCACAGCTTTGCCTAAGTACGAAATATTACCTTGGAGGCTCAACCTCGGTTAGTTCTAATAATTGTCCCTTCTTTGTGCAGAAATAAATTCTCCTGGTAAGCAAATCAGCAAAATCAGTGTAATAACTTCAGTTTATGCTGTAAGGGGACATGATACACTCCTCTGGTACACAGTTCATAAATGAAATTCTAAAACTGAAAGTTTGCACTCACAATCCGTCATGAGAAACAGCACCAGACTTTATTAGAATCGCAGAATTTTGTTCTGCCTCTTTATTTGTGCTTGAATCAGGAGTTGGAGTGAACGCAATCCAAACTGGCTGTGCATTTTCATTGAGTTGCATCTTGAAACAAAAAGAGAAACAAATATCAGTTTTGCAGTTGCAGTGTAACGTAAACCCATTCCTATCCTGATAATAATTTTGCTATGGAATAGGCATTAGCATTAAAGTCAGATTGCATTTTTTTGTTGGCACATTTGTCTAACAGAACACAAAAAAAGTACCAACTATGATTTAATTTCAGTTTCTACTATTACTTACTAACGATTTGAACTAGGATTATTCATTACAAAATAAGTTTGATCTCTGTGGTAAAGCAAACTATTGTTGAGGAAAAACAAGTTAACGTAGAAGGAGTCAAGCTCTTTTGGTCAACATGTATGGTGTAAGTATAACATAGCTTTGTCTATTCCGAAATACAACGCGTGGAAACGGGAAAATAAAAAGTTAGAAATAGCAAATACCGAAAGGCAAAAGCTGTTTTAGGCTAATCTTTGAACTGATGTTTCTTCATCTTCTCTAAATTCGCAAATTAGGCAACTAGAAAATTAGTACTACCTGATATAGAATTCCTGCTTCTGAAAGAGCAAGAATTGTCTGATTGACAATAAAGACACAGATTGCATAACCTGCTGCTATTGATAAATCATGGGGTGCTATCACCCACTGTACTCCATTCCAGAACCTCTCATAGATAGACCCACTTTCACCTGTGACCCAAATGGATGTCTCGGACATTCTAGTCAAAGAAATTCTCTTTCTCTGGGGCAGGAAAATCTTAGAATCATCCTCCGCTCCTCCTCCTCCTTCACCATCCTTCTTATTCAAGCTCTCAATTTGCCTGGAAACATCATCTTCTCTTTCAAAGCGCTTTTCTTTATTTTCTGTTATTTGATCAATTGAACCCACTTTAGTACAGTTATCATTAACACAAGAGACTAGGTCATAAGGAAGTTCCACTTCAACCCAGGTGTTGGATTGCTCTTGGAACTCCCAAAAACGATCAGTTTTCTGCTTGAATTGTCGATCGCTGTGTTGTACATAGTTATGTAGGAAACAAGAAGCAGAACCAAGAATCAAATCGGAGCTCCATGACATGGGGAGGAGCCAGAAGATAAGTACAAAATGGAACAAAGACATGGCTGCATGAGAGAACCTAATAAGAGGACCAGATATAACAGAAATCCTTCAAAACTGAGATATGCAGATGGTGTCATGTACATGTTTTGGTTGGTCTTTTGTACCTTCTGTGGTGCCCCATATAGGACCATATAAGAAAAGGCTCTTAAACTTGTTAAAGAACTTGACCATCAATTTTGGAAACAAACCAGCTCTTTCCTGGCCTTAGGACCATATGAAGGACAGGGAGAGAGGACTGAGGGGTCCATAAATGAAAAATGGGAAGCTGGTGCAAATGGCCAAATATAGACTTACCTTTGATTTTAACTACCATATATATAGCATTTGTCAAAGGCAGTGAAATGTTGTTGTAGTTGCTTCAATTGCTCTGTGTTTTTGTGCAAGATACACATTTCTTGAAGCTAGAATACTGTTAATGCTTTTCTTACCTAATTCATATGACTTCTGTGCCAATTTTTTTTTTTACTGAACATTTTTTTTTTTTTTTGTTATTATGGGCTATATACTGTCAATTGTTGATTTGCTTTTCTAAAGTTTGTTTCTTTATTGGGATTCCTGCACTAATCTCCATCACAGGGAATAGATTCAATGCATAACATGTTGCATTCAGATGAATTCCTTCTGTCAGCTGGAAGGAAGATCAGATGATACTGTAATCCTGGCCGTCCAATCAACCAAGATGTAATCCATGGGGTGAGAAGTCATTAACTCTGTAGGTAAATTTCTTTTCTTTTTTAATATATTATGACTGAATTTATAGAAGCTGATGTAATATGCCACTGATTTTTTTATATGGAGTCGTTGCTCATCAACCAAGACTTTTTGAAAAGACATAACCCAAGTGGGAACTCACTTCTATTTATTTCCAGAATTATCAGTAGAATTAATAGGCAATGGATCCCATGCTTATGATCCTCTGTGGCCCACATACGTCCTTCATGCATCTTTTGACACGTGTACATCTCCTTCGGTTCCGGATTCAAACCCAAACCTGCAATGAGTGCTTACACATCAATTTGACCACAGCCATTCGATTTTGAATTCTCTTCAATAAGATCAATGGCTTTCATTTGCTGGATGCCAACTGTGGAGGCCCGCAACAAGATTGCTGTGAAGTCAAAAGGCCTCTTGAAAGAAACATGCAGTAGGTCCCACATCCATTTGTTTATTATCTGTGGAATCTTTGGATCGGCCAGGTGCAAGGATTCAAAGAATCTTCGGTTAAAGATTCTAATCTCCTCATGAGATGAAAAGAGCTTAGTTGGCTTTTATAAAATGTGGCTTGATCCTAATGCGGTGTTAATATGTTATATTATGACTTGAATAATTGTTCCTCTCTTTCTCTTTTCCTGTCACTTTAGAGAAAAAAAATTTCCATTTTCATCTGTTATTTTAAATTTTTTTAAAAAGTATTAATTATTTTTTAAATTTTCTACTAATTTAACAGATCTATCTCTTAACTAAAGGTTAAATATTTAATGAAAAGATAATTTAATCAAGAAAAGTGTAGACTTGATAAAAGGGGTTTAATTGGGTTTTCACTTTTTAATTATATTTATTAAAATTTTATTTAGTAAATGATAATTTATAATATTTCCATCTTTGGCCCGTTAATATAGATTTATTTCCATTTTTACACAAATTAAGAAAAACTACTTAATTAATTTAAACAATTAACATATTAGATATTACTTTCAATAAAAAATTGAATGGAAAATAAGAGTATATGATAGAGAATTAAAAAATTAATTTTATTTTTAAAAAGAAAAATAGACTATATATTAATTATGCCAAGTGAAATGCTGACTTGACTTACCGTAACGTCCATTCACGTTATTGACTTTGCAGATTGCCCAAACCTCACGAAACAAACCCTAGTTCATAACTACGTTACATATTTATATTTCAACTGCGTTAAAATTGGGATATATACTAATTAATGAAAAAAACTTAATCTATATTAAATTCGTTAGCTATAGCCTGTAGGGTGGTGGTTGACATTTAAAGACTAATCAAATTGAATTTTTAACTACTCTCAAGATGAAATTCCAAATATTCAAACTTTAAATTCTTAATTTACTATTCATTTTCGCTAATTCAATGGCTTGTTAATGAAAAAATTTCTTTCTTCTAATAAGGATAAACTATCTAATTTTTCAAAATTCAATTTTTTTTCCCTTAAGTTTTATATATATTTTAAAATATCAAATTATCACTCCAAAAATTTTTTATAATTTATTTTTAGTCCTTGAATTTCATACTAAGTTTTCACAAATAGCCATATTAGCATCTCAATTTTACTTTTATTTAAAAAATAATTTTTTTATTGATTATTATTGTTGTTTTTAACTAACCTCATTAATGACGTCTTTAAGTTTCCAATTTTGAAAATTTTTGGTCTAATTAGTGAAAAGGTTGTTGGTTGGTAGGGTTGATCAATTTCCCTTTAACCAAGGCAATGAAACTCCAATTCAGTAATGGGTTGAAAATTGAAATCCCATTTGTCTGAAGTAAAATTAGGATCAAGTGGTCACGTATTACTGATTTCTTAGTAATTTAATTACTATATTATACAGTTGCGGAACCAAAAATCAAATTTAGGGCAAAAGAAATTTTTTCAAAAAAATTTTAGGGAGACTGAATAAAAAAAATAAGTTCTCAAGGCAAAAATAGAAAAAATATTTAAAATTTTTTTAATGTTACTCTTATTTACATTAGATATAATAATTATTTTTATAAGTTATAAAAATTACTTTTATTTTTATTGTAATTTAAGAGATTTAATTATTTTCTTAATTCCGTGTAAATATTTTTGACGACTTATATTTTGAAAGAAAGAATAATTAAAGGAGTTTAGCGAAAATATCTAAATAAAAATAAAGTTACAACAAAATAAAAGCCAAAAAGTATAGTAAAAAAATTAAAAAGTGTCAAAATATCAAAACCTAAATGGATAGAAAGCTAACCTAATCTAAAATATCTTATTAAAAGTCTTGGCCCATTTACCCTTTTAGATTAAATTCGATGTTTGGGCCAACTTCAAACTATAGCATGATCTAAAGATTTCCTGCTTGGTGCTCTGAAGTAAAAATTTTCCTGTATATGATGATAAGTTTTGATTTAATAAATTAAATTCATTTCAGTAAACTAAATATTTTGTTCGTATCAAACTTGGAAACATAAAATTTCATATGCATTTCAGTAAATCTGCTATGAAGAGAGCAGAAATGAAAACAAATGATTCATACAGTCGACCCACCTAATCAGAAGTCATTGTTTGTTTTTCAGTCAATCTGCTTCAAGCAAGGAGCCATTATTACACAAAGTATAATTTTCCTTGGACTTAAAAAACATAATGAAAAAGGTAATATAGCAGCAGTTTTATCAGTCAAGACTACAGCTAATTTGGCTACAATTTCAGTTTGAGTGGTACAAAGTTAGAACCAAAAATGACTAAATAGTACTTGTGAACTAGAAATTAATGAACAGAAGCAATGGCAGCATCTAACTTCAAAAACCAATGCTGCACAAAACTAAGAAATGTTCTAAGGACTGCATAAATTCCTAAGGTCATCTTCCTTTGCATACCAGCTTGGTATAATCCTTGAAGCATAAGGATACAAATCCTTATAAGAATTTCTTATAGTCCCTTCCGCCACTCCGGTAGCCAGCGATATATCTACATATCAAACCATATAACAGGACTCTGCTATATATACCCATTAATACAGAAATGATGTAACTTTAAGCATATTAAGTTTAAGTTGTATTTCTAAAATTCTTACCTTTTAGAAGTTTCTTGTCGTCGGAGAGTTGAGTTATCATGTAAATTATTGCTGCTGCTATCGATATTGGGCTTCGCCTGTATATTATAGTGTATCAGTAAAATCATATAAAAAAGATACAATTTGGTTGTTATTGGAGAATGAAACCTTTTTATCTTACCTTATATCAAGCTCTTCAGATTTCTGCACAGATTCTTGAGCTGCTTTAACTGCTTGATTGTTCATCCCAAGATGAGAACAAAACCTTCTCTGAAAATTCTTATAGTAAGATTAATACTGAAGGCTAAATTTAAAAAAATTAATCAAAAAAGAAAAATTGATTCACCAGAAAGTCTCCAGCATGGATAGTTCCCATTTCCATTGATTGACCCAGCTCTACTTCCAGTTGCTTGACAATATACTCCTTTGCGCGGCCAATCTCCTTCTTTGTGGCTCCATTAGCTACTGAACATATTTCTAATACATAGAAATTAAGTTAAAGATTCGGAGACTGTCGAAAGGCATATATTACAGCAAAAGATTATATGATGGAAAGCTCTACCTTTGACAGTGCGAGGTTTATCCTCCTGTCTACAAGCAATGTAAAGGCAAGCAGCCAAGATTGCATCTTGATTCCTTCCTCTCAGAGGCTTTTGATCTTCTACTTTCTTATAGATTTCATTAGCTCGATCCTTCAATTACAGAAATATCAGCAAATCTAATAATTACTTATTTCAGTGAAGAGTATAGATTCTTAATTATCACTTAGACGATTAATTACTCAAACTAAATATTTTCCTTTCCCCCAAAAACTACTAATCACTGTTAAACTTTCTTAAGGTAAACTGAATTCTCCATACCTTTATCGTTGCAACAAGGCCCAGCCTGAAAAATTTAAATGTGTGAATTACATTTTGCAGCTTCTTTAATTTTATATATAATAATTAACTTTGGAAGATAAAAGCAGCAGATAGGTTGCTTACTTTCTCAAGAAACAAACGGAAATTAAATACACGAATACGGATAAAGAAACGAAACGAACCTATCAGACATTGTAGCTATAGTCTTAAAGGCTTGAATAAGAGAACGGTCAGGGTTGGAACCACGATTCTGCCACCGGCCTAAAGAAGTGGTTAGGAAATCACCAGAAGCTCCGGTAGGCTTAGAAATAACGGTGGAAAGACCACCGTCAGCGAGAAGAGGATTTGAAGGGCCGCCGACACGGACAGGGTCGTTATCGGTGGACTCGTTTGCAAAAGTCCTCCACTCAGATGTCTCGTCTATGGAATGAGCCTCTAAGACGAGGCCGCATTCGGAGCAGACTGTGTCGCCGGCGGAATGGTCGAAGACGACCTCCGTAGGACGCTTACAGTCCGGACAGTACGTGTCAGCCATAAGGAAGTTCGGTGGTAGTTGTGAATTTTGATCATTATCTAGTGTAAAATTGTTTTCTGGCTCGCCAAATAAGCTTGTATGAATTTTTAATTTTATTTTTATTTTTCTAATAGTGTGATTTTGCGGTTATGTTTATCCTTGTTTGGGATGTGAAGTTACTTATGACTGACAGAGAGTAGTGTAAATCCTTCATGATCCTGTCTTCTGCTAATTTAACCGTTTATCTTATTTTGTTTTGTCCGTTTTTAGTGTAATGTGGGCCTGTCTGCGGAAAGCTATAACCTGCTTTGCGGATAAGATATAGAAATGGTGGGGCCCTCCAACTCTGACTATGGCGAGAGTCAGACTCTAGAATTAGGGAGGCCGAACAAAATTTTTAAAACTAAAGGGGTCAATTAAAGAAAAAAAGAAATTTTTAGGGAAAATTAAATATTTTTTTTTTATGTTTTAGGGCCTCGCCCTTTACCAACCTCATTCTAGAAGTAAACCCAATCTTAACAAGCCAACCAGCCCAACCGGAAACTAATGGGTTGATTCAAATCGGATTACCCGAATCCGATTAATTTTTTGGACTTACCCGTATGTGCTCTATAAGACCCTGAAAGGCTGACACGGAGAAAAACAACGCACGCAAAGCGAAAACCCTAGGACCAACTACAACAATAGGTTCAAACGCCGATGATCAAAAACCAGTTGCAGAGGCAATGGATTCTAGCCTACAGATTCTAAAGCGAGCTCTCCTTTCTTTTACAGAAAATGTAAAAATTGAAGAATACAAGAATTTTATATGCTCTCCGCTATCGATCAATGTTCTATTGAACATAGTGACTGTAGGAGCGAAAGGGCACTTCTTGGAAGAGCTACTCAGGTTTTGGGGCTCAAAAAGTATAGAGAAACCAATGAAAAGTATTTGAAGCTAGAAGCTGTTTGGATAACAATCCATCTAACGATGGAGGTCCTTATTTGCTTATGTCTAACGCGGCTTTTGTTAATCAAAAACTAGTTTGAAGCCTTCTTTAAGAGACGTTGTTACGAATTTTTACAAAGCTGATGTCAAATACCTTGATTTTGACAACAATTTACTTTCTATTCTTTTATATTTCCTCTTTTAATATTTGATTCTTTGTGCATAAGAATTGCATGAAGTGATTTTTCTGAAAAAAGGCTTGAACTTTAATTTCTATTTGGTTAGGCTGAAGAAGCAGCAAAAGAAGTGAATTTCTGGTTGCAAAATGCAACTAAAGGGCTAATCAAATCCGTTCTCACCAAAAGAAATTCAATAGCGATAATTATTAAGTCTACAATTCAATCATTAGAGTCAACTTATTTTTGTTTTTCAATTAGAGAATGTTTTTTTTTTTTTTTTTTTTTTTTTCAATTAGAGAAATGTTTTTTTTTTTTTTTTTTTTTTTTTTTTTTTTTTTGAAGAGATCACTTAAAATCATGATAACCTTTTTGATAAAATGTAAACAATAATAAATTTTTGAACTATCAAATCAGACAATCTAAAATTAGGCAATTGACTTATGATTTTCTATAATTATTGTCAAATAAAAATCTAATAAAAATGAAGTTTAGCTTTGTAAACATATAATTATTAATATTGTTAAAAGGAGGGTTGACAGTTGAAAGGTCTGTATAACAATTAAAAACTACATGAACGAGCAACTTGCATGTCATTCTCATTCATTCATTCATAAAACACATAGCTCGCATTTATTTCCCTTACTTGCCAACTGTACATGTCCATATCTTTCAGACACCTACCCATTAAAATCTCTCCATCTATCTCTTCTTCTTTTACCATTCTTAATTGATAATTTTCCATTCAGAGCAGGGGCAGCATTTATGATTTAGTTGTTTGGTGATTGTTGTTTTATGTTTCATCAGTCATCACTAGCTGCCCAATACTCTTCAAAGAATTTTTTGTTATATAAGGCATATATGTTCTTTCCATTTTCTCTTATTCTTCACGTAACAGCCCAGTTTTTGTAATTGGCCAGAAATAATGGAGATAGAGGCGGCAAGCAGTAGTTATAGCACTAAAACTGATAGTCTTAGCACCAATGGTGCTGCAGGTGGTGGTGCTGGTAGTGGCAATATCAGTTATCAGAATAATGAGGGCCTTGGCCGTGGAGATGAAAGAGGGACATATTTGGTTTGGGAGAATTTAACTGTGGTTTTGCCAAAATTTGGAAATGGACCCACGAAGAGGTTGCTTCAAGGGCTTAGTGGGTTTGCTGAACCTGGAAAAATTATGGCCATTATGGGTCCTTCTGGGTCTGGAAAATCCACCCTTCTCGATTCACTTGCAGGTATATTTTATGATTTTCCTCCGTCTCTTCCGTGCAAAACATGGGTTTTTTGTTCTTCATTTTGTCTGTTTGTTCGTTCAGTTGTTAAGTATATTTGAGTTTGTCCTTGATTGTGTTTTGAGATTATGTTCTAGTTTCCGCATTTTGCACTTCTTAGACAGAATTTTTCTGCTAGAAATTTTCAATACATTCAATTGTAAAAAATAGTGTCAAGCCAAGGATCCATGTGAATGGATTATCATCTTTGTCACTTAGCATGGAACGAGTCCATTTTAAAATTAGTGTGAACTTTTCTGTGCAGAGCATTAATTGCTACATATTTCAAAATTTGTGGGGTTGATGTTGGTTAGCTTAATTAATCAATTTAGTTAATCTAATATCAGGGTACGTCTGATTGAATCCCACTAATAATTCAAATTGAAAAGTTTATAGGGTTAGAGAGGAGGATGCCTTTATGGTGTTTATTTCATACGGTACCATACCTACAAGCAAACAATTGACTAGCATTTATGTATTGAAGGAGAGGCATGGCCACGACATACCAGATAGTTTTTTTTTTTTTTTTTTTTCCACGCACATAAGATAGTTTTTTTTTTTTTTTTTTTTCCTGATTACTAAATGCCATCTATGTTCTGATCCAAAACTTCTATTGTTTGGCATGGCCAGCTAAAAAACCAAATAATTATTAAAAGATTAATGCTTTGGTTCAAGCAGGGACCAGTGGGATGTGGGCCCCAGATAGTTTTTTTTTTTTTTTTTTCTGATTACTAAAATGCCCTCTATGTTCTGATCCAAAACTTCTATTGTTTGGCATGGCCAGCTAAAACCAAATAATTATTAAAAGTTAAATGCTTTGGTTCAAGCAGGGACCAGTGGGATGTGGCCTATCCTGACCACTGAGTACCTGATGAAAATTACTTACCACCAGCAGCTTGGTAGCTTAATCTCATGTCTTTTTGTCTTCCCGTTCAGTTTTTAATTCCCTAATTTGCTTTAGGAAGTTATAAGTATATTGGTGAGGCTATTTCTAGAATTCATGGCATTGATACGGGATGTGTGGACGGTGTTGTAGTTGAATGAATTAATTGTTGCTTTAAATTATTCTTTTATGGGAGTCTTTAAGTCGGGCCAAAGATGTATATTGTCTAACTTTTCAACAATTTTTGCAACCGACATATTTAGTCAATTTTGGCTGGTTTGCCTTGTGTATTTTTTAGTCAAATGTCCCCACTTCAAGAAGAGCTGGCAATAAAATAAAATAAAAAAAACTCTTTTTTGGTTACTTTTAAGGCTTTATGGTTAGAATGTTAGTGAGCTATACAGTGGTAGACGATAGTCATTCCTTTAAATTTATCATAAATGCGCAAAATCGGTAGGATCTGGACCTGCGACCTTCAAAAATAAAAAGAAAGAAAGAGAGTGAGATATCATGCATAGATTATATCAGAGGTGAAATATCATGCATTATTTTTACTAGTGGGTAGCTCTATAAATGATATAAAATTTTGAGTTACTTATTCTTCTTTTGGTCACAGGTAGACTCTCCAGAAATGTCATAATGACTGGAAATGTTCTTTTTAATGGAAAGAAGAAGAGGTCGAATGCTGGTGTTGTAAGTACCACTACAGGCAGATTTTTAAGTATTATATCCACATATGAAATTTTATTAATTCCAAGCTGAAAAGACTACAGAAAAGTAATCAGAAGTGTGGTTTTAGTAGCTCAATTGAATGTATTACTCATAATATTTTTTTAATGTTAAATTTCAGGCTTACGTAACACAAGAGGATGTATTGTTAGGAACTCTTACAGTGAGAGAAACCATTACTTATTCGGCAAATTTGAGGTTTCCAACTTCCATGACCAAAGAAGAGATTGCTGATGTTGTAGAGAGTACAATCATGGAAATGGGTCTGCAAGATTGTGCTGATCGTCTGATTGGAAACTGGCATTTGAGAGGCATAAGTGGTGGTGAAAAGAAGAGACTAAGCGTTGCACTGGAAATCCTCACAAGGCCGCGGCTCTTGTTTCTTGACGAACCTACCAGTGGCCTTGACAGTGCATCGGCTTTCTTTGTAATTCAAACTCTTAGAAATATAGCTCGTGATGGAAGGACAGTTATCTCTTCAATTCACCAGCCAAGTAGTGAAGTATTTGCACTCTTTGATGATCTTTTCCTACTATCTGGAGGTGAAACTGTTTACTTTGGAGATGCAAAGATGGCTGTGGAGGTATGAAACAGTTACTGAAAAAAATCATGGCTTTACAATTTAACATCTTGATATTAGCGCCATCTTTAGTCTATCCTTATAAGAGGCAAACACTCTTCAAAGTCTTAAAACTTTTCAAAATTTTCCCATTTGTTATGTAAGCTGTTGATTTTATTGATATATAAATATGATAATGCTGAAATTGATTCATTAATCTCTAATTTGAGTGTTGATTTTCACAGTTCTTTGCTGAAGCTGGTTTTCCATGTCCAAGTAGAAGGAATCCTTCTGATCACTTCTTACGTTGTATAAATTCAGACTTTGATACAGTAACTGCCACGCTAAAAGGATCCCAGAGAATTCGTGTATGTATCAATTCCAGGTCTTTTGGTGATATTTGAGTAGCAATTCTTTCCATTAGTCCATGGTTGTTGCAATATGTGCTATTAATCTTTCTTGGTATCTCTTTTGGTAAAATAATATTATCAGCAAGCCGATGCTGAACACCCTGTGGCAAGCTCTTCCAAGTTCAAAATTGAAATCCTCAATCCTTCACACCAATTTATTGGCAACTGAGATTTTACCAATTGGTGATTTTCACGGCTCTAATAGGCCAACTTCTCACCTTACTTCATATAACTTAAATCGACAACATTTCCAAAACAATCAAATACTGGTTTTATAATTCCTTTTCTTTCAAAAACAGAGAGTTGCCTAAAATTTGGAACTTCTAGATATTTCCAGTTGTTGAACTCTTGATGCCCCTGGTAATGTGGAGTGGAAAAAAAGGATTGTTTAAAAGAACCCTACAACTCGGAATCTAGTGTTATTTTAAGTGGCGTTAAGATGAGCAGCTAACTCAATTTGGAATGTCTAGCCAGCACAATAATGCTCTCTCACACGTGGACACATGCACGAACACAGCACACGTGCATACAAGCTGCCTTCATTTTCCATCTTCAGCCATGGAATCACCTTTTACTCTTTTTTGAAGACATACTATATGCTTGAGTACAACCTGTCTGGCTTAATTATAGGATGTTCCAGCATCAGCAGATCCTTTGCTAAATATGGCAACGGCAGAGATCAAAGCAAGACTTGCTGAGAAATATAGGCGCTCAAACTATGCAGGAAGGGCAAAAGCCAGAATTAAGGAAATATCAGCCATTGTAAGCAATTGGAATTGAGCTTTTTGTAGTTTTAATCGTTTTCTTTTTTTAAAAACATTTAAATACTGCCTAGATTCTATTTTATAAATTTTGAGATGCTTTTCAAAAATGGATAATACTGTGCTAGTCTTGGCTATGTTTCCATGCTTGCTTTTGAAATTGAGAACCATAAGTTTCTCTTGCTTTAGCCCGTGCTGTATTGCACTACTAGAAACATTGAGAAACATAAGTTTCTCTTTCAACAAGTTTCAGGGTTACTGGCTACTTACAACCTGACAAGTAATAATGAATTTGGCATATTGACAACGTCCTGTAAAACAAAAAAGAAACTTCTATGAACATTGCTGATGTGAGAACTCTTTGATAGCAACATGGTTGATAGTCTTTTAAGTTGTGTTTTGGTTTATTTGAATACTGGATCTTCATTTTTCTAGGTACTCCTTAAGCTTTTTGTCTATGGCTTCTTTCTTGGTTTTCAGCACCTGATATGTTCTGGGCCATGTTCTATTGTTAGCTTGTAACCCCCTTTATTCTTTTGATGATATATTTCTTTTTTTTTTGGCTGATTAAGAAAAATGGTAAAAAAGCAACTGCCTTTTGAAATAGCATATGACTTATTCAAAACATCATTCAGGAAGGACTTGATATTGAAACAGAAAGTGGAAGTGAGGCAAGTTGGTTGAAGCAACTTTCAACATTGACCAAGAGATCTTTTGTGAACATGTCCAGAGATGTGGGATACTATTGGGCAAGGATAGCAATCTACATAATTGTTTCTATCTGTGTTGGTACTATCTATCATGATGTTGGATATGGCTATACTGCAATCTTGGCTAGGGTGGCCTGTGGTGGATTTATAACAGGCTTCATGACATTTATGTCTATTGGAGGCTTCCCATCCTTTATTGAAGAAATGAAGGTAATAATTAGATTATTATATAACCTGATTTTGGATAACACAAACCTGTTTGTTCCAGGTTGTTGATGCCTTTTCCTTTCCATAAAACAGATCTTTTATCGAGAAAAGCTTAATGGATATTATGGTGTTACAGTGTTTATCCTCTCCAACTACTTCTCTTCTTTCCCGTTCTTGCTCGCAATTGCGCTTTTATCTGGGACTATATGTTTTTTCTTGGTGAAATTTCGATCGGGATTTTCCCATTATGCATTCTTCTGCCTCAATATTTTCGCTTGCATTTCTGTTATAGAGAGCCTGATGATGGTTGTAGCTTCTTTAGTTCCGAACTTCTTAACTGGACTTGTTACTGGGGCCGGAATCATTGTAAGATCAAAATACTTTGAAGTCATCTATTAAGCTTATTATATATTTTCATCATATGGTGTCATCTAAACGGCATTTTAATCTTCTGTCACATCCACATAGGGAATCATGATGATGACCTCTGGCTTTTTCCGGTTGCTGCCTGATCTTCCCAAGCCATTCTGGCGCTACCCGGTTTCTTATATCAATTACGGAGCATGGGGACTTCAGGTGATTCTGAGATAAACTTATCAACTAATTACACTAAACTCTTTTATTAATCGATTGCTGTTGCCGAAACCACAGGGTGCCTACAAGAACGATTTCCTAGGCCTGGAGTTTGATGCTCTAGAGGGCGGGCCTAAACTGACTGGCGAATTCATCGTGACAAATATATTTGGAGTTCCATTAGATCATTCAAAATGGTGGGATTTATCAGTTATATTTCTTATTCTTCTATGTTATCGGATTCTCTTCTTCGTGGTTCTCAAGTTCAAGGAGAGAGCTTCACCAATAGTGAAGGACATATATTCAAAGAGAACTTTGCAAAAACTTGAAAGGAGGCCTTCTTTCAGGAAGTTAACATCTATTACTTCCATTTCCAAGAGGCACCAACCTCTCCATTCTCTATCTTCTCAAGAGGGTCTTAACTCTCCTCTCCACTAGAGGAAGCACTAAAGATAAAAAGCAACCTTTGTTCTTAACAGTACATTTTATGTAACTTACTATTATTTGAAATACAATGATACAAACAGATAAAGATGCAGAGATTTGCTTGAAGCTTCTTATTATAGAAAATAGCATAAATGAGATTGATTCTTGCATACATGAACTTTTGAACAGTCAGCCAAATAGTGTAGGTAAAGGTAAGAAAATATTTACTTCTCTATGAAAAAATAGAAAAGAAAAGAAATCTCTTTTTTATTTTCATTGTATGCATGAAATATTATCATCAATAATAATAGAAAGAAACTAATGGGTCCCATATACTTCTGGAATGCCATTATAGCTTATACCAAAACTATATACATACGCGGTTTCTAGCTGTCAAAAGGCTTGGCAAACCCTGTATTAATTGTCTTCTCTTCTTCCTGCCAACAGTACTATTTCTTTTTTTTTAAAATTATTGGCTTGTTAAGTATTAAAAAAAAAAAAAAGCAAAAGAAAAATGAATATTCCATGTCATCCCAAATCGTGATACCATAATACAATTGAGAACTGAAGGTATGTACTGTATATAACTGTTTTGTATTTCAAAGTTTTAAATACATCGCTCTCGGAGTTACTATCATGTCCAATCCTCCATGTGAATGCATTGATGGGAGAGACTTTGAAAACTTGTTCACCTGCTCACCTTAACTGGTTAGCTACTATTGCTCTCAATTTTCATTTCCTGCAGTTTTCTTTAAAATATATATTAATTAATTTGTAGATCTAAAATTTTAAATAGAAAGAAGGGATTATGAAATAGGAAAAAATTAATAATTTCATACGTCAAATGATAATTAATATATAATATCACGAGAGGTTTTCATTAATTATCATCTATTATTCCTTAATATACAAATTAAGTTATGTTGGATTATGTTTCAACATTTTTATCATTTTCCCTTTCAATAAATATATGCAAATGCATGACACAGCAGGTTCAAAGGATCACCATAAATAAAAACATGGCCAGCTAGCAAAAGTTTGGTGAGGTTTATATTCTGAAATTGGCATATATTTATATGTATATATATATAATTTTTCTATATTTTTAAGGATCAATACGTACTTTTCATAATTTTTTTCTTTTAAAAAAGGTTTTTTTTTGGGATGGCGAAAGCCCTTCAGCCCCTATGGAGCTCCGCCCCTCCATACTGCAATTGAATGCTAATTTTCACAGCAAACAGATATTAATGAGAAAACTTTTCAAAAGTACTTTATAGTGGCAACTGTCCAATCTTCGATAAGGATTATGCAAAGAGATATTTCCAAACTCAGTGTAAAATAAAAAATTACATAATATTAAATTTAAAGTGCCAAACTAATTGAAGAGTTAGTTTGCAGTTGGACTGGTACAAAATAATAATATTTAGAATCTTTTTTTTTTCCCTTAATTGTGGTTAATGAATATATATATACATATATATATTGAGTACGAAATGAATGATTTGCATGCAAGATTGCTACTGATCATGTCAAAAATACTAGAAACGGTAATAAAATATGGTTGAGGAAGATTAAGAAAAAAAAAGGAAAGAAAATGGAAAAGGTTTACAATATCTATTTGTCTTTCTAAACTCTGCAACTAATTTAAGAAGCTATAATGATAGATAGATCTGGTTTGGTCGTGATAGTTATTATCCAAGTAAATTAACTTCATTACTACCTTCTCAGCTCTCACCAGTGACCAACTTCCCTTCTATATATTCACTTCTCTCTTCTGTCTATAGTGCTACAAGTTTGTTCACTATACTTACTATACTTGAGTATTCCTTTTCTACTTAATTATAATCCATACACCAAAAAAAAAAAGGACCCATCTTGCTTTTTTTCTTTTTCATAAGTTGTCTTTCAGAATCAAGAATTTTGGCTGGACATAATGGAGATAGAGCAAGTTACTAGCTGTAATGGCGGCGGCAGCGGCAGCGGCGGAAGTGGTGGTGCAGATGTGGAGGTAGGTATAACAAGAGGAGAAGGATCTATGTACTTGGTATGGGAAGATTTAACAGTAGTGCTACCAAATTTTAGTAAAGGACCTACAAGAAGGTTGCTTAATGGACTTAATGGATATGCAGAGCCTGGTAAAATCATGGCTATTATGGGTCCTTCTGGTTCTGGAAAATCCACTCTTCTGGATGCATTAGCAGGTTTCAACCTTGCCTCTCTCTTTCTTTCTTCATTTCATGTTCTCACAGATACGGAACCATTAATCATATTGATTAACTATTGAGAAAGATTTTTTGTTTTCTAATCATTTGATAATTACTTATAACTTCATTAAAATTCATTAATTATCAAAACAGGAAGATCTCGAGTTTGAAGCTCAATAAAATCTAAATTAACTAAATATATTTTAGTTCAATAATATTACAATCATTTTCAAAAATTGAAAAATATCTAGTGAAAATCCTGAATCGAGACCAAATTCAATATTGTAAAAAAGTTCCACCCAATTGGTGGTTAAGAAACAAAAACAGCATTGTAGGTTTAATTGCTTCACAAAAATTGCATGTTCTTGAATCCTAAATACGTAGTGTTTATATCATATATAAGTTGATAATACCATAAAACAATAAGGACTGTTAATTATTATTATTTCAAATAATCTTAGAAAATCATATTTAAATATCTATTATTTAAAATTTTTATGATCCCAAAAAAGAATTAACCTTGATGAGTGATTTAGAAATTAGAAAATATTCTAACTCAATAGCCAGTGGCTTTGCTGGTCCCTCATAACATAATTTTTGAGTTTGCATTTAGTGGTCTGATAGAAGATGTGTGGCTCTGGAGCTCAGGATTTAATGCAATTGGTGAGGTTGGAAAAATTCTCACTTACAACTTTAGATGTTTGATTTGGGAGTGGTGTATAAATCCAATAGCTGACTGACACCTCCACTTACAGTTTTTGCATGCATTGGTTTTTTATTTTATTAGAAAATTTATTGAAGAATATATATTATAATTTAAATTTAATCAATTCTCCTGTATCTAGTGAAGAATATTTAAGTTTTGCATGCATGATTTTATTTTATTTTTTTAAAATTTTTTATCCATAAATTTCAGTACATTTAATTCTATTTGGTTTCTTTTTATTTTTATATGCCAATTGAATTACCTTTACTTTACGACGCTGCTAACAAATATATGTTGGAAGAATTTTTAATTATTTACAGCGGACGAAAGGAGATTATGCCACGTGGCCTCCCCATAACCTCTACCGTATTTAAAGCCTTAATAGTATATGTATGGAGTCATTATCAGAGTATTTATTATTATTTAATAATAATAAATTTATCCACCCAACCAATCCCATATTTTCATGGGACTAGTCAGTCTTTTCTATTCATTCTTGCTTTCCATTAGTCAAACTCTTCTAGTGAGGCCCACATTATTCCAACTCCTTAATGGTAATTAATGATAATCAATTGCTTAATTCTTTTTTTTTTTTTTTTGCCAACCAATCCCATATTTTTCATGGGACTAGTCAGTCTTTTCTTATTCATTCTTGCTTTCCTTAGTCAAACTCTTCTAGTGAGGCCCACATTATTCCAACTCCCTTAATGGTATTAATGATAATCAATTGCTTACATTCCTTTTTTTTTTTTTTTTTTTTTTTTTTTTTGTTGTCAGGTTGTAATATTTGAAAATTAATTAAAAAATATTAAAAATTTTTAATTACCAGTGCATGTGCATATGCTTTCTCCATCTCGTTACAGAAAATTTTTATAAACAAAAATTCTTTTTGCGCTAGAATTCATAGAAGGAAGTATCACATGATAATATAGAAATTAATATTAAATATTGCAGGTAGACTCTCAGGAAATGTTATCATGACTGGAAATGTTTTGGTTAATGGAAAGAACAAGAGAATGGGCTATGGTGATGTTGTAAGTTATTTAAATTTTTCTTAATTAATTAATTAATTAATTTAGGATTCTAAAATTCATGATTTAAAATTTTAAAGGATCAACTATGTTTTTTTTTTTGCAATAATTCAGGCTTATGTAACTCAAGAAAATACATTGTTGGGAACTCTAAGTGTTAGAGAAACCCTGACTTTCTCCGCCCATTTAAGGCTTCCAAGCAGCATGAGCAGAGAAGAGATTGAAGGCATTGTAGAAGGAACAATTGTGGAATTGGGTCTTCAAGAATGTGCAGATAGGCTGATTGGAAACTGGCATTTGAGAGGAATAAGTGGTGGAGAGAAGAAAAGATTGAGCATTGCGCTTGAAATTCTAATAAGGCCAAATCTTTTGTTTCTTGATGAACCTACAAGTGGACTTGACAGTGCCTCTGCTTTCTTTGTAGTACAAACTCTTAGAAATATAGCTCGCGATGGGAGAACAGTTATCTCTTCGATTCATCAGCCCAGTGGTGAAGTTTTTGCACTCTTTGATGATCTTTTCTTGTTATCTGGTGGCGATGCTATTTATTTTGGAGAAGCAAAACTTGCAGTAGAGGTCAAAGTTTTTATTTTCTTTTGTTTTTCTTAATATATAAATAAATTAACTGCTTAGTTAACTTTTTTTTTTTTTCCAATCTTGCAGTTTTTTGCTGAAGCTGGATTCCCCTGTCCGAGTAGAAGAAATCCTTCTGATCATTTTTTACGGTGTATTAATTCAGATTTTGATCATGTAACTGCAACTCTTATTGGGTCTCAGAGAGTAAGTGCAGTTTTCACTAATTCTTTTTTGGATTTTTGGTTTACATTGAGCTTCCAACTCACAACTTGACAATTCTAGTATGAGAAAAATACGTTGTTAAAAGAGCTTTACGTCGCTTCTGACCTGAGCATGGAGACATGTGCAAACTTAAAAAAAAAAGAAAAAAGAAATGCCTAATGTATTAGAATTTGATTTCTGGTTTTCACAGTTCCAGGAAATTCGAATATCATCAGATTCTTTGGCACATTTACCAACAGCCGAGATCAAAACGGTTCTAATTAAGAAATACAGGTCCTCCAGCTATGGAGCAAGGTCAAAAGCCAGAATTAAAGAGATCTTAGCTACTGTAAGCATCTTCATATAGCACTTGCTATGTGTATATAAAATTAATTAACCCTGTGAATTGTTTGTTGATGAGCATGAATTCCGTGCTGCAGAAAGGGCTTGAGATTACTAAAAAGGGGGAAAACCAGGCAAATTGGTGGAAGCAACTTTCGACATTGACAGAGAGATCTTTCATTAACATGTGGAGAGATATAGGGTATTACCGGGTAAGGATATGTATATATATAGCCTTATCTCTTTCTGTTGGCACTGTCTTTTACGATGTCGGAAGAAGTTACACTTCAATCTTAGCTCGTGGAGCTTGTGGAGGATTCATATCAGGATTTATGACTTTCATGTCCATTGGAGGCTTCCCTTCCTTCATTGAAGAACTCAAGGTAATTTCCATTTTTTTTTTCTTTTTCTCATATAGATCTTTCATTAATCAGGATTTTTCTTGTTTTGCTGTTTAAGCAGGTATTTTATAAAGAAAGGCTGAACGGGCATTATGGGGTTGGAGTATACATTCTGTCAAATTTCCTCTCTTCGTTTCCGTACTTGTCTGTGATGTCCATTGCTACTGCAAGTATTACGTTTTACATGGGGAAATTTAGACCTGAATTTTCACATTTTGTGTATAACTGCGTTGACCTTACCACCAGCATAGCAACAGTAGAGAGCTGCATGATGACCATAGCTTCGCTCGTTCCTAATTTCTTAATGGGACTCATTGTTGGAGCTGGATATATAGTTAAGAAGAAACTTTTTTTCACATGTACAAACCTTTCATAACTTTTTTCACAAAATTTGTTACATCTTTAATGTTTGTTTTCAGGGAATCCTGATGATGACTTCTGGGTTCTTCCGTATGGTGCCTGATCTTCCCAAGGTCTTTTGGCGATACCCGATTTCTTATATCAATTTTGGAGCATGGGGCTTGCAGGTAGTTTCACAACAGCAGTTCCTGTAATTTCCTCTAAATATTGTTTACATAACATTGATCTGCTCAGAATAAAACATCAATGAAATTCACCTACGTGTTACATTAACAATTCGACATATTTTCATTCACCATAGCTATAATGAAAATGCAGGGAGCATACAAGAATGACTTGATTGGGATAGAGTTTGATCCTTTAGTACCGGGTAGCCCGAAACTGAAAGGTGAAGTTATTCTCACAACCATGCTCGGCATTAGAGTTGATTATTCAAAATGGTGGGACATAGTTGCTATTGTGGTGATTCTCATAGCATTCAGACTTCTCTTTTATGCCATTCTCAAATTCAAGGAGAGAACTTTGCCTGTGTTCCGTAAGCTATATTCCCGGAGAACTATAAAACATATGAAGAAGAGGCCATCTTTCAGGAAAAATTCACCCTTCCCTTCTCTGAGGCACCAACCTCTCCATTCTCTGTCTTCTCAGGAGGGTCTCAACTCTCCGATTCACTAGCAGCAACACCAAATTAAACATATTACAGTTACATTCAAACTCTATATTGGTATTACAAAAATACATGTTAAGGAGCGAAATTCAAACAAATATTCAAGTACTATCTTCTCTTTTCTCATTTTTGGCAATCAGAAAAATGTGTTCATGGTCTGGAATTGACACGCATGCATGCAAAAATATTTTCAGATATCGGATTACCACAAACAGTGCATGGTTATGCTGGAAAAAAAAAAAATCATACTGCAGTAAAATAGGGTCCAGTATAGAAAAGAATATTTTCTATCAAACGGATACATTTGAACCCACATTTGAGCTGTAATATCTCAATTTCATATAAAAGCAATAAAACAAACCTGAATTTTACGCACAGTCAATCCATTAGTTCATCTGCATCTTCTGTCTATCAATTTCAAGAAAGTGGTAAGCCACTGCCTATCAAGTATCAACAAAAAGTAGTTTCGTCAGATACCATATTGGCCACAAAGAGGAACCATCCTAATCCTTTTTCAAAACAGAGAAATAAACAAAACACAAGCAATTAAGTACATGCACAATGAGAGATAGTGATTACTATCTTCATATGTATGATACTAGAAAGCACCAACATACATACAATTGATCTCTCCTGCCACCCAAAAATGATAACAGAATGTATCTGTCATCTCTGAGATGGGAGAGCAAAACATATTCATCATTTTATGACAAAAACAAAAGCCCATACTGAAATAATAATATCAGAACTGCAAGTAAAGAGGAAAACTTATATTGTATGTGTCATAATTTCTTAGACATTTCAGTCTGAATAAGAACTCTGAAAAAATTTACTATGCTTTCAGTATAAACAGGGAAACCAGTTCAGCAATACTGAAGTGAGCTAACTTACATCATCAATAAAAACCAGAAATCCAATACCAAGAAACTCTGTCAATAGATCATCAGGCTTGTGCCACAGCATTACATTTCATAAATAGAAATCAACTTCTCTTTTTTTTCTCTCTTTTAAAGAAAATTGGAGTTTACAAATCAATTAATTCATCTGTCAGTTCTAATTTAATACTAACCAAAATTACAAATAGAATGCTAAACTTGGATTAATCTCCCAACTTCACAGATAGTCAGATAGTTAATGTTTGATCTCATTGGACACCCCATGTTCAACACGATTATCAAACCCATGATAAGGAACCTCAAACATGGGCCTAGGAATTGGACGCCCACCAAAATCCTCAGGAAAAATTTCAAAGTCAGGTCCAAAGTTAAACTTGACCACACAATTTGGTTGATTTGGAAGGGTGTACATTGAAGCAGCAGGGAAGTAACGACCACCACATAAATCCTTGAATGCAACGCCTTGACATACCCCATTTCTGAAGAAAGATATCTCACTTCCTGCATGGCAGAACAGTAATTCCTTAAAAAGGCAAATAATGGCATCCAAATGTGAAGCATAGATTACATATTAGCTTCCCCAAGTTACAGAAAGGATCAACCATGCTTGCTAAGAAAATTTCAACAAAATACTCATAGAATCCAACACAAAGACATAATTATTTCATCAACATATTGGTTAAGGCTACAACTCCAAATTCAAGCACGATTCAACTCCTCAGCTAGATGCCCCCAGCATCCAAGACAAGTACAACAGAAGCAAGGCTACACTTAACTTGCAGAAACCACTTTCCAGCGCAAGAAAGTGCAGACAAATGTATATATCATAGGAAAAATTTAAAATGTACTATCATCAGATAGTACATTACTTTGGCAGTCAGATTGAAAAAATATAGTTTTTATGTGTTGATAGAATTTATATTGAGTAGATCTCTAGTGATCTGAGAGGAGAGAGAGAAAATCGAGTCAAACCCAGCATACATTCATCTTTCTAGGCATTCACAACAACCCTAATCAAACTTCATGATTAATTTAGCAGATTTAGCTCACCATGCAAAACCTTGAATAGTTCAGCTGACAGCTACAATCAGTTTTTGTCACTTCAGAATTAGTTTCTAACATGATAGACAACTCTTCCATTGCCTTACCATTCATTCCTAATACAAGTAAGATACAGTCCATTCTTTATATTTATATAATATATAGTTAGTTGAATATTATGCATAAAACATCATTAGTTCAACCAGTTATTTACAAATGCGTATTTCAGATAAAGTTGAAGGGAAGGAGCAAATGCACAGAGATGAGAACGCTTCACATTCTCTTTGAATAAAAAGCTTAAGCAGATTTGAGAACAATTGTGATGGTTTGTTTTGATTGATATTTATGATGTCACAAACAAGTAATCTCATTAGATGGCAATACCAGGGGGATAGTATCCTGGAAAACAAAAGCATTTTATTAAAATGAAAGATGGGTCTAAAATCACTCTAACACCCCTTGCAAAGCAAATGAAGTCACATCCATTCGCTAAGCTGCAACCAACTTCATTCTCTAGATTCAGTCATGCGAAGTACTCACCTGTACAACTACTTGTTGGCTCTCAAATTTTAAGAATGTAATAGAAATTTGCCAAGTCGAAGAAACTTTACAAGGAAGTGAACCTCAGAGGCTGTGATTCATACAAAAAAGTTCGTTTCTTTTTCTAAACACTAAACACTTATTGCGACTGACACTGTCATCCCTAAGTATAAGTGCAAATATTAAGGGAATCTCCATCCCATACATGCCATAAGCTTATCTAGTTTACTGCAAGAATCCTCCTGCTTTTAGGGATAAAAGTTTTGAACATTTTCATTTGCATCTCCTTTGCAATTAGAGATTCACCATTGTGACTAACATATTATTCAGGATGGTAAAAAAACAACATTATCTACCACAATATTCACAATGATGGAAAATACAGAAGTAAAACTAACAGTCGGGATACTTCACTTAATCCTAGAATGTTCTTGTTCAGCTCAAAACAAATGCAGTACTATCAAGCCACTAAAAGCACCCAGAATAAAGGAATAGCTTAAGAAATGATAACACTATCATTATGCTGCAATATCTTCAAATGTAACAACTGCTGCGCAGGTCATATAACAACACACATACTAAAGAACAAGCAATACTGAAACAAAACGATGCTAAGTTATAAACAATAAAAACATGAACTCACCAGGTATGATCTTAGGAGGATCCTCCTTAGCATCTGGAGCACAGACATACCTCTGCCCTTTATACCAAACCAAATGTGGTGGCTTAGGAGCATATAATGAACCTTCCGGTAAATTAATATAAAACCCAATAACATCCCCTTCCTTATACCCTTCCTCCCCATACTTTTCTCTCAATGCCTTGTGCACTTTACTCCCATCAATATCTCTATACCCAAAACTGTTCCCATCGTATCCAACTGGCGCCTGCAGGTCCCCTTTCTCTGTTGACCATCCAAGACGAGTGTGCCCTGTCTCTCCCAAACTCGCCACTTTAATCTCAAAGTACCATGCCCCTTCGCAAACACCTCTAGTGGCTCTCACCATTCTATACCCTTTTGTACTTCCAGCACTCAATCTGTCTTCGCTCAATTCCACTTTCTCAGCTTTGTATACTTTGGATAAGCAAATTTTCATGTCTGGGGTATCGTCACTTTTATCTGGGAATCTGGGGACAGGGGTTATCAAAACTGTATCTTCAGCAGGAGTATTCTGGGGATTAGGCTTGGTTTTCTTCTTGCCTTTACGGGTAGATCTCGTTACCCACACATTGTTGTTGTTCTTTTTCTTAGATTTCTTTTTCGTTGTTGCTTGCGTTGTGGATGGAGTCTTAATTTCGCTCGACACAACATTGCCATTGTTGTTCTCGTCAATGGTAGTGGGTTCTTCTTCTCGTTGCTGTTGGGTCAGAGATGAGAGTTGCTTTTGCTTTTTGGGAGGTGGGTCTTCGTCTTCATCGTCGTCCTCATCTTCTTCTTCCTCCATATCCTCTACTTTGGGGGATTTAGTAGTGGGCTTTTCAGTGTCGTTGGAGGTGGTTGGGTCCGATTCAGAGAGACCAGATACAAACGGCTCTTGATTTTTGGTCGAGTCGCCGTTTTGAGAAGTTTCCGTGTCGTTTTGTGGTTCTTCTGTATCATTCCGATGTTCCGCAAGTTCAATGGCGGTAGTGGCAGCGGGTGAAGGATCCCCATGGCTAGTGGGTTTTTCTTCATCGTCATCTTCTTCTTCTTCTCGGTAGGTGGCTTGAAGGGAGTCCATGCGAGGGGCTTCGAAATGGGGATTGTTTTGATTGAGATTAGAAAGCGCGAGTATTGCTCAGGCTTTGATTTGATTACAGAGAGAAAAAAAATAGGAGTAACTCGCGTCGGAACGGGAAGAAGAATTGGGTTTCAGAAAAATTAATTTGGGCTTTTTATGTCTAATTAGGCTTCTGTTCTGCAGGCTTTTATGTCTGATTGGGCTTCTGTTCTTCGGGCTAATAAATCTGATTGGGCTTCTGAATAGGGCCATGTAAAGGGGCTCACTGGAAGATTAATCCAACCCATTATTACATTACTGACAGCTAACTCCGATGCAGCGTAAACCGTTACAATTTTATTGGCACATCAAGAAAGACTTATTCAACGTGTTAGCTTTATTGATTGACCCCAAGCCACCAAATGAACGCGTTGACACCAAACCAACCAACCGCAATTTCCGCAGTCCAACATAACATGCCAAAAACAAAAATTAAAGAGTTAAGTCTCCTCATAAAGAAATTCGTTTACTTTTTCTATCTTCTTCTTTCCACTTTCTTTCTTGGGTTGCTGTTACAAATTGAAAATTCTATATTACAGCCATAGTATAGCAAGCATATATTGTTGGGTAAGATCTGGACTTAGCAAAAAAAAAATCAAATCTGTCTTCCTATTATTTATACACGTATACTCTTTTTATTTTAAAATAAATATCGTCTTTCATCTTTTATTTAATAGTATCGTATTCATAATTTTAAAACTCCATTAATTTTTTTTTAATCTATCCTTATTTATTTATTTATTTATTATTCTACTTATAATATTATTGTCTCTCAATTACTCCTTTAATTTAATTGGAGGGCAAAATAAATATTTTATAAACTAATTTTTTTGTAAAATATAGACCGCTAATTGCTTTCTAGTCATGTACCACTTTAAATTAAAGGAATATATTTTTATATTCAGACTGAAAATGCAGAAATGGTAGTCATTGTAATATTATGATTTTGATGTAAATGTCAATTGGTTATTGGTCAATATGCACCAAAAGAAAAATTCAAATTAAATATGCTAATTGAGTTGTTACTTGCAAAAACTATTCACGTAATCAAATCGACGTTGACATATATGTAAAACCAAGTAAATAAATTTTATTTACAATATGAATTCATTTATCAAATTAAAAACTATTTATAGTTATTTCATAAATTAAATTTTATTAAACTCATACTCAAAAATACTAAAAGAAAAAAAAAATAAATTATGGTCATTGGACTGTTACCGGCCAATGGTCAAAGTCCCACGCGCGGAAGGGAACTGGGAAGGTCAGTTGCATGTTTCTGCTTTGTCATTGATATAATCAGTCGCAATCTCTATGTTCACTTGCTGTTACATGTCACAGTCACCGTCCTATCGGCGAAAAACACGTCTGTCAACTCCGGGACCATCCTCCAACGCGTATGGAGTCGAACTTTCTACATGATTTACACAAATTACTCATATGAATTCACTTTAATTTTTATCAAAACAATTAAATATAAAAAAATATTTCAAACTTCTTGTAATTTGTTTCAATAAAGAATTTGTTTTATTATTTTTTATTTATTTAAATATAATCATCTAATTGTTTTATAGACTATTAAATGAGCAAAACTCGATAATCTTAAACATGATTTTTGTCCTATAATTCGAAATTTTGAATTCCATTGAATTTTTCCTCCTTTATTTCTTAATTTTGATTTGATATTCATTCCATTGAATTTTTTTTTTTTTAAAAAATGGAAAATGCTAATCATATGCTAATCCTAGTCATATTGTTTTTTTATTCAAAAGAATAAAGAATAAGGATGAAAGACTTATGAACAAAATTTAATTCTCCTGGTTTATCCTTTATATATGATTTGACATTCATCAAATTTGCTTTTTTCTAAATAGGCAAAACGTTAATCACATTGTTTTCAACTCAAAAGAGTAAAGAATAAATAATAAAGATAAAATATTATTACTTACAATTTGTGACTCATTTGATAAACTCTCGAGTTCAATTTCTACTAAATGCATCTGCTGAAACGAATGATGAAATTTAACTATGACTAAACTCCCAGTTTGATTATGGCTTAGTTGGGTTAGTTAACAACACACCTATTGAAATCTATTTCAAAGTTTATAAGCCCTACCAAATATTATTCTATTTGTAACTTTTTACTTAAAAGACAAATTTTTACCAAGTTAAAAATTAAATCAAATTTGATTGAAATTTATTAAATTTAAGATCCTCTATATTTTTTTCTCGATATTAAACTCTTGAATTTTTTATTTTTATTAAAATTAAATTATTATTTTTAATGATAATTTTCATGTGTAATGTTACTATTGAACTTATTCTTTGTAGTAACACAAGAGTTGAATCTCGAGAAATAAAAATTTAAAAACTTAATAAGTAAAATTAAATAAATTCATTAACTTATTATTATTATTATTTTTTGTCATCTAATAGCCATTCTATTACTATATCCTCCACGCTTTACGGTGGGCCGAACATTTATTTATTTATTTATTTTTTGTAAGTTCGGTCGTTGGTGGGCTCACTTAAATCTGTCATTGTCTCTCTCTCTGTATCTAAAATATTTACTTATTTGTTTAGCACCAAGTAAATCTCCCCTCTCCCTTTGGACATGACTTCAGAGTTCCAACTACTCTTCTCTCTAATGGCATTCTTGTGTCATTTCCAGCATTTCTAACGCCTTATCAGAGCCTTAGAACCTTCTTCTCCAATGAGCCGCTCAATCATGGCTCCTTGCAAGCTCAATTCCACTGTATTCATCAATCTCTTTGCACATCTCTATATATACGTCTGTAGCGTGTTTATGAAATTCTATTTATGCATTTGTGTCCGAGGCTTTGAAATATGTCTTTTGTTGACTTTTATTGTCAGTTAGCATGAGCTGTGGATCTGTTTAATATTGAATGGTTTCAATATCCGGTAGTTGTTGTCAATTGCGTCAGTTTGTGCATTTTATCCTTGAAAATCTATTTGCGCACTTGATAAATACTGCTTAATTGCAGAGGCGGTGCTGTCTTGGAGTATAGTGTCTTTATTTCTTAGAACCAAATTTTGAAACTCGTGAAGTGAAGTGGAAAAATTTGATGGTTTGAGAATATTGGGTTCAGGTTTTGGCTGATAAAGTGGTTTTTCTTTCTGGAGGATGGTTGGAGTATTTGAGACATGCTAATTCTTTCCTATGTGAGAATTATGAACAACTTATTTTTTCTTGATGATTTATTGCATTTATATTTATTTCTCAAATGATCTGGGGCTTCCTCGAATTCCATAATTCCACTAACCCGATTTGTACGAATGGTCAAAAAACCTTATAGGTGGCCTTTGAGAGATTCGTATTCTGAATTTGGTATGGTTTTGAAGACTTAACTTTTGATTATTTTAAGCTTGGTTGTAATTTCCCACGTATTTTAATACAATGAATTGTGGATATTAAAATGTCATGGGTAAATGATTAACTTGAGCATTGTTTGGTTAGCACAACTAAAGTTCTTTAATGTACTTGATGTTCTTTTCATTCCTCCATTTTCCCACTTCCCATAACTTTATTTAATTCTTCTTCCTCTATTTCCTGGTGTTCATTGTTTTGATGACTAGTCTATTAACTTTTTGTTTTCTGTTTGATAGGATTCTTATGGAAATGGAGATGTGAGTTTTTCTTGTTCACAGTTAAATAATTCACTTCCTATCTTACATTCTGAGAAGGCAGCACAGAATGGAAATGGAGATGTGAGTTTTTCATGTTCACAGCTAGATAATTCACTTTCTGAGAAGGAAGTGCAGGAGCTTCTTCAACAGACTCCTATTCAGGGAACTGATGAACATCTTATAGAGTTCTCAGAGGCACTAAGAAGTATAGTCAAATTTGTTTTTTGAACATACACATTCCTTTACTGAAACTATATGCCACAGTTATGAATCTGACATGCCATTTTACACATTAGCTGTTGCAAAGACATTGAGACGAGTGGCTGAAGGAAAAGCTTTTGCTCAAGCTGAGGCTGCTGAATGGAAGCGTAGATATGAATTGGAGAGGGAAAGAAATCAGCGGCTGCAGCGTAAAGGTTTCTAATAGTTAAATAAACATGCATAAATGGCATATTAGTTTTCATGCAGTAGGTATCTTATTCATTGCCTACAATTATGTTGAAAACAAGTTTTCATGAATAAGTCTAGGAGTCATGTGTTGAACATTTTTCTATTCGCTCATGATCTGGCCTGGTTGACCTAGCACAGGACCCGATATTGAAGGCTGACCTTTTTTTGAAAGATATATGTTTCAGAATAGAATCCAGTGCATGATTTGAAATCATGTAATGTTCTATATTAACCCTGAACACCAACAGAACAAGGCATGAGATTTTTAGAATCTTCACTAGGAAAATGAAAATTTTGATCTCTCATTTAATTTTGGCATGCTCTTAAATTTAGGGGCATTGAACATATTTTCTTCAATACTGTCTCCTTTGCTCCTTGCTTTGCTCTCCGTCATTTGGCAGATATGATTGTCACTTTTTATTTACTTTTTGGCTGCTAAATTTCTGCACCTTGTGAAAAACAAAACGGAGATACTGGAAAACGTTTCCTAATCTAAGAATGTATTATGCTATTGGATTTTGATTTTAGTTTTTTTTCACTCATTTAAGTAGTGAACGATTGAAAGTTTGGCTTGGTAAGCTTACTAATTGAATTCAGACTCAGTATCATCAGATTATGGCTATTCCACTATCAGGGAAAAATATATCTGAAATGCTTCGAAGTTGGTGGACTCAGATTTCTATGTGTAATGCAATGGGAATCATAAAATTAATGCTCCCATATGCGTTGTTTGCTGGGAAGTCTGGGAAGAACAGAATAGGAGAGTCTTTGAAGGTACCTGCTTTTACTCACGTAGAATTGCTAGTTATATTTGTCCTTGAATAAAGAAGTGCATTTCTTTTTTCAAAAGATGCGGTTTCTTTTAGCATCAGAGTCAATTGTTTTGGAGTTAAAAATACTGAAACCCTTGGAGTATGTGCCACTTATTGGTTATTATAGGACTATGGGAATCCGGGTAACTTTGATATGTTTAGTTATTAAAGATTCTGAAGGTGGAATATGAGGTCTAAGGCAATTTCTAGGCTGTCCATAACTTGTCTGATGGTACGATCTGGGACCTCTTAGTGGATTGAAGTAGAGAATTTTGAGATGGAAGTCTAGTATATGAGCTGAGCAGGAGATTATCTAGTGTGTTTGATTGGCAAAATAGTTCCCTTCTTTGCTATTTGAGGTTCTGAACCCCAAGAAGCTGCTGGAGGTTTGTGATTGTAGAATAGGATACCTGCTTGAGGATATGTCACTAGGATAAAAATGCTACCAGATACCTTCCTCGTTTCCTTTTCCCTCTTTAGTTTTAGGACATACCTCCGCTGTTTCTACAAATTTTAATGGGATTTTGCTTGGTCCATGACTGATTATGAATTTAAGCTTCTAGGATAAGTTTGATTGAAGTGAAATTCTGTAAAAGTTGCGGGGGAGGAATTGTATTGGTGGTGTAAATTTCACGTCATGCTTCCTTAAGGATACTTGGTTGCTGATAATGTAGCTGAAGATTGGAGAACAGCACACCTTTCACAAGAATTACCTGGCACTATTAGAGTTCTTGTCATCAGCAGTTGAGAAGGAACCCATGGGATTCTGAGATCCTTTCAAGATGTAACCTCTTCAAGAAGGCCTTTTTCCATTGTTGTTAGTTTCTTTTTCCTGAATATTTTTGTTGGATATGAATGTCTGGGCATTGGTACAACAGTTTTTAATTTCAAACAGATGGAGGAAATTTGAGTCCTACAGCTTTGTAGAGATATACTCTTAGCCAATAAACCGTACCCTCGTCAGATTACCATAATATTCCATAACAAAGACAGGAAAGAAGGGAAGTCTAGTTCTTTCAAAATGGTGGTAGTCTCTTCGGTAAACTCTTCCACTTCTGCTTATGAAGCTTGATAGCAGCTTTGGTTGGGAAAGAGGTCTCATTTTGTTAAATCAACTGAAAACCAATGAAGTCTTTTACAGTCCCGAACTTTTTTGGTTCCTATGCATCTTAAGCTGATCATTTTGAATCTCTTCTTTCTGTGTGCATTGACATTTTCACGTTCTTCGAATTTTTCAATCTGTTTTGCACCCCTTTTTAAGTAGGAATTTGATGGCTTGTGCTGCAGAACATTTACCCAGGGAGTGCAATGGTGATTGTAACAAAGAGAGGACATTGAACTCAAAAAACCTGTTAGTTTCGAGTAATGGCACAAATGGACAATCTGAAGATTGTTGTACCAATGGGATTTGCTCTCATGAAGTTCTTCAAGATGGAGAGACTGACTCTGATCCCATGATGGTTAAGAGTAGGATTATGAGAAAGGTAAATTTTTCAGATGTGCATCTTTGTTGGCAAGCTACTTTATATATGATGCTTATAGTTTAATTGCATGTTGTCTAATTTTTCTAGGTTCACAACATTACATGTTTGGATGGTAACCCACTAGTCTTGGTAATATTATTGACATTTCTTAAGGTTACTCATGTCCTACTTAGGACCTACAGCACATTTTTGGAGAGCTTTTCTTTACTGCTTTTGTTGTTATTGTTATCTATAATGCTATTTCTAATTTGTTTTAGTGATTATATACATACATCCTCAAAAATTGACAAGAAATTCTGGCAATATCGTTCCTTATGAGTTGTAGTAATGAATTGAGAACTTTTCAAGTCGTGACAATTAACCATAATGTTTAATTTTCTCCCATTTTGCATTGTGAAACAGGCTTCTTTTAAACTTTCATGGTGCAGCAAAGGTGAAGATAGTGATCAGCACAAACATGAAGTTGTATCTTTTGCAAGAGGAAATATAACAACTGCAGAGCGCCACAGTAAACAGGTATTGCTTCTGCAAGGCTACATGTGAAGTTTTGTATCTAGTTCTAGTCATACTGTTATGGTATTATACGTGCACATAACTAACTATATCTGACTTATTTCGTATTTCCTGTGGAGAACTTTGATGCTTCTATTAGGAATCAGTTCCCTTGTATGTGTCTTACCAAATACTCCTTTTTTCGTTGCTCCAGATTTCTTTGAAGTGGGAATCTAAACCGCAGACTGTGCTTATCTTCACCAAACCAAATTCAATTTCTGTTCGAATTTTATGTTCAGCTATGCTGAGGTTTGCATAATATGATTGTTTTTTTTTTTTTTTTTTTTTTTGATCAGCAAAACATGAAGTTGGTAATCTCTTTGCAAGAAGGAAATATAGACATACTGCAGGATGGGCGCCACAATGGTAAACAGGTATTCGGGCTTCTGCAAGTGGCTAAACATGTGAAGTTTTGTATCTAGTTCTAGTCATGATCTGGTTTATGGTATTATTATTTTCGTGCACATATCTCTACCTTATATCTGACTTAGTTTCGTATTTTCCCTGTGGAAGCTTTGATGCTTCGTTTAGGATGTAGTCAGTTCGCACCTTGTATGTGTCTTCATCTCTTGGAAATAGCGTCCTTTTTGTCGTTGTGCTCCATGCTTGGATTAAGGGATTTTCTGTTGAAGTGGGAATGCTAAACCCTGCAGACTGGTGCTTAATCTTCACCAAACCAGGAATGTCAATTCTCTGGTTCGGAATTTTAAAGTTCGCTTGCTGAGGATTTGGCTAATAATATGCTCGGCAGTTAATTTGTTTTTTTTGTTGTTTTTCTTGTTTGTAACTATTTTTCAATTCTTGAAAATGAGGTTTTTCTCAATATTTAGTTTGAGCTTTTCATTATCTGTTTGTAGAGTATTTGTTTAAATAATTGATGTTTACTGACTCAGGGTACAAAGTGATCTGGTTCAATAATTGTACGCGATTTCACGATGAGATGCGTTCCTCATGCTGTTGGAAAAATATTCATAGAAAAGATTTTAATTGTGGTTTCTCGTGTGCATTATTTTCAATTTCTTTTATCTGAAAAAAATATCTGAAATTGTTCCAGAAGCTCGTAGTTTTGATAATATATTAGTTTCTTACTAAACAAAATGCTTGTGCAATTAAGCAAAAAGATTTTCTGTGCTAAATTTTTCCAATTTCCATTACCAGAATGCGTTGGAGTAAAATAAAAAAGTATAAACAGTTTAAACGTGGACACCGACGTGTGAGGGGTGAACTTACTGAGAATAGTTGCGAGTCTTAACTATGTCAACTTAGTGATTTTTTTTTTTTTTTTTTGTTTTACATTTTTCAATTCTGAAATGAGTTTCTCAATTTAGTTGCTTTCATTATTGTGTAGGTATTTGTAAATGATTTTACTGACCATGAACATGTATCTGTTAATAATGTACATTTCACGATGAAGTTCCTCAATGCTTTGGAAAATATTCTATAGAAAAGAGTTTTAATTGTGGTTTCTCGTGTTGCATTATTTTCATTTCTTTATCTGAAAAGAATATCTAAATTGTTCCAGAGCTCGTAGTTTGATATTAATAGTTCTTATCTACAAATGCTTGTGCAATTAAGCAAAAAATTTTCTGTGCCTAATTTTTCAATTTCCATTACCAGATGGTTGGAAGAAAATAAAAAGTTAAACATTTACGTGGAACCACGTGTGAGGGGTGAACTTCTGACAGAATCGTCTTACTTCAACTTTGTGAAAACATGGAAAGATGGTAAATTGCTACACAATCTTATAGCGAATCATTGATTTAACCAAGTGAATTTCACTACTGCTAATATAAACACTGTTTGAACTCAAATTTGTGGGACACAATATTTTGCTTTTTTATTTATGGATATTTCACTATGTATGAACTCGTTCGCAGACAAGGAAATTTCTCTACTGCACAAAAAAGTTGATCTTGTAGTTACTCTTGGTGGGGATGGTACTGTTCTTTGGGTATGTTCTTTCAGTTTGATCCACATCTGCCTTATTTTTATTTTGTGCTTCTCTTCCTTTCATCTGCCTTTGGAGAAGTTACTATCTGCCTTTTTTTACTTGCAGGCAGCATCTATGTTCAAAGGACCAGTTCCTCCCATTGTTCCGTTTTCTCTAGGTTCTCTTGGCTTTATGACACCGTTTCGTATCCTTAATATTTTCCAAAGAAGTTTAATTCCTCAAGTGGAAAAGAAATTCTCCATTGCTAATACTGGCTTCTCTTTTGCAGGAGTTACAATTGCTTTAAATATTTATTACCTTCTCTTTGTCTGAACTCAAAAAGTATCCTTTAACATTTTTTAGATAGTGAACATTACAGAGATTGCCTTGATTCAATTCTTAGGGGTCCAATTAATATAACATTGCGACATCGTTTACAATGCCATGTCATTAGAGATGCAGCAACAAATGAGGTTGAAACTGACGAGCCTATACTTGTTCTGAATGAGGTTACGATTGACCGTGGAATATCATCCTACCTCACAAATTTGGAATGCTATTGTGACAACTCCTTTGTCACATGTGTGCAAGGTGATGGGTTAATTTTATCAACAACATCGGGTAGCACTGCTTATTCATTGGCAGCTGGAGGATCGATGGTCCATCCACAGGTACATTACAATACAATATTTTCTTTAAATATCCTGTTGACCCTCCCATTCTTTGATGTGTCAGACTAGAATGTGCAGCCACGGCCCCACAACTATTAATTCACTTTTAAAGAAGCTTGATTTACCTATCTAAATTAGATCATATTTTATGTTGGTTTTCGTTTTATGTTAGTAAAACCTTATAAATGTTATATTCTGTAATTGCAGGTTCCAGGCATCCTCTTTACACCAATTTGTCCACATTCATTGTCTTTTCGGCCTCTGATATTACCTGAACATGTAACAGTAAGGGTACAAGTTCCTTTCAACAGTAGAAGCTCTGCTTGGGTATCATTTGATGGCAAGGACAGGAAACAGTTAGCAGCCGGCGATGCACTTGTGTGCAGCATGGCGCCTTGGCCTGTGCCTACAGCATGCCAAGTTGATTCCACCAATGACTTCTTGCGCAGCATTCACGAGGGCCTTCACTGGAACCTTAGAAAGACCCAATCTTTCGATGGCCCTGTGATAAATAATAATATTTAGTTTAATTTTTCAAGCAAATCTAGCTAGTATGCATTATAGAAGCGGAAATACATAAGAGTTTGAAATTTAGCAAAATTAGTCAACAATTATCTGCAGATGATGATGAAATCTGTTAGCAAGCCTTTGCAGATTTACAAGAGGTTCAGTCCTGGCTGAAAGAGAAGGACGCTTGGAGATGAAGGAGACCAACTTCAAGCTGAATCTGACAGTTGATGCTGCTGTGTGTGGTGCTGCCATGTTCTTAGTGATTCCTAATTGTTTCTTTTTAATATTAATTTCCTTATTAAGTGTAAGAGGTGTTTCTCTCCATGTGTATTTAAGTAGAGCAAGCCAGTAATAAAACTGTATGATTAAAATCCCAAATTTTTTTTTGTACTTGAAGCTCAAGAGTTGCAGATTCTCTCCAAGTCCTTCAATATAGGTAGAAGGAAGAAATATCACATCTAACCCTCAAAGTCAAACACTCATTTACTCCTGTTGTTTTATTTCCTTCCGTCTACTACTGTAGTTTTCTCCGGCAAGACTCTTCCCCTCAGGAAAAACTACAACTCAATTCTTGAGATTTTGCAAATTGCAAAATTTTAATATTACTTGTTAAATGAATTGATTGTTGTGATTTAAGTGCTGGGTTTTTTCACTTAGCATTGGGGAGATAGGTTCTGGTGCATGGGAGGCCGTTAGAATTAGGGTTAGAAGCTTGGTTTTATTAATAAAAGAAAAGGTTTTGATGATTTAAAAAAAGAAAAAAAAAAAACTATTTTCTGAATTTGACTGGGACTATGGAGTCAAACCATATGTATAGAGTTGAAAGTGCACATTAATGGTACCGTGTGTTATACGGGTCAATAAAACCTTTATTCCCATGCAAAGCAAAGGCTAATTAAGGGCTTTGCTTCCTTTTGCAAATACGAAAGATTCAACTATGCCTTGTATATCTATATTTTATTTCAGGAGATAATTTTTAATATTGTTTTTCCATTGATCAATAATTTAAAATAATCTTGAATTTTATATTCTTATATATTCTTGTAATAGTCATCTCACTTTGTCATTTAGATTAACTTTTAAGAAACTAGTTAAATATATCCAATAGGATCATTTTTTTTTTTATAACTACAACATAATTTTATTTTAAAAAAATACTTAATAATATTTTAAAATTCATTTAAGTTTACTTTCTTGGGAGTAAGGAAAAACTTTGCAATTAACACACAAATATACAAGAGAGAAACAAACAAATTTATGTAGCTTGTAATTTGAAAACTACTACAAATTTTGATTTGAAGGTTAAAATCATGAAAATTAAACATAATTCGATATGCCAAATCAGATATTTTTAAAATTTCAAACAAAATTATTTTTAATAAAAAAAATTTACAAATTGTATTAATGGCAGCCACATGGCTTCTAGGAAACCAAACGCAGTGAAAATTTCAAGCACTCCATAAACATGATCATCCATAAAGATTATCGCTTAAGTTATGGACTCTCCATTAAAATCTCATTAAATTGCACTGGTCCAACTAAAAACCTTCAAATCAAAGAATATTCACATGGTTAATTACCTGATTTCTTATATATTAAACCATCCATTTCCATTTCATTTCAGCTCTATCCTCCACAATGTCTTCTTCAAATGCCCAAAACTTGAATCTATTTCAAAACTTAACGCTTGGGATTTTATGGAAATCTATATTTATTATAGGCCTATCACTTCTCTTGTTCTACACATTCCTCTTTACCCACAAAACTGATTACCAATCTTCAAATACATTTCTCCCCTTTCAAATCAAATGGCCAAACCCATCATGTAATAACAGTATTATTACTGATATTTCTCTTACAAATATTAGCCACATTGGATTTGTGGTCGTAAGTTCTTTGCAGACATGGAAACACAGACATCCTTATACACAGACATGGTGGAGACCAAATGTAACTAGAGGGTATGTCTTTTTAGACAAAGAACCAACACAAGAATTCTTGCCTTGGCCTTTAACTTATCCTCCATACAAGATCAGTGAAGACATAACAAAATTAAGAGTCTACCCAAAACTTAGAAACCCAATTGAAGTTCGAATAGTACGTTCGATTTTAGATATGTATAGGGTAGGAGATAAAGATTTGAGATGGTTCATCATGTGTGATGATGATACTGTGTTTTTCACTGAAAACTTATTAGAGGTTTTGAGGAAGTATGATCATACTAAGTATGTTTATGTTGGAGGTAATTCTGAATGTGTGAAGTCTAATGCTGATTTCTCTTTTGATATGGGATTTGGTGGAGCTGGTTATGCTTTGAGTTATCCATTAGCGAAAGCTTTGGCAGCCAAATTAGATGCTTGCATTGAGAGATACCCTTACTTATATGTTAGTGATCATATGGCACAATCTTGTTTAGCTGACATGGGAGTTGCTATAAATCTTGAAAAAGGGATCCACCAGGTAAGATCAGCAGTCACATTTCTTCATCTTTCTCTATAATTGAAGGCCTAATTTGCATAAATTTATCTGATATTTGCAGATAGATCTTCATCATGACATATCAGGCCTTTTATCAGCTCACCCTCAATCACCTCTTCTTTCTCTCCACCATTTCGATTCTATAAATCCAATCTTTCCCTCCATGGATCGTTATGAAAGCGCAAGACACTTGATGAAAGCAGCAAACTTTGATCAATCTCGCCTGCTGCAACAAACTATCTGCTACCAAAGAGAAAGCAACTGGTCCTTCTCAGTCTCATGGGGCTATTCTACTCACATATACGAAAATATAATCCCGAGAAGCATTCTGCGTAAACCTCTCGAGACATTTAGGCCTTGGGCTAAAAATGATAAGCGACCATTCTTCATGTTTAACACTCGTCTTCTCAACAACGATCCATGTCAAGCTCCTCATGTGTTTTTCTTTGATTCTATAGAGTATACTGCTTCAGGTAATCGGATTTTGACTAGTTATATTAGAGCTTCGCCTCGTAACTTGCCGGCTTGTTCATTCGCTGGAAATCATTCTGCTGATTCCATCTCCAGAATTCAAGTTCTTTCTCCTGCGACAATTCGCAAGACAGTGAGTGTTCTTATTCAAATTACAATCTTTACTCTCTTTTTGCTTAAAATTTTCAGTTTCAGAGTTGTGATTGAGCTTGTGTGAATCGATATTACAGGCCGGTGTAATAGAATGCTGTGATGTAGAGTACAAGGTGGAGATAAATACTACAGAAATCAAGATAAGGCCTTGCGTGAAAGATGAAGTTCTTGCCTAATTACAGAGTAGAAAACAGAGAAAACAGAGGCATCAGTTTCATTTAATTCCAAATTTTTGAAACGATGGGTTATTTTGCTGTTAATGACAAAGGAAACGACAGTTAGTTTCGAATGGAACGACATGTAATGAAACGGAAGGCAAATCATTCAATACAAAAAAAAAAAAAAAAAAAAAAAAAAAAAAAAAAAAAAAAACCAGTTTCCTAGAGTTGTGATTGAGCCTTGTGTGAAATCGATTAAATTAACAAGGCCGGTGTATAGAATGCACGTGATGTTTTGAGTGACACATGAGGTGGAGATACAATACTACAAGGAAATCAAGATATAGGCTTGCGTGAAAGAATGAAGGTTCTTTTGCCTACCAATTACAGAAGTTAAGAATATACATGAGAAAACAGAGCCCATCAGGTTTCAATTTAATATCGCAAATTTTGTGAAAACGATGGGTTAGGTATTGGCTTGTTAATGACAAAAGGAAACGACCAGTTTTAGTTTCGAATGGCAACGACAGTGTAATGGAACGATGAGAGGCAAATCATTCAATACAAAAAAAAAACAAAAAAAGAAAAATATAAGAAGAAAAAAAAAAAAACCTATAAACGACAGGTGGCCTGTAACAATAATGTCACAGTTAATTCTTAGGATATATGCTAATCCATGAGAGCATAAGTAAAGGCTCTACTAGATTTGCTCATAGCCATTAAATTGGTATTAACTGCATTTAAAATGGAATCAATTCAAAGTCAACTCTATATTTATTTAAGCTAATTATGCTTTGCTACTCTTATCCTTAATTCAACATTTAAGCTTGTGGCACCTATAAGTAGATCAATATCTACTCTAATAGGCTAATAGCATTGAGGAAACACTCTCTTAAGATAGTACTAAAGCACGAGTCGTGAGCTGGCTGTTGATGTATTGTGATTATAGTTGAAATAAAATTATTAATAATATAGATGTATCGTAGTCAATCAATGAAGAGTACTTAGTCTGGATGTGAAGGTGGTCGATATGAGGTTATGGTTCTCGGATGAGAACATAAGTTTATGTCCTCCGAGAAGAACATTTCTCAGTCAGTAAGGCATTACCATTGCCTAAACCAGGGGGTTCTCGGTAATGATCGTCTAGGGCACCATGGATGTCGCCACGGAGAATTTGGAGGTAACTGATTTTTGGCGACTAGGTGCTGTGATGTTTATTCCCATTAGTTAAAGAAGGCCGATGACCCAGGTAACTTAGAATGATTTGGTTATTGAAGGCATGAGTGTTCTGGCGTGAGAAATTTGTGGTCGATTGTTTGGTTAATCCGATCATTAACACTGGGTTGGGGATGGCACAATTTCGTTTAGCGTTGCGAGGGGTTGCTGTTCGGTAGTTCTGTGACGTGTGGAGGTTGAATTGTGTAAAAACTAGTTGTAAATAATAGGGCGTTGTGGTGCATCCAGGTAATTTTCCATATATACGTTGTTTTTGTCTTATGTCGTTGTGTGTAGCCGTTGTGACTGTCCTTTCTGTCATTCGCGCTCTTCCGATATCTTCTATTTTCTCGATGGAGTAGCGTAAGGTTGCTGGGAGACTGTTAAGTGTTATTTGCAGTTATCTTGTCTTACCTCCCGGGAGCGACGCACTAACGAGTTCGTGCGCTTAGGTGAGGATGCCTTTTGGCATTTTATTTCCTTCCATCTCCAAAGTCGTCGGCTGTGTCACTACCAACCCTTTGATGGTTGATACGCAGAGTCGGATCCATTCAACTTGGGTCGTTATATGCGCACTGACATGGAGTTGTTATGGAGTTTGTGATGACAGCAGTGGTGTCTTTGCACTCGTTGATAAAAAAAAAAAAAAAAAAAAAAAAAAAAAAAAAAAAAAAAAAAACTATAAACGACAGGTGCCTGTAACAATATATGTAAGTTCTAGGATTATAGCAATATAGCATAAGGCTCTACAATTTGTCAACCATTAATTTATTCTGCATTAAATGATCAATTCAAAGTCAACTTATAGTAATTTTTAGTATTCTTTTCTATCTCTTAATTCACATTTAAGCTTGTGGCACCTATAGTAGATTAATACTTCTAATAGGCTAATAGCATATAGGAAATCCCTTAAATATAAATTAAACGATCGAGAGAGTAATTAATTAAAAAATATTAATAATAAAATTTCATAATCAAGAAGATATTGATTGAGGTGGTATCCGGTAAGGATGAGAACATAAGTTTATCCTCGAGAAAGTAAATTTTAATAGAAGGGCCTAAAACCTTTATGCTCCAAGTCCCGGAGATTTGGAGGAACTGACTATGCTTTGAGTTACCCATTAGTTAAAGAATTGGCAAGTAAGTTAGATGATTGTTTTGAGAGATATCCTTATTTGTTTGTTAATGATCATATGGCACAATGTTGTTTAGCTGACACGGGAGTTGATTTAAACATTGAAAAGGGTTTGCACCAGGTAATTTTTCATTTTCTTATTCTTTCTTCTTCTTCTTCTTCTTCTTCTTCCTCCCTTTATCTTTGGCCCATATGGCACAATCTTGTTTAGCTGACATGGGAGTTGATTTGATACAGTGTCTTGCTTTTATAACTGCAGATAGATATGCGCGGTGACATATCAAGATTTTTATCAGCTCACCCACAGTCTTCTCTTCTAACTCTCCACCACTTGGACATTATAAATCCAAATTATGATCAATCTCGTGCAACAAACCATCTGCTACCAGAGAGAAAGCAACTGGTCTTTCTCTGTCTCATGGGGCTATTCTATGCATGTATATGAGAAAAGAATCCCCAGAAGTATTCTGCGTAAGCCACTTGAGACATTCAGGCCATTTTCGAAGGATGCTAAGCCGCCATTTTATATGTTCAATACTGGGCCAGTACTCAACAACGATCCATGTGAAACTCCTCATCTATTTTTCTTTGACTCTATAGAGTATTCTACTTCAGGTAATCAGATTTTGACAATTTATGTTAGAGCTTCACCTCGTAATTTGCAAACATGTTTGGTTACTGGAAACCATTCTGCTGATTTTATCGACAAAATTCAAGTTCTTTCTCCTGCGATGACCGGAAAGACGGTAAGCAGAAGTTTTTATTTTATGAAAGAGAGCCCAATCTAATCAAGATTTGTATTAATCTAGTTCTAAAATTTTTGGTTTTAAGCGTTTGTTGGGATCTTCCAGGCAGGTGTGATAGAATGCTGTGATGCAGAGTATATGGTGGAGACAAATATTACAGGCATCAAGATAAGGCCTTGCATGAAAGGTGAAGTCACTGCCTAAATGCAGCCTCAGACACACGGGATAGCAGCAATATTAATAATAATAATAAATAGACTTACATACCTCCGGCGTATAATCAAGATATTGTTTTTTATTGGTTTAATGTATAGGTAGACTCTTCGAACCTAGATAACTATTTTTCTAATAATAATAATAATAAAGTACGTTAAATTATATTTTCGAAATGTTATTTGAAAATTTCTTCTTGACAAAGAAAAAAGAGAGAGATCTCATCTCTGTATAGAGAAATGTTCTGGACCTCAAACTTGAATGGGAATTGGGCCAGCGCCAAATGTAAGCTTCAAACTTGAAAGGGAGCTGGGCCAGAGCTGAATAAAATGACTGAACGTGACGTCTTAATTTATCATGCATTACATGTCACATGTCCACGTTGTGGGCGCACATGCATATTTGTGTATGTGTGTGAAGAGTTAAAAAAAAAAAAACCAACGGGGCAAGTGCTGAATGGCACGACTTGTGCCTAGGGTGTGTGCAGTAGATGGAAACTTTCTATAATGCCCTTAATATATTTAATTGTTTCTTGGGTTACTTTTCCCAATGCTGGCGTTCCTTTACCCCAAAAAGCAAAAAGCTCAACGCCAAAAGCCATATTCATATTCTGACAATATTGTATTCTAGCATAACTATAATTATAATTATTCTTATGATTATTATTATAATATATAATCAAACTTAATACTAACTTCTATTATATGATTCTACCTATTATAATCACTATTATCGTTCTAATACTACTATAATCACAGAATTTCCAATTATTACTATTTTATAATCAAATACATTTATATTTTGCGATATTGCATACTCGTATAATTATTAATTATGATTATAATTATAATTATAGCCAAATAAACCAAGTTATCTTTGATAATTCTAAGCATTATATATACTAAGTATTACAATGCTAAGTACAATTACAATGCTAAAAGGACTAATGAACTTATAGACAAATGAATAATCTAATTATACTAATATGTAATATTTTTAGATTATGAATAGATTTGAATATACACTACTGATAATTATAAATTTCATAATTATAGCACTATTAGAAAGGCAGTGATAATCATAATAGTTATAATCATATAATAGAAGTTATTATAATATTAAGTTTGATTATAATATTAATTATAATTAGAATGTCTATAATTATAATATAATTAGAATTTAAATGATAATTAGCATAAGTGATAGTTTTGCTCGTGGATTGATTTAAACTCCTTACATCAAAATTACCTAGTTTTGATGGTAAAATGACTATTCTTATTCTTATTATTATTATTATATTGATTAATGATTTGAAATATCTTGATGTTTTTCTTTTTTTTTTTTTTTTTGGCTACATTCAAAAATTACCTAGGTTTATTGGTAAAAAGGACTATTCTATTACTATGTATTATTATTATATGATTAAATTGATTTGGAAAATATTCTTGATGTTTTCGTTTTTTTTTTTTTTTTGTTACAAAGGGGAAGAGCAAAGCTTTCTGAAGAATTAAAACACACTCCTTAGTTGGGAAAACCCACTCACTCGTAAACAGCCATAAGTCAAGGCCCCTGAATGAGGGTTCTTTCTAATCCGGGACAAATATCAAACTTCTTGGTTTGAATATCTAATATTGATTATACCAATGTGCTAATTTATTAATTAACAGCATTGGAATTCCTTCAATCCCTTAGAATCATGCCTTATGTTAAAAATCATATTATTTGCAAAGAATATAAGAAAATCTTTTAACAATCAAGGAAAGATATGCAAAAAGTCAATTCAGCAATTATACTTTGCTCAATTTAATCTAAATTAATACACAACAAAATAGAAGAAACAAACTTTATTAACAAACGAATCGAATTAAGATCTACCAAATCGGAACTATAAATAGTTTGAGATTGAAAGAAAAATTTCTTTACTTTCTTCTTTCCTCTCCCTTCCTATTTTGTTTTGCCTCTTTTACGATAGAGGTCACTTTTAACCTGCCTCTGTTTCTCCTTTTTTTTTTTTTTTTTGGTTACAAGGGGAAAGAGCAAAGCTCTGAAGGAAATTAAACACAACTCCTTTAGTGGGAAACCCCACTCACGTCATGTAACAGCCATAAGTCAAGGCCTGAAGGAGGGTCTTCTAATCGAAATATCAACTCCTTGGTTTGAAATATCTTAATATTGATTAATTACATGTGCTAATTATTAATTAAGACATTGAATCTCAATCCCTAGAATCATGCCTTATGTTAAAATCATTATTATTGCAATAGATATAGAAAATCTTTTAACAATCAAGGAAAGTATGCAAAAGTCAATTAGCATATATTGCTCAATTTAATCTAATTAATACTACAACAAAATAGAAGAAACCAAGACTTTTATAATTCAAACCGAATCGAATTTAAATCATACCAAATCGGACTATAAATAGTTTGAGATGAAAGAAAAAATTCTACTTTCTTCTTCCTCTCCTCCTTTGTTTGCCTCTTACGATAGAGGTCGATTTACTGCCTCTGTTTCTCCAATCAAACTCCGGAAGTCGATCGTTTAACAAGAATAAAACGGCGAAATACTCCTCCGGTTACGGGAAGTCTATATCCAGTCACCATTTGATCGACCGAGTTCCTATTTTTGGGACTAAGAAATTCAAATTTTATTGTTTTTAAATTTTCCGGTTGAATTTTACGATTCCGGTAGTATAATTGTTATTAAGATAAGCTTAAATTCATATTTTTCTACGAACTAAAAGTGATTTGGTGGAAGGATTTTATGTATTTAAATCTGCATTTAAATTTGGTAAATTTGGGGTTTTATTATAATTGATAAAATTTATAGAAATTGTAGAACTGAGATCTTCAAAAAATTTTGATCACTTTAATATATAAAAAAAGCAACTTTCTTAATTAGTTCAATTTCTGATCATCATGTATGGTTACCGACAGCGACGGTCCTCATAAAATCTGCTCGGTTGACCATCATGTATAGTTATCGACAGCGACGGTCCTCATAAAATCCGTTCAGTTGAAACTCATAATATTCGTGTATGCAAAACAAACTATTTATATTCTCTAAAAGTATTACTGTCCTTTTACATCATGTCAGAAAACAAACTGCAAGGGCACTACTGTCCTTTTACCCAAGTCCAACTGGGCTGTGTCAAAATTATTTATCGAAAAAAATGAAGGGATCTAAGCACGAGGCCACCCTTTAGCGTGGATCTAAAACACGTGTCCCCACGGCCTTTTTCCCTGATAGTTGACTCCGGCAATCACGTTTATGTACGGTGGCATTCTTAGTAGGAATGTAAATAAATAATAGTTGCAAAATTTCCCTTATTCGTTTTTGACAACAACGCAAATTTTCCCTTATTTTCAAAATCAAATAACAATATTCAAATTAAAAAAAGGAAAAAGAAAAATATACAAATGCTTTACCACTAGGGCCTACGTAGACTCTCCGATCGTAAATGTTGTTTGCGTCTAAAACTAGCCACCCACGAGCCGAGGTGGTAAAAAATTAGACAACAAATTTTGCACTGATAAAAACAAAACACGCTGTAGGATGTCAGCTTTATCGAGTAATTGTGAGGTATAGATAGTTGGAAAATTGCAATTTCTTCAGCCAAAACCCTCACAAAAATTCCACTGATAGACCTACTTCATGCCAATACATTTTCGTGGGACCATTACAAATCAAGCCAATTCGTTTTGCACCTCCTGAGCCTTTTGAAGTCCGATCAAGCGAGCATAATCCACCCACCTGTCAAAGCAAGTTGTGAATTTGACTTGCTATGGATGGAAAAGTTATCAAATTCAAAGAGTTTTACAAGTAAGATATCTCACAATAATGAACCCAAGTACGTGTTGCCCGTTCGAACAGCAAAACAAATTGCACTAAGCATTAGCTTGTGCTGGTGTAGTAGAGGTTCCAAAATTCGTTGTTCAAGAACTCCAGCCAGTACTTGATACCTGTTTAACAGATTTAATCTCTCAGAATAATATTCCAATCTCAAGAACCCTAAAAATAAAGAAGTTGTTGCATTTGTTACAGCAATTAATAATTCCAATGAGATTAAACTGGTATCCATTTAGAATTTCATACATTATATTCTGGTGGAGAACTATTGAGGCAAATTGCTTGGCTGCCATTTTGCTACTTACTCTGTTATTGAAGACTTCACAAAATCACAGAAAAATGGTCCTAATGATAAGCATTAAGCTTGAGATCAAATTATATATCTTAGTACTGTATTCCAAAAAAAAAAATTCACTATTTATGATGAAAATGGTTATTCGCCCAATGCAATCTATTCCCAACAAGCATGCAAGCCAGCATCCAAACTACACTTAGCTACCCAAGAACAGGGCATGGGTCTTTTGTGGTTTCTAGATTATTACTGCTATATTGAATCATCAACATCACGGACAACAAGACAATATACAAAATAAAAACCACAGATGCACAAACAATACTGCAAAACCACATCATACCTTAGGTTGCTGGAAACTGCCATATATACACCATAGGCAACACTAGTGGACACTATTGGCACATTTTCAACCTCACCAGCTGAAGACTTATCCACAGCCTTCCTTGCATTGATCAATGCATTTGTCACAGCTGTACCAACCTAGAACAAAAATAAATTGCATCAAATGCTTGCACACTAGAACTCAACTTTTCCTGTATATATACTAAAGAAAAAGGCCTGTAAAGGAATAAGATGATGACAATGACGACCAAGAAAAAAAGTGACACTGTAATGCAGGAACAGAAACACAAAGCAGCAGTTCATATTGATGCCTGAGAGAGAGGGGAATGGGGAAAAGGGGCCAGGAAGAGCCCCAGAAAATGACATTAACAGAAAATAGAATGTTCATAATGCAAGAAAAACAAAATTGAAGATTATATAATGTTTGAAATGAGGTTAGATATGTTCAAAATTAAAAGCCAGAGTAGCAGACAGTTCTTCCCAGCATAACATAGACAGCTGCTACAGAACAAAGCCAAAGAAAACATTGGCACAAGGTAAAATTGGTTTGCTAAGATGGATGAAGTACATATTATAAGAATAATGTCATCAAGATAAACAGAGATTATTAGATTAATGACTTCAAACAGAAAATTTTCTTTTGTATGAAAAATTTGACGACAACAGCTACTGGCCTTGATTTCATTTCTTTTCCCTAGGACTCTAGCAAATTGCGTATTTAAAGAACAACAATGTGATTAACCAGAATATTTCAAGCCATTTAGCATTAGCATTATGTTGATCTGTCCTAGAAACAATCCTTACGGTTGCAGAATGAAACAGATGCACAACATACACAGGTATAGTCCACATCAAAAACAAGCAACCTCCTCAGCAATGAGGACTTACCAGTGATGAAGTGGTGCCAACAGCAAAAAGCTTTGCCCCATTACGCTGCATGAATTTACTAACTGGTTACTTGAGAGATATAACTTGATAAATTTGAATTAATCAAGTGTAGCATACAAAATAATCCTTACCACTATGGCACCTATTCTCTGTATGAGTGAATAGGAAGTTCCAGCGAGTGCAACCTACAAACAGAATCCGAAAAACAGAGTAACTGAAAGTCAGAAACAATCCTTGTATAAAAGGCAAGCTAATGCATATAAGGTTATTGTCAAATAAAAACCTGAAACGCATTATCAGGGCAACTATAGAAGAACTTTGCAATAGTTCCTGCATTGCTTGCAAGTGGCGGTCGGAGGGATACTGTTGGAGCAGGAAGGTAAACCAGCATGAAGTCTGCAATTATGGCCATCACCTAAGAGACACAATAAACTCAAAATGAGAATGCAGAGAATACTTCCACAGCCAAATTTTCAGTAAACAAGCATTTGATTAGGTGCAACATTTCTGCCCATGCTTTTATAATCAAACAAGTGATGGATGATTCATAAGAAATAATCTTCAGCAAAACATTCTTACCACATCTGCAAAAACAATTTCGAGCTCCTTGAAAAAATTCTCTCTGCGACGTTCATATTCTGCAGCTGTCTAAACAGAAAAAGAATACGGATCAAATTAAGGATACAAATCTAAATAACAGTTCACCATAACCTATCTTTAAATCAAGAGCAGGGGTGAAGAATTAAAAAGGGGATTTGGTGATGAATGAGTAAAAGGGGAATCAAAGCACACTCATCAAAATTCTTTCCAGGATTGGAAAATTTTATTCCATTATGCACATTGTTAGCTTTTTCAATCACAATAACAAAATCACTATTAGCAAAAGCAAAAACAAATCAAATGCATTTTGCATTTTCCTTTTTCAATAGAATATAAAGAATTATATTGTACCTTAGTAAATATTCCAACACCACATTCAATGAAGACCTTGGCAAAAAACAGATCATCAGCCAAAAGCCTCTCCTTGAAACCACCAAAGTTAAGCAACCACCGGAAGATCCCCGACTTCTCCAGCTCTAAAAATCTGGAAACCACCACACCAGGAATTCTACCGGCCTGGATCGCAGCCGCTAAGTCCTTGGGCAAACTCTCTATAGACCGGTTTGCCTCTGCCAATACCATAATCGCCTCTTTCCTATTCCTATTCGCGGCATTATCACCATCCTCGTCACCACCGTGACCATTATTTCCATTGTTGTCATTACCTCCACCGCCGCCGCCGCCGCCGGCATGATTGCGGTTGTTGAAGCCGTCATCTCCACCGGAGTAAGAAGCAGAAGGGACGAAGAGAGGGAGAAGGTTACTGTGTTGGTGACGGAGAGAGAGTGGGGAGGAGGAAGGGACGGATAGACGGAGAAGAAGGTGGGGTGATGAGGAGGAGGAAAGGAATGGACGGTGGAGATTGAGTTTGGGGTCGGAGTTGGGAAGGGAGGCGGTGAAGAAGCAGGCGGCGATGGCCATGTCGACAAGTAGGAGGGGGGTGTGTTGGTGGAAGCTGAGAGGCGTGTTTTTCGATTCAGTTTATATAGTTGGTTGGGGTGGGTTTGAGTAGTAGAAAGCACAAAGCACAGTCAGTTTGTGTTGGGTATGTTTATTGTGTCGTTTATGTAGGTGGGCGGTAGTTGTGAATGAATATGTGAGGGAAAATTCAAGAGTTTTTGTCCTCTCTTCGCGCCATCACTCTCTCTCTGGAATTTGGTGGCCACGCTCTTTCTTTTGTTATTATTTTCTTTTATACTAGTTGGTCCCATCAAAATATCTTCTACAAAATAAAATAGAAGTGAAAAGGAAAAATTAGAGTAACCCCTTTTCCTTAACCGATCTCAATTTTGTAAAACATGCAAATTCAATCCCTTAAAAATAAATCTTATTGAAAAAATAAAAAATTGTTACATTTTATACCTAAAGAGAATTACATGCCGTGCTTAATTATACAAAAAAAAAAAAATCCAAAGAGTTACCCTTTTGGGACTTCAATATTTAAATTGTTCATGGTCAAAAAATCTAATGAGCTTTCGAATAATAATAGTTATATATAAACAAAATAATATAAATTCAACGATTTACATTTTGAGTTTTTTGTCTTTTCGTTAAAAAAAACTTAATATTATAAATTAATATATTTTATTATTTTTTAACGGATGTACAAATTTCTCTGGTTTGGATCTATGTTTTTTTTTTTTCTTAAGAAAATTTAGATCTATATGCTTCTTTTTTTTTTTTGTTAAAAAAGACTCTAATATGGTACATTATTTTTTTAATCACACCTATACAAGGTTATCTGATTTAGATCTATGTTTTTCTCTTAACAAAAATATTTGGATCTATATGCTCAAAATAATACAAAGACATGTGCACATGTTATTACTATATTCTATGGGTAGGTAGGAACCCATTTTGGTCATAGGTTGCGGAGGAAAACAGTCTAATAAGCATAACGGTGTGATTTTAACAACAATACTAACGTTAAGGTTTTCTATATTAAGTCTAATTCATTTAATGGAGTTTAAAATATTGTTCAGACATAATTTAAAGCTAAATTTTTTATAAAAAATAAATATATTACTTAAATTAAAATATTAACCAATTTCTATTAAAAATAATTAAATTACTTTAGTTGTATCATCTTTAATATTAGAGTTAAATCATTTCATTATTATTGACTCATTTCTTCTTTTTATATAATTTTTTTACGAAATAAATTAAAATTTTTTAGTTTTAACTAAACAAATAAATCAATACTTTTTCATACACTGAAATTAAGCCAACTTTATAATAACATTCATTTAGAATAATTAATTATAAAATAAATTAAAATTTAAATACTGTGTTTAAAAAATACGAAAAAGACAGTTAAGTCTAATGGAGCGTGCAACCACATCTCTATTGGCGCGTGATATCAATCGGTGCGCGGCAGGGGAAGTTGGTGGCTGGGGTTTACATTTTGATGCCTTTATGGTCATCAAATTCACTACAGCGTTACGGCCCAAAAGAAAGTCACATCTCTCTCTCTCTCTCTCCATCTTTTCTATACGTAGTGCAGATTGAATTGTACAATATTCATTGTACAGTATCAGATTGTAAAAAAAAAAAAAATTTGTATAATGTGTTTTTTATACATTTTATTTTTTTTATTTTTTTATTTTAATTTTTGTATTAAAAGTGAATTAGATAATAGATTTAGATTATGTTTAAACCATATACTCTCCAGATAAAAATAATACAAAAATAACATATAATTTGAATTAAATAAAATTAAAAAGAAAGGAAGATTATAATTTAGATCCAAGAAAACACACATTGAAATTTTACATATAGAATAAAGGTAAATATATAATCCATTTAAATAAATATTTATTAAAAGATGATTTTGAATTTGATGTCACATTGTTTGTTTTACAATTTCCCACTTCAACTATAAATTCAAATCAAAGTTCTATCATTTATTTTAAAATACATACTATTAACATGCAAATATCTTTACCAACAATGCATCGATTAGAGTAGTAAGCGGCATAAATCTCCGTGAATGTGAGAACATAAATTTAATTATCGAAAAATGCATTTTATTGAAAGTATCTTTATTTATCAAAGAGAAATCTCATTCGTCCTGTTATATTTTCTCGTGAATAAAAAAAAAAAAAGAAAGACAGTGTCAATAAATTTAATGCACAAAGCTCCAAATATCTAAAACAACACCTTCTACACCTCCAATCCAAACATCACTTGAGAAGTTTCTTTTTTATTTTTTATGTTATTTTCATAAGTCTATCATAAACCTGAATTTGGATTTTTCTCAGTTAAATTTCCTAGAAATTTTAAAGAAAAAGACAAAAAAGGATGTTACCTAACATTAGGTGGCATTTTTCCTAACAATTTATTATCATACATTAAGGATTTTTAACTTTTTTTTTCTTAATAATATGAATGCTATATTTTTTTTCACCGTTATTATAATAATTCATTTAAAGCATAAAAATAATATCAGTAACAGATTGTTAGATATACCATTCATTGCTTGAGAATATTTTTTTTCAAATCCAACAAAAATATTATTGAGATAATATTTTATCTTTTTTTTAAATAAAAAATAAGCTACACGATGCAAGAAAAGGAGAACGATCTTATTTTCAATATCATATATTCAATTATTAAAAAAAAAAAAAAAACAGCAGCTTGACCTTTCCTAGTTTGGACAGCTCATTGCAATTACAATTTATTTGCAAGCTGTCGTTTCGTTCATATACTGAAGCAAACATATTTTTGTGGCTCACCGGCTATCTACATTAGAGGACGATTCAATTTGGGCGGAAGATGTCTTGTATGTTTATCTAAATTAAATTATAATATTAAACTTTTATCTAATTGATAAATAATAAATTTTATTTTATATATATTAACTAATTCTTTGATTAAATATGAGAATGCATTTAGGAATGGGATTAAAATTCGATAGGTTGATTCAACATGTCCTAATAATTGCAAACGGAGCAGAAAATTGTAGCAAAACACAGTTACATGCGCGAAAGAATATTCTTATGCTACGTTTGGATACTCAGAAAAGAAAATAAGAGAGAAAACAATGAAGGACATACGCTTTTGTTTTCTTATAAAATTTCATTTGGAAAGGAATAAACTGAAATAATGAAAGAAATAAAATAATAAATTATATGTTACATTAAATAATAATTTCTTTATTTTTTCTTTCAATTTAGAGAGATTCTAAATTTATTTGTCCTAGAGAAAAATAAATTTTTATTTGATAGTTTTCTCACATTTTTTAATTAAAAAATATATTTCTATTTATATTTTATTTACATAGTTTATTTCTAACAAAAATCCCACTTTGAAAAATAGAATACTCGAGGGATGGGCTGGGTAACAAAAATCTTTTTTTTTTTCCTCCTTTTGAAAAAAAAAAATTGTTTTCTTCAATTAGAAGTATTACATTTGAACATGAGATATAAAGTTTTTTTAAATATTCAAACTCTAATTAATAGATTTTGGATATTAGATGGTCCGAAAATAAAATAATAATAATAAAAAGAATGGCTTAAGAAAATAGGCTGAGTTTTTTTGAAGAGTCGAGAAGAGCGCCGTTGTAGGCTGCTGACTTCCAAGAAGTTGGGAACTCAGACTCTCAGAGTCCAAATGTCCAGTGATCCATTATTTTTATTTTATTTATTTCTTTTTTTTTTTTTTTTTTTTTTTTTAATATTCAAACTCTAATAAATAGATTTTTGGAATATTAGTGGTCCGAAAATAAAATAATTTAATAATAAAAAAAATGGCTTAAGAAAATAGGCTGAGTTTTTTTGAAGAGTTCCGAGAAGAGCGCCGCTTTTGTTAGGCTGCTGACTTCCAAGAAGTTTGGGAAATCTCAGACTCTCAGAGGTCCAAATGGTCTGATTCCATTATTTATATTTTATTTTATTTCTTTTTTTTTTTTTTTTTGCCTTTTTTCAAGTTTGAAGTTTTGAATAGACCGCCATTTTTGTTTTATCAATTTATATGCTATGTCCGAGTTCCGACAACGTGAACCGATGCTTTTTATGGATTTTATATTTGAAGGCCAAAGGCCAGGTATCAGGAAAAAGCCCAGTTTAGAAAAACCCTTTTTTTTTTTTTTTTTTTGCCCTTTTTCAAGTTTGAAGTTTGAATAGACCGCCAATTTTGTTTTATCATTTATATGCTATGTCCGAGTCCGACAACGTGAACCGATGCTTTTTATGGATTTTATGAGGCCAAAGCCCAGTATCAGAAAGCCCAGTAGAAAAACCCACGCTAAGGCAGTCGGTGCTTGTCATTCTATAAGGCCAAGCCTCACCTTTACGGGGTCCACGCAACCTAGCTAGCCTTTATGCTTATCAAATTACGGGGACATGAGATTGGATTTTTATTATTATATTTACTGCCACTCTTGTGGAAATATTAAATAAAATATCTCTGCGTCTTAGAAAAAAAAAAAAAAAAAAGGTTAAGATGTCTAAACTAGCCACTACGATGGATCATGGGCAACCATAATCAATTCAGCCCCACTTTTTCTCTAGTTGGAAACTTGCAATATGGTGAAAAGCAAATAAGCAATCATTTCAAACTTTCATTATGAGGAGTTTGATATTTAATTAATTCTAATTAACATCAAAATCATTTAATTAATGGAGCTTAAGATGTACAAATCATGATTCCATTACAACTACTTGGGTCACTAACAAGGAAGTGATTATTGTAAGTGCTCAAGTTCTAATCCTTGCATATTTTTTGTGCAGCCTATAAATGAAACACATGGTAATAATATACTAAATTCATCATGATGAGCTACACAACAAGAATAATCCTCCTCTTAATTTACTAAATTGTTGAAAATTTTTATAGTCGAGAGAATTTAAATTCGAGACATTTCACTTATCACATTAGTGAAAAAACCTAATTGGTTCACTTTCCTTTCTGTATTGATTAATGTATTGATATATGATACACACGCATGACTAGTGTGTGTCTCCTACTTTGGATATACACAAAAACAACATGATTATATGTACACACACGTGACATGTGTCCTAATTTATCGGTGGTCAGAACCTTGTAAGTGGCATTCATCATGTGTATGATAGTCGTGTGTTGGGCAGCATTCTAGTAAGTAACAAAAATGGTGGGTGTAGAATTGAGATGGTCCTCAGCGTACTAGACCAAAAGAGAAAATTGACACTAGTGCTCAGGGTCCATACCATTCTTCCTCTTTAATATATATAAGTATTATATATATTTTATAGCACAAGGACGATCTATCACATTTATGTACATACATACATACATATATAGGACACTGAGGAGATAAGGCCCAGACACGCACACACGCAAAGTTCGTAGTGGTTACCACATCAAATTCAAACTTTCAAAGTGCTTCCACTTAAGAGGAGTTTGCTTTAGTCTTGAGCACTTGTTCAAGGTGGTGGGCCGTATCAGCTCGATGTGCCTCCACTCTAGGCCTATCCGGCACCACCCATCGCCCTTCTCTATTTCTGATCATCCCTTTATTCTCATCTTGCCGCCAATGCGGTGGCACACCATATTCACTTCTCAAGAAATCACAACTCTTGTTAACTAATGCAATATCTCTTTTTGTCGCTAAAACGAACTTTCTTCCTTTCCCATGATACCCATCTACTAAATGCAAATGGACTTCAAGATTATGAGCACAACCCAGGTCGTTTGTTGGTCTTAAAAATGGACTATGTGTATGATCTAATGCAAGTTCTACACCAACATGTGCATAGCTCCATGGAAATGACATTGTCTCCTCTACGTATTTTTGAAATTGAAATTTTTCATTAGCAAATATTCCTGGTACTTTTGGTACCTTGTCATGCACATTAATCACTCTTAACACCTTAACATCAAGCTCTTCGCATCTTTCTTTAAACTTTAAATTTCCAACTCGAGGGCCCGAAAAAGAGTAGACAGTGATGGGAATTTTAGTTTTATCATCCATGTAATTAACCTTCATTTCTGCAATATCATAGGCACTTAATATAGCCAAAGCTGCTCCTAAGCTATGACCCGTAATTGTAATACTAATTTCTTCGCCTCTATAATAATCAAGAAGCCTTTTAATCTCAGCTAAAACTTGTTCACGAGCAGAAAATGTGCAATACTTGCAAGAGTTTTCTTTCTTGGTGTATAAATCATAAAAACCCAATTCGATCTTTATTGATGGATCGTTAGTGAAATTTGCAGAGCAAAGTATGTCTTTGAGATCATATATCCATTCAAGATAAGTAACTGTACCTCTCCATGCTATAACTATATCGCGACGGCCTAGCCGTTGGATTTCTTCTTCATCGGTGGAAACAGCAACGTAACCCATCCAATTTGCATGGATACTCCAAACGCTGCTTAGTTTAGATTTTTGAAAGAAATTTGGAAGATTAATATTTGAAGTCGCATAAAGATACCTACTTATTTGATAACCATGTCCTTGCATGTCAAGTTTATCAAAGAAATGAGCGCCTTGATATTTGCACGTGCCACAATACTTGGAGTGAGGATCGAAATCGAAAGAATCGTAACATGTCTGAGCGAATTCTCCGTACCGAATGATTTCTTTGCGTAAATGAGAGTTCATTGGGTCTAAAAGTCCTTCCCAGTCATTGCAGCCTTGAATTTCTTTCCAAATTTGGCTTAGAGGCCTCTCGTCTTCTTGGTTATAAACTAGGGTTTCGTCGTCTAGTTGTGGAGTTAGACGTGACACAGATGATGAGCATTTGATGAGAGTTTTAGGGTTTAGTGAAAAGAGTTTGCTTTGGAAGATGAAAGATTTAGATTTGCTGAGTTTAAAAATTGGCAAGAAACGTTCATGGATAGGTGGTAGAGTGGTTTTCAGAGTATTCAAAGGTATAATTAGCAGAGTAGCCATTACTGGTTATCTCTCTATTCGACTGTCTCTCACCTTAATTTCCTCTTGTTTGTCGATTCTTGTTTTGATAAAAGAGATACATATCAGGGAGTGGCTGTGTTTATGAAATCAAATAACTAGAGAGACAGAGAGTTATTTGAAACAAGTCCATCAAATCTACATTAATTATATATCAATGGATGAATATGATGGCATCATTTTCAATTTCCTCGTGTCCAAAACATCAACATTCTTAGAGCCACCAACCCACCACCATATTATAATAAGAGAGAGTGAAGTCCATTGGTGAGGATAAATTTAATAACGTTGGAAATATTTTAAAGGCTAATTTAATTTTGTAAATGTGAGCATACTTAATAATCATGTTCCAAATATAGGGTTATCTCACAAAAAAAGAAAAAAAAGAAAAAAAAGAAAAAAAGAAAGAAAGAAATAGTGGGTGGGTGTCTTAGTGTCACGCCCCGACTCTAATCACAAGAGGAATTGTCCGCTTTGGTGTAGTTCACGGACGCCCTACACCTCACGGTTTTGTCCCGCAGGTGAAATGAGAAACTTCCCAGGAGGTCACCCATCCTGAGATTTCTGTTAAACGAGCACTCTTAATCCTGGAGTTCTTCCAACTCTCCAGTCATTCCACCAAAAGGCGCCTCTAATGATTAGTTTCCTCCTTCGATATATAATTCGATTCATTCCTGTGTCCCGCATTCAGCACTCTATCCTGGAGTTCTTCCAAAACTCTCCAGTATTCACCAAAAGGCGCCTTATGATTAGTTCCTCCTTCGATATATAATTTCGATTCATTCCTGTGTCCCGCATTCTTAACTACCCTAAGCTAGCTGCCACTAGAAGCTATCCAGGAGCTTCGCTTTGACCCGCCCTCTGTAAGAATCGGCCTTTTGCCGGTAGGATGTTTTCACACTTAGTCCTTCCAACTACTTCTTATTCCATTAAAGCCCAATCATAATTTAAGTAACACTTGTGTTTCCTGTCGTGGCCACAGTTGATTGAAATGATATATAATTCGATTCATTCCTGTGTCCCGCATTCTACTACCCTAGCTAGCCTGCCATCCTAGAAGCTAGCCAGGAGCTTCGCTCTACCCGCCCTCTTAGAATCGCTTTGCCGGGTAGGGATGTCACACTTAGTCTCCAACTTTACTTCTTATTCCATAAAGCCATCATAAAATAAAGTAAGCACTTGTGTTCCTCGTGCCACAGTATGAAAATAACATCTAGATTTCATTTTGTTTTCCTTCTTTTAAGCTTTTGAAAATGTACCAATGGTTAAAATAATATTTCAATATTTAAAAATACATAGTTAAAATTTTAGATTTTAGAATTAAATTGATGCTGAAATCTAAAAGAAAGTCAGCAAAATGTATAATGAACAATTGAAATTGATATATAGGAAATTAGATTTGTTTTTTTGTGAGACTGCTATCAACCACGCAAAATACTTATCTCTTCGCTGTCTAATGTATTATTACAGTTTAGAAACATTTCAAACGATTACCCAATTTTCAGGTAGCCTAAGTCTAAATATAATCATTAGGATACAACTATATAAATATAGATATTAATGTGCAATATAAATAAAAATATTAATTATTTTTGAATAATAATATTTAATACTTATTTATTATTTTTAAATAACTATAAAAATAATGGCCTAAAAGTATTAATTTGAAAATAAAATTATTCATAATTATTTTTATAAATTTAATATGGTCTAAACATAATAGAAAAAGAATTTTAAAATGCAATTAATTTACTGAATGAGACTTCTAAAAGAAGATGTTAGTTGCATGAAAAAATTGAACCAAACATTTTTAGAGTTTTGGCAAAAAATTTTCAAAGTGATAGGAGATAGTGAGAGCAAATAATTATAATAATAATATTATTATTATTATTGTAGCTAAAATAACAAAAATACTATGAAACTATGGAAAATGTTCATGATGCTTATTTGAAAGGAGAAAAATAAATAAAAAATCTTACAAATTAAGTTGCAAAATCCTTTATTTTTTGTTATAAAAATTGTATAGTTTTGAGAATTGAATTACATTTTTCCATGAAATTTTGAATCGAAATAATCAAATTTATAGAAAATAGTAAAAATATATAGTCATAATGATTACCATGCACCTAAAGAAAAGAAAGATCGAAACTTTTGGAAGAATTCATTATTCATATTTGAAAAATAAAAAAAATAAAAAAATTGACAAATTAACATGGAAAATTATATTTTATTATATAAAAATTATGAAAACACAAGTTATGTAACTGACTTTTGTTATTTAAAGCATACGATCATAACCGGTTAACGTGACCACGAGTCATCTCTAGTTAACGTAGCAGGTGGCGTAACAAATCACATTAGTTAACGTATTAGGTGGCGTAAACATAAATGAAATTGTTTAAAAAATATAAAAGAAACGGCAAATTAGCCCTGTCGTTTCCTCGGTTCAAATAAGCCTTTCCCCGATAATTGCTGTCGATTGGGCGTCACATGGCATTATCTACTCCAATCAAATTAGAGCCACCAGCGGCAGCGAGTTATTCATTCGCATACGTCAATGCTTACGGCATACCTAGCCGGGCTACGATTTCGTATGGTATGACACACGACTATTCGGTGAGCTCACAGACTTGCCGTTACAAAAGAGGACAGACATTTGCCTATTTAAAGAGCATGAGCCAACTGAAGGAAAAGATACCTTCCAAACTGAACGAGCAAGTGGGAGTAGAAGAGAAAACGAAAATGAGCAGCGGAGCAGGGAAGATCGTTTGCGTGACTGGAGCTTCCGGTTACATTGCCTCATGGCTCGTGAAGTTCCTCCTCCTCCGTGGCTACACCGTCAAAGCCTCTGTTCGTAATCCAGGTCGGTATTCATCATCTCTCCCTACATCCGATTTTTTCTTTCTCATTTATCTTCATCGTGCTATTTTGATTACGGTTAGATCACTGTATAAACTAATGGCCAATTAATTTAACAGATTGTAAGTTATAAAGCTCCGGGAAACTTCTTCTCTCATGCATTTTCTTAATAATATTGTTGAAGTAGGTAGATATTACAAAATTCTGTCACAGATTGAGATAGTTGAGAATAATTTCCTGCGGTTAGGTTGGAGGAAAGAACTATTTGTGGATTATTTAAAATTTTCTACACGTAACTAATTGTTTAATATAAAAAATTGGTTGAATCTGAATCCTTAATCACACGCTTGAACGTTCTTTTAGGGTGCGTATGGTTACCGCAATTGACAAAAAACGGAAATATGGTTGGGCCTATTATGTGTTAAATACGAAGAATACTTTACTCTACAAAGCATCTCTTCCTCTATACTTTAAGAGAAACCAAGATGCTGTTTTCTCACGAGGTTGGGCCTGTTTGGTTGGTAATGACAGGATGAGCACACTTATATTTTCCTTCATGGATGCATACAAACAAAAATATACTGATTGCAAAGCAGCAACAGAGAACAGCTAGCTGTTTGAGCAAATTGTTGATTGTTTTCTGTTATTTCTGCAGATGATCCCAAGAAGGTGGAACACTTGACTGCACTTGAAGGAGCTCAAGAGAGACTTCAGCTGTTTAAAGCAAACCTATTGGAAGAAGGTTCCTTTGATGCTGCAATTGAAGGGTGTGAAGGTGTTTTCCATACTGCATCTCCCTTTTTCCATGACGTTACAGATCCACAGGTTAGACTTACAATCTTGCTTCTAAGCAAGCGTTGGTGTTTTTTGTATACTCAGGTCCTTATTTTTGCTGAAATTAAGGAAGGAAACTTAATGATACCTCATGAGTATTGGCACATTTATCTTTCTTCATAATCAGGACTGTGAATGCGTGTATTTCATGATTAGCACCTTTTCATTCGATAATGAAAAGTTAGTAGATAGATGAAATCTCGAAGTGTATTCTAAGAGCAGCCATTATGGTGTCTTTTCTATCAAGTGTTACAAATGTTCAAAATAACCAATATGCAACTTTATTATATATCTATCTATTGGTAGCCCTTTGTTGTTTTGTTTCATGCGTCAGCAAGACTTCTTTTCTAATAGTTTTTTCATTTCAGACAGAATTAATTGATCCTGCAGTGAAGGGAACACTAAATGTTCTTAATTCTTGTGCAAGAACTCCTTCAGTCAAACGAGTTGTCTTGACATCTTCTATCGCTGCAGTTAATTATAATGGAAAGCCTCGAACTCCAGAGGTAGTTGTGGATGAAACTTGGTTTTCTGATCCAGAATTTTGCAAGGAAAATAAGGTGCGGACACATGCTAAGTCATCTATCTGGTAACTGATTGCTTGCATTATGATCTCCAAATCTTGCCCAGGAGGGTTATCATCTACTGTTATTACTTTCTGTAATATAAACCAAACCCTGGCTATCTACTAACATGGGCTGGCTTCGTACAGTTCTTTTTTAGCTAGTTAAGCCTCTGGTAGAATAAATATTTTAGCGTCCATAAGAGTGGGCTGGGGTTGGCATAAACAGGGAGAGAGAGAGAGAGAGAGAGAGAGAGAGGCACAAGTAGTGGATGAGGGTGGCAACATATTCAATTTGCAGATGAGGTTTAGAAACGTGGAGGTCTTCCTTCAAGTTTCTTTTCTTCTACGAGATTGATGGAATCAGCATTATGGTTTTGGATTGAACGGGAAACATTTTGATTTTATCTTTCTATTGTAGATGCTACTTTTTTTTGTTTCATGACTTTCATTGTTTTAGAATTTGAGGTTTAGATAAAAACAGGAAGTGAAGCTGACTTGGCTCATCAATTCCTTCTTAGATTTTTGTTGCATTTCCAATTTAGCGTGTGCTTTCAGTGGCCAGGATTTGCTATGCAGTAGCAGGATCAGTTGAATTTGAATTGGTTAACAATAGTCTTGCTCAGACAAGGAAAATTCTTCCTTTTTCCATTTATTTAACCAAGATCTTAACAGATCCCTCCGTATTTTTCCATTTATTTAGAAGGAATGCAACAGGAGGTTTTCAAAAGAATAAAATCTGAATAAGTACTTTTAATTTTTTTTTTTAGTAGAAGATGATACTTTGATGTTCATACTGTGTTAGACCTTGCAGATTGCTTGCCTTGCAAATGGTCTTCTTGTTTTAATGCATGAATGGCATCCCTTTAGTGTGTATAGTGATTTGTGTTTGGTTATAAAGCCTTCTAATGAAAATCTGAATTCTCATACCAAAAAATTAGAAGTTAAAAACCCATGCCAAAGAAAGGAGAGATCCAGCGGCCATCATTTCAATTTCGAAATTGCCTGCAAATGATTTCTGCCATACCTTTTTGGTGCTCAGTTTTGATATATCATAACACTATTTCTGCCATGTTAATTGTCCAAAATATAAAATTTCTTTGTGATCTTTCCTTGTTTTGTTTTTGCTTTTAGCTTTGGTACGTAGTCTCAAAGACCTTGGCTGAGGATGCCGCTTGGAAATTTGCAAAAGAGAAAGATATAGACCTGGTTGCTATAAATCCAGCAATGGTGATTGGTCCTCTTCTACAGCCAACACTTAATACAAGTGCTGCTGCTGTATTAAGCTTGATGAAAGGTATTTGTTTGTCTCATTACTATCTGAATAATATCAGTACAATCTACATAAAGTCAGTATCTAATCCCTTGAGAAAGATCAAGTATAGAATTTAATCAGACAGAATTTTGAATAGAACCTCTATAATAAAGGGATCGTATTTATCATTCCTTTAAATATTATAAGTTAATCTATCAAATCAATGTAGCAATTAAGATATAATTGTCCCTTTTGAAAATGTCTAATGCTGTAACACGGCGGGGAAAATTGTCAAGAAATAATAGTCTTAGGATTTCTATAATAGCAATGCGTTTTTCTCTCTCTGGAGCGCATATGCTTATTTTGCTCACCTCTTATTGATTATAGGAGTACAAACTTTCCCCAATGCAACTTTTGGATGGGTAAATGTTAAGGATGTTGCTAATGCACATATTCAAGCTTTTGAGATTCCGTCAGCAAGTGGACGTTACTGTTTGGTTGAGACAGTTGCACACTACTCAAAGGTGGTGGATACTTTGCGTGAGCTTTACCCCGATTTCCAATTTCCAGAAAAGTATGTCTTTCTTCCACATTTTATTTTCTTTTCCAAAGGTGTTTATATTGCAATGGCGATTCATTAATCACTTTTCTTACACAGTTTTAATCACATTATACACATTATAGCAATGTATCTATCAGTTATTCTGTTGTTTTAGCCATGGATGATAAATTGGGTTCCTTGATGGCAAAATTTTACAGGTGTGCGGACGATAAGCCTTATGTTCCAACATATGAGGTGTCTAAGGAAAAGGCTAAACGCCTGGGTATTGACTTCATTCCTCTCAAGGTGAGCATAAAGGAAACTGTGGAAAGCTTAAAGGAGAAAGGATTTATTGTGTTTTGACCATCTTCTAGCCTTTCCAAGCTACTTTCAGCTTTTCTTTTAATAAATAAATAATGGTGTTGGCATCATGCGGAAGAAGCAATTATTGTTTAGCTATATTGTTTTGTAATAGTAATATTATGAACCAATTATTGTTTAGGATAAAATTAGTTGTTGTGTTATCATCTTCAAAATAATTTTATTATTCTCTTTAGTTTAGATTGATAATAACAGTATTATTTTCTTTATGAATTTGTTTGTTTTGCAATATCAAAGTTTTCATACATGTTTTCACATTTCTGTCTTTTTTTTTTTTAATGATTAATAGTTAATTATAGATTAGAACATATATGGGAACAAAATATATTTTGTCGAATTCTTACCAAAATTATTTCAAATTATTATTTAAGATTATAAATGACTATAATTCGATTTTAATTTTAAAAATTAGTGTTTAAATTAGTTAAAATTCTAAACAAATTATAGAAATTCAAATCATTCAGAAAATGAAATTTATACGTAACAAAATGTTGAAAATTTATTCAATATGAATCAAATTACTATATTTTGCCTTAATACAGTGGCAATCAATTTAGTAACTAATAAACTTAATTACACTCAAATGACAGAAATGATAGGAAAAAATCAACTCAAAAGTGGTTAAAAAAAATTATAATCAAAGATAAAAAGTTAGCTATCAATCTTATTTTTGAATTTAAAGTATTGGCATATAATTAATTATTAATAATACTATTATTGACTTAAAACATTAACATTCCAAACAGCGCCTTCTCCTTCCCCGCAAGAACTATGCACCGCTTTCATTCTTTCCACAGATTTGCATATGCCGCTGCAAGACCAATCAAATGATGCCACGCACACATTTCCATTTTGCGCCTTCCATTCACACGCTGACAAAGCATCGATTCAATTAATTACTAGTAATTATTATTATTTTACAAAATCACAGAATCTGACGGTCAGGAATTGATTGTTGTGTTTTGTTTTTTTCACCTGGAGGGGTTCCGCAACACATGGAATGCTCGTCCACGTGTTCAACTTCTAAGCCAATAAACCAAGCTCCAAGAGAAACATCTTCGTTTGCATATCTATGCAATATTGGACTGCCAAGATTTCTGATTGATTTAGATTTAGAATTACCAGATTTCATTTGAAATTTGAAATTTAAAATATATCAATAATAAAAGAATTAATTATCAAATTTGAAATTTCAAATTGAAAATATTCATAATAAAAGAAGATAGCATACGAGTTAATGGAGATATAAGAAGCAAGGTCCTTAGAGATGCCATAAATTTGGCCAGTTGCATGTCTGAAGTACTTGTTACCTTCTTCTCCAAATTTCCAATATTCTGGTTCGTGATATCTTACCCCTCTGTAGTTAAAATAAAAATCAAATCAGCGTACGAAACATCTCATATTACGAAACATCTCATATTTTGTAGATTCGAGAATATTTATAATTCTAATTCATCATTGAATTATTTTGAATTATAAAATAACTTTTCAATATTTATTATAATAAAAAACTTACTTTTGAGAGAGAACAGGTCCAGACTTCATGCACCCGATATATATTCTTGGCTTGGATCTGTATTTTGCAAGTGTACTGACTAAAGCACCTACAAATTAAAAAATACAGTAATAATTAATTAATTAATTTCATTTAAATCAATTAGCTTATTAGATAGAGCCATTAATAAACAAAAGAAAAATAAATAAATTACCTAAATTAACATGAACATCATCATCAACCTTGATGTAGAACTCAGCATCCCAAATCGAAACAGCAGTGGAAAAATACAATCTAGTTTTGGTAGAGAGTTGATGATAACCCTCTACATGTTTAAGCCTAAGAAAGTCGTTATATTCTGCTTCTTCTGCGTCCAACGCTTTATCAAGAACACCACCGCCTGCGGTTGCACTGTGTCCTATCACAAACCGTATCACTATCCCTTTCTCTTTCTCCAATTCCTTCAATTTCTCTCCTGCATTTTATATTTTAATTTAATTAATCCTTTTTCAGCAACTATATAATATAATGTGTATATTACTATTACCTTTTGGCATCCATGTTTTTCTGACTGAGTCCCGGCGCTTTCTGCTGCTAAATGCTGTATTAATTCCAATTACAACAAATGTTTTTTGCAAAGTACGATTATTAGGTCTTCCAATTGAATTTTGGCCGCTGTATTGACTTGTACGAGCTGCTGTTAACTCCATTTCTAATATAGAAATTGTATTCTCCAGTGACCTATATGCACTTAGAACATCAGCTTCGATTCGTGAAAAAAATATTTATGGAGAAAGACAGTTTACGAACCAAAAAGAGTGCGGAGATACTCGTAAGAGAAACACAAAAATAAAGAATAATATAGCCGAATAATTAATCAACTCACTTGATAGCTTGATGGGTTTTCATAACTTCTCCCATAATATCTCCAGGCTTTCCTTCAGCCAATTTCTAACAGTTCATACACACATGCAATGTTAACACAAATTTCACCTGAGCTATATATATGGATTTCAATCTCAGACTTTTAATTTAAAAACTTACACGCTTGTGATCGCAATCGCGTTCAGCTTCTTGAAACTTGTTGACATAACGAGAAATGAGTGGAATATTATTATTATGGTTATGATCTTTAGGCTGAGAAGGAGAAGTACGAGTCCATGATCGAGTAGTAAACAAAGATCCTGCAATAAAGCTAGCAATGCACAGTATAAAAATGGTTTTTCCTGAATTAATTGGCTTTGCTCTCATTTTCTTCGCCTCGTAACCAAACTGCCAAGGCCAAACCGACGTCGCTTCTAAATATTTCAGTCCTTCTGTTAGCTTCTTTTCTGAAAGAAGCAATCTGTTTTTCGTCACCTTAATGAAATTGTTCATCAAAACTCAAACTGGTTTTAGTGCTAAAAAACTGATATTTATACATCTATGAATTGTTATAAGAATATGCAGAGTATTTATACGTGTAGTATAGTGTTTTTACCAGTTCTTGAATATGGGAAATACGTATAAAATAATTTCTGTGGGTGAGTTGTCCAATTTATTGCAAATTACTGTAAATGGATCAGATTGGCCATTTTGTTAGGTTTACAAAGCCAACATATTGTATTGCTAATAAGAAGTAATAATTTGAAAAGATTACCATCACCATGAAGGACTTTTTATTCAGTTAAAGTCCAATTTTCCACAATTCATAAATTTAATCAAATGCCTTTTGAAAAATGAAATTTATTAGTAAATTGACAACAGAAAAAAGACATTACGAGATCTTAAACTTTACAAATAAAACATTAACGGGAAGAGCATTGCTTGTTTACCTTTAAAAGAACCTCATAACATGGAATTCTCCAGGCTGTGTCTAGAGACTTGACATCTTTTCCCTTTTGTAATCGGAAAAAAAAAAAAAAAAAAACACGTATTTAATTTTTGATATTGAGGTTATATAATTTATTTCTCTAATTAAATAAATGGAGGGTTTTAGTTGCGGAGTTGGCAGCTAAATCATGTGATTTTCATGGTTCAACAAACCATCTTTCCATTTAAGTATTTTCATTGGTAACATTTGCGTGCACATTATGAGAGTTGTTAATTAATAAGTTTAATTAGCTTATAAACATCACATGTTAGACCTACTTAAAATATTAAATACCCATTTTTTATTTTTTGATTATGTTCATTCTTAATTGCTTGATTGGAACATAAGTCCTAAAATTTGGCCATTCACAAGCCTAATTAAGAGGACTAATGTTGGAAATCACTTCATTCTCATAGTTTTGCTGCCATTATATCACACTCTACTCATATATATGTATATAACCACCGACAAAAGAACAGGTGAGGGGATGATAAAATTAATCAATTTTATAAAATCAAAATTACCCAGTTGAAAATTATATGATTACAGGTTAAGTTCTTTCTTTTTTTATGTTAAGAGTAAAAAGGTTTTGGTAATTAAAGAGGTTTCGATCAAGAGCCAAATATAAAATTCATGTATAAAATATCATTTCAAATTTATTTTTTAAATAATTAATTAAAATATGTTGCTTGGATTATAGTTAAATATAAATTAAAGCTTCAAACATAAAAATTTTGAAGCTTATTTTAATTGAAACGATATTTGGGCTTATTTTAAGTGGGCCTGACTTTGGTGATATTGGTGGGCCTTTCTCTGGATTGTTTAAGCAAACCACCGGAATGATGTGAAAGAAAGTTCGAGCATTTCAATTTAAGCAAAACCTGGCCTTTTTATAGTTTTGAGATTGCTAATTGCTGGGCCTTTTTCTCGATTATACTGACCTATAGCTCAAACGACACATTAACAGTGAGAGGAAACTGTCGTTCAGTAATGACGGAAAACTTTCCCTGCCAAGCAGAAACGATTCTCTGTCAGCGACACAAACGAGTATGAGAAGTCCAATAACCAAAAAACTCCTCTATTCACGTGTAACTCTCTCAGTTAAGATTAGACAGGATTATAGTTTTTGCTGCAAATTGGAAGGGATGGAACAGCGCAATGGAAAAACTGCCCTGCTATTTTGCCTTGACAATGGGGACGATGAGTTTCCAATCTCTCTAAATGGCGATCTTTTAGAAGCATTAAGACTGTGAGACTTTTTTCTTCCATCAGCAAACATCTCCTTCTGCTTGCTGCCATCACCGCAATTAGCTTGCCGATTTTCTTTCAACCGACAAACCAGTACCCTTTTCTCCATCTCATTCGGTGACTCTGTGTGTGGATTTAGTTTTTGATTCTTGGTCCTGATAGTTTCTTTAGCCTTTTCCTTCTTCAACTTTTCAAGTTCAGTGGATAGCTCCATTACCTGAGCTTGTAGCTCATTTGCCTTGGCTTCAGAAGAAACAGCTTTCCTTCTCCACTCTTTCACCTATCCATGAAATTGTATCACCTTAATTGAAACAATTAATTTGGTAAACTGTGTGGCTTTGTGTAAGATTTGGGTACTTACTGCAGATTGTAGAGATTGAATTTGATAATCAGAATCAAGTGCTCGATCTTCCCAAAAATCTCTGGAAGCCTGCAATTCTTCCATCTCATCCCTTACTTGTCCCAGCATCTCTTGCATTTGAGACCATTGCTCCGTTTCAGCTCGAACTTGCTCCACAACCCTTTGCACTATAGCCTTGCAGCATCCTGAGCATGCCCTCTCCTCGTACAACTTTCTCTCCTGCACAGGAAATCTATCAGCATCTATCCTGAAGTGCCTTCCATCCTAAAGTCTATGGTTATTGACTAGTCGGGAGAGATTATCAGAAACAAAAGGAGGGTACCTTGCTCTGTGGTCTCATGGACGACGAAGACATCTCCTGTAATTCAATTCGCTTGCAATTAGCAACAGAACTAGAACCAGAAGTGTTGGCTGTAGAGAGCATTGGCCCGCATTCCTCTTCCATCCTCTCTAACAGATGCTCCTTTGATAATCCTTCCATTTTTTTCCTTAGAATCTCCATCTGCATATTCTTTTATGTTAAAAGTTAGTAACTTGCAGCTGTTGAGTTAGTAAACGCAATGAAAGAAACAATTAAAGATTACAGATTATATATCTCCATATAGTAATAAACGATGAAATTCAATATTACATTAGCGCTAAAACTTGAAACAGAAGTTTCATTGACGCTGCTGCAAGTAGTTTTGATGGACAAACTCGCTTCTGCCATCTCTTGAATCTCCTTCACGCATGCCTCGTCAGATTCTCCTGCAAACTTCTCTAGCCGTCTTTGAAGAAGATGGGCTTGTTTATCAAAATTGCCACAATTTCGAACCTCTATACACTTATGCCTTGACCTTCTCTGCAATTTCTCTAGTTTTTCAGCCAATTCAATGATCTCTTCTTCCAAAACCATGCTTGCTCTCTTTCCATTACACAACTTTTCTCTCCCCTATAAACCAATTACCAATTCAAGTTATAAAAATGAAACTGATAGAGGCACACGAAACAATCAGGATTTGGTTCAATTATTTAGAATACTGTTCTTTTTATTTTCAGAACCAAAATATTTAATTTTTTCAAACAATTTGATGACCCTTTCTTGCTCATTTTCTTTGCCAAAAATTTCTCAGCGTCCGATCAGACCCACCTTACTTCTGAAGTTTAATCTGCCTTCGATGATCTATTAATCCTCACTTCCCTCACAGCAAATAAAAAATTAGAAAGAAATGAAAGAAACTTAGTAGTTATTAATCAGTATTAAGTAACAATTAGACAGTTTTTTTCAAAAAAAAGTAACAATTAGACAGTCAGAGACAACAGTAACAATGTAGCGTATGTCAGGCTTACTTGAGGAAAGGCAGTCTCTACTCTCATGCTTAAAAACTTAAAACTTTGTTCTTTAGATTATCAATCACAAAAAAGAAGACGGAGTACTTAATATTTTCTTTTCGACAACCATCTGTGAAGAACCAATTGTATAATTTGCAATTTCTTTGTCATTATTGCTGTACAAAAATTTCTTAATAAGCAAAAACACTACTTGAACTACAAATAAAAACGCCAAAACAGGATAGAAAAGAAAGAGAGAGAGAGGGGAGAGATACTAACAGAAAGCAAAGTTTGAATAGCAGATCTTAAAGCTCTTTCCACCTGAACCCTTCTCCTCTCCATCTTCTTCACAGCAATCTCTCTCTCCATCCGTAACAAATTACACTCTGCCCTCAACATCTCAGCTTGAAACCTCCACTTCTCCTCTTCCATCACCACACTTTCTCTTTCCTCCACTCTCACTCTCCTCTCCTCGTCACACTCATCATCCTTTTCACCACGTACCATTATAAGAGGCATAAGCCCTCTTGCAAATTCTCTTTCTTGATCAAACAAACTCTCCAGCTTTCCTTTCCTTTCTCTTTGTGATGAACTTGATTTCGAAGCACTAGCCTTTGCTGTAGCTTTCCTGCGAGGCCTTCGAGGTAAATGCAGTATTCTTGGTGTTGGTTGCGCTGGTGGGTACTGCCATTTTGGCCTTCTTGCAGTCAATGCCGTTATTGTTGATACTTTGTCCATGCAAAACCTTCCTTGGTTTGATATATAAAGGCAATGAACGATCTTCTGGGTAATGTGTTTATTTGAAGAAAAAAAAGAGTTCAAGGCTTGAAAACAAATTCATGAGCAAGCTTTCTTTTTTTGGATGGTATTATACTACTGCTCTCTCTATATATACTCTAATTGAAAAGAAGAGTTTGAAAAGCATTGAACTGATTGGTACAAATTCGTAACAACTCCATTTCCTATTGGCAGACAATAGGATTTTTTTGGTTGGAGAAAAGGAGTTTTGAACAGAAAATTTTTACCAAACTTTTCTTGTTTGGTTTGAAAATGTACTTGTTTTGTTTTCTTGTTGCAGGGTATGTATTGGTTAGATAGAGAGAGTGACAGTTTAGAATAAGAGATTAAGACGTGAGAGTTTGGACTTTTCTGGCAAAAACAATACCAACTTCCCTTGTAAATTTTCAAAATACAATAGAAAATGGAAAATGTACAACTTAACTGGAACTAAAAAGACAAACTTATAGAGATTATAGTTATTTTTGAACTTTTATTCGAAAAGAAAGAGGGTTTTCTTGTATTCAAGTTTTACTAAGAGGAGGCAGTGAACTTTTCTGTTCATGTGAGGCTTTAAAAGAGGTTTTATGGTTTTGGGAGAGAGACAGAGAGAGGAGCAGGAGAAATAAAAGCACAGGCGTGCAACCTCGTTGTGTGAAAGGAACAGGGATTTCAAATGAAAGGTGTGACTGTTTCTTTCTTTTCTCTTGTGCTGGAGCTGGAGCTGGAGCTGGAGCTGGCTAATTTATTTTCTTGGACCTTGTTTTTTTCATAGAAAACTGACAACTAGCGGTTGTTGTATGTTTCACCTTTTTTTCTCCATTTTGCCCCTCCGAATTCTTCGAAATTGGATTTATAGTTATGGAAGTCCGCTGACAATAGGCCAAATGATTTAAGTTATCATTTCACGTAAATGTAAGTTTGATGTCAAAATTGTCTTTTTAACTTTGGGAAATTTTAACGCTTAAAGACATTCACACATTACAAGGTGGCATATTAGATCAGTGTCCAATTAATACTTGGAGGATCTTTTATTTATTTTTGGCTAAATATTTAATTTCACCCTCAAACTTTCAGTAGATATTCAATTCAGTCCAAAATTAACTTTTAGACCACTCTGAATTTCAAAAGATAAACTTGTCCTTTTTTTTTATAAGAAAAAACAATAGAATATAAATATTTTACTTAATTTTTATTCAATATATCTTTTACTATTCAAAAATTAGAAAACTTAGTATCCTAATATTTTTTTTTACAGGAAATAAGATAAAATCCATCTGAAATTTAAAGTTTATATCTTAAAAATTGGCAAAATTGAACATTTAGTAAATACTGAGGGACTGAGTTGAGTATTTATGTTTAACAAATTGTTTTTTTTTTTTTGAAGTGTTTTAATTTAAATTAAGAAAAAAACAATAGTATAATAAATAAATTTTACTTAATTTTTATTCAATTAATATCTTTTTACTATTCAAAAATTAGAAAACTTTAGTTATTTCCTAATGATTTTTTTTTACAGTTGAAATAATATAAAATCCATCTGAAAAATTTAAAGTTTATTATTCTTAAAAATTGGCAAAAATTTTGAACAAAAATTTAAGTAAAAATAATTAACTGAAGGGGCTGAAGTTGAGATTAAGTAATTATTAATGCTATTAAACAAAAATTAAAAAAATGATTATTAATTTATATGATATATTAGTGTTAATTTAAATACGTTGGAATTAAGAAGATGATTAAGCAATAAAGAGGGAACTGTCGTTGGCGTTAAAGAAAAAGTGAAAATTGTTTAATAATAACAAATAAGAGCTGTGTGTAGTAAATTTATAATGGTTTTGCTGGAACTTTTGATCATTTTCAACACTGACAATCTCATTCCTCAGCCTTCTTTTTTGCTCCTTGCCTCTTGGAATTCGATTCTTTTCGATTTCCCGTCTCTTAATTGTTTATCTGTTTTCAATACTAAGGTAAACCCAAAAACCCTAACAAGCTCTTTATTTCTTTGGCTTTTGCCACCGGAGAGGAGACTGCACCATTTTTGTTTTTCGTGGAAACTGACCACCTTGCTAATTTGTTAAATACTTTCATATTTTTCTTAAATACCTTGAATCTTATCTTCTCCAATTTTCATATATATAATTGACTTAAAATTTTTGTTAATTAAATTTTTTTTTTGTCTATAAATAACAGTATTTGAAAAAACCCACTAACCTCGATGCATCCGTTCGAATTATTGCAAAACGCTTTGTTTTCGAATTAGAATTTTTTTAAAACTCTGATTTAATTATGTTTATGTTCTCAAATTAAACCATTTTCTTGAAAGAAAGTAAAAAATAATACCGAGATTTTGAGAGAAATTAATAAAAAAAAAAATAAAAGATTGATATGAGTCCAACAAGTTTGCTGAGATATTTAAAATCATAAACCTACTTCAAATATTTTACCGGTTATAGGGTCCGACAATCAGAGTTTGTGATTTGAACTCATGAGTAGTATTTGATTTGCTTTTGGGTAATATTCAGCTCAAACCAAAACCAATAAGACTGTTTAAGAGTTCCAATTAAGTAAGCATAAGTTTTTTATTACCTGCACCCAATTTTAAGATGTAATTTGTCTGTACTTAATGTTTATTTGTGATTAGAATACGACAAGATAGACTACTGTGTATATTTTTGCAATTCTAAAACACCCAAGTGGTCCAAGTCAATTGTCTTTTTTATTTTTAAATTCTTAAAGTTAAAGACGATTTTTGTCCTTATACATCGGAAACTTATGTTAAAATTGTCCAACTGTCTTCAAATATAGCATCACACACAAAAACAAAAAAAATATACAACACGAAATGGTGTTTAATCTAAAAAAAGAAAAACTGTTGTAATTCTGAGTTATGCAGGGTTTGCCTTCCGACTATAATAAACTCAAATTATCTTTTTGTTTTGTTTTCAGATTATTTGAAATCCTCATGTGTTAAATGATATTACCTGTGTTCATAACGAATTCCCAACTTTACAAAGTTATTGACGGTTCGGCGTTATTTATTTCATGTGCTTCTTATAATTTCCCACAGTGCCCGCCCTCAATTTAATTTGTGGCTAAATCGAGAAAACACGCACACGAAAATATATCTTGTGAACTTACTTAATTGCAGGTGAAATAGGAGTAAGAGAAGCCATGGTATTAAAATCAATGACTCACAAAGTTTTGTAAAGGATAAAAAAACACGTGCGAGCACGATGAATTCGGCCCGCCGGAAATATTTTTGTTATGGTGGAGAGCGGAAGCAATAATTATCTTCCACACGTCCACCGTCACAAGTGGAGTAAATGACAAGCTTCTACTCATATTTGAAAGTCATGTTGGATTTCACATCAGTAATTATTAATGATAATATTATTTAAGATTATTACAAAAACAAAAAAATGTAATGATAACGGTCCCTACGTAAAATTACAAACAGATTGCACAAACGCCAAATAAAATAACTCGAGCATTTCCATCCCCTTTGTGTTAACTCCCCTAAAGCACCCCAGTGTTTTCCTCTACCAGCAAACCATATGTGGAATCGTTAATATAACTAACCCAATCTTACACAATCCCGCAAAAATATTATATGTAGTATCCTCAATAATGAGATTTAAGACAGAAAAGTGCCTACAAGAAAGTTTTGTTGTATAGCAACAGATAAAGAACGCCAATAATTAGTTTTTCGTGCCATCATCCTAATCACCATAAGAATCTAAAAAATACGAAAAAGTTCATCCGGAGCTCAAATTCAAAACACTGGAATTGGCCCAACAGTCATTAATTTCAAGCTCAAGGGAGAGGTTAGATAGGTAGCTGGAAAAGGTAGCGTTGTGTCTCCGCGAAGAAGGACAGTGGGTTTGGAACTTCCGGGACGGGAAGGAAATAGGCCGCCCTAATTAAAAGTCACACTTAAGGCGTCTAAGATCTTTTTAGTCTCGGACCATCAAATCATTCTAGAGTTTTTTCTAAGTGAACTGCACACGAAGGATATCTCTCCCATTTCTCAAATAACTAACTCTTTAATGCAAACAAGACCAAAATATAAAATAAGAAAATCTAAATTATTCCCCGCTCTCTGTTAAAACCACTCGTTTCTTATTCTTTCACAGCCTGACTTAAAACCAAATATTACTGTACTACACTTATACTTTGTTTGAAATGCTCCAACTCCTCAGATTCTTCTATCTCTCTTAAAATCTATTATTCTTTAGAATACCACCATTTAAAGGTAAACTATTCTTTCGGGTCGCCGGCCTCAACAAATAGAATAGTGAAGTATCTTTGGAGGAAGTATTAATAGATATCGAGGTTGTCTAATTCGGCCCAACGTGCGTTCACTGGTCAGCGGTCTGCCCTCTCGTGAGTGAACGAGTGAAGGCAAGGCCCGCCACGATTATCAGGCATAATGGCGTCTGCCCCAAGCAGTGAACTTCAGAGATCTAAATGGCACAGAAAGAGTTGTTTAATGCACAAAAAATGGCAGATATATTACCTGAGGACCCAGTACCATTAAAAACTCAGGAGCTGGCCTTTGCGGTAAAAACGAAGGCAGAATACATCAGAAGCTACTAGATATGCAAGGAATTCTAAATACACTTCATTTACCTCTTACCCCCAATCAAAAAGAAGACAAACGCACAAATCGATACGTGAACAACCCTCCTGCTAAATCGCGAATGCCCCTGCTAATTAATGGCAGGTCAAATAGAAAGAAATCACCCCCATTGGGTCCCCAGCCAAAAACCACCAAAAACTCCGTGCAAGGTCCCATGAGCAACAAAAGTCCCAAATAAAGCCACCGCGGTTTGTGGTCGGCTCGGAAGAACCGGAATATAGAATGGCCCTCCGGGAAATCAACCTATGTTTGGATGTCCAAAAGTGATTCCCGAAAGGAGTGTGTTGCGCTAACTTGCACCCCCACTTCCGCTGGTGCCCTGCCCAATCCATATTTGTGGAGATGTCCCAAGCTCAGTCCCAGTTGGCATTTAGCTCAGGGTGAGGAAAGATGGCGACTACTGGCGTGGAGCTCCTGCTCTAAGACCAAGCTCCCGGAAAGGTCCAACCAATGAACAGTTGCCTTCCGCCAAAATGGTGAACTGGGCCCAAGTGTGTGAACCGTTTTACCAGTTGAGAATGGGAGTCCTTGCGTGCAGGCTGTAATGAACGGTGCCTGGGAAATGTGCGAGCCTCGAAGTCCCGCTGAAAGAAAAAAGGTTTTTGCCAAAATTTCTCCGGTCCACCACCCCCTGTGGGCGCCGAAATTGCGCGATGATTTGTGTTCCACCCTACCCATCCTCCCAAAGGTCTTCGGCCACAATTCCTACCCTTAAAAAGACTAAACCTGTGGAAACTTTTCGTTGGAAGGTTTGTTCCTTTTTTCATATGCTTACCTATATATAGTTTTATCTAGTACTATGTACTGTTCAATGTGCAGAAGCTTAAATTGATTGAATATTGAAAGTGGCTTTGTTGCCTGAAGCTCTACAATTTTTAGCTCTAAGTTTGATAATCCTATGCGAGAAGATTACTTTTTAATTATATTAGTTTATAAGTGGCTCTGCCGCTACCCAGGCATAGCTTAA